GATGATACAGGTACTCACGAAGACTAGCGAACAGCATGCACTGCTCCGCTGACATAAAAGATTTAGTTGGCCCAGGGAGCTCACTGATGTCCCGTTCGCGGTTGCACGCGGGTAATTAAGGTAATATCGAGGTTAAGTAGTTGTAGTTGGCATCGTCTTGCCTGCATCCAACTTGACCAGAGTTTAGTTTCGTCCCATTATGTCCAGTCATTCTGGCCTCGATGCAAAAGCAAAGGCAACCAGCGTCCCAGTGCTGTCATGAGTAACAACACAGAGTAAAAAGCACCAACGATGCCTAGGTAGACATAATAATGTGTATGCACGTCGATGATGGTGCCTCGTAAGGTAAGTCCCGATTGAGATTGGCGGCGTTTGACAATTCAACCCTAAGTCGCGGTCTGGTGCGTTAGCTTGAAACACGACCGCGCGGTTTTCCCAAGAGGGCGAGGAGGGATTTTTTGGGGCTCAACTTGACGGCGCCGGTGTTCTGTCGTGTGCCGGTCTTGTCGCCAACCTGAAAGTGTAGAACGTTGCTCATCAGCTTCCTTCGTGGCTATTGGGCCATGGGACGTTACACTAGTTGAGGGTACTACAGACACTAAGAGTGACGATCCTCTTGTAAGCTCGTTACGGAGCTGCATCTCGTGCAGATTGTTAAGATGACGGGATTTCACTGGACTAAATTGCCTCGGGGATACCTACGTAGAGCCTTACCCAATGTTCCTTGCTGCGTCCCTGGCCTTACTGACTTGGCTGCAGGTACAGCGGCTCAAGCCGGGGTGAAGATCTCTCAGCTACACTACACCAGAATAGAAGGGTTAACGCCAATTGAAGTCGAGTCATACATTAGGAGAGCTTCGAAAACGGAAAAAAGGAAGAAATGTAAGCAATTTTCAATATCCTGAAGTTTACAAAGAATAAAAATTGTACATCAAAATGATTTCAACTGGCGTGGCGCGACGGGGAATGAAATCATCATCATAAGCACTCGAGTCTGCCGAGGACCTCGATGGCCACCACGCCTATGTGCCCCCAAGCTTGCCCATCAACACTTGGGTAGGCAATTGGCTCTCCTCTTTTACCCACTCAAGGATTGTCTGTTGTTGATCAAGGTGAGTCAGCAGATCACCGCCTGGAGCTTCGATGGGTGAGGTGAGAGATATACAATCACCGCGGTGAGGTGAGAGATATACAATCACCGCAGCCGCATGCCGTGAGACATGGAGTGGAAAGATACTACGCTCTTCGCGACGTCCATGATATGGCCTGGAAGTCACTGACACAGCAATTGTGTTTTGCATCGATGAAGAGTGTAAATGGGGTTTCCTCGGTCATGATGATGGGCTGTCGCAATTTCCCCCACAGTCCAAGCTGTGTGCTACTATGTTTAGTGGGCTTTAGAAACGGTGGATAGTAGGACTGTCCGTTTCTAGGGTCAGACGTCATTGCCCAAAACTCTACGCTGTCCAATGCTCTTCCAGGAAACGAAGCAAAATCGAATTGAAAACAACCTCAAGACGTGTATCTATTCGCAGTTCCCTATTTGTTGGTCAGGCGTACTCTTTGAAGACCAATCGCAGCGATCCACGGTCCGACACGCAGCTGAACCGTCGACTTGGCCGTTTGACCGTTGAGTTCCATACAGCAAGGCAGTCGTGAAGAGGCTCTTCAACAAGTTGGGTGACAAATCCTTACCTACCTTACCTATTCAAAGGCTCGGCCTGATTTCATTGCTTGCGGAAAGACGCCGCTCATCCCCGCTGTCGGCGTCGCCCGTGGATGCTGGAAATGGAATGGACTTGAACGCAGGATCGGGCTGCTTGCAATAGAAGGAAGGTCTACCTGCAGGAAATGGAGAGAAAAGTTGGCGCGACTTCCATTCCCAGCTAACCAGCCCGGTTTTGTATTAGCGGATGGCTCCTTATTTGCTTACCATGGTCAGAACCAAGCTACTTACTTTGTTGCTAGTGCATCTGCCTTGGGACTGAATTAGGAAAGCAGAAGTTGCCGTGGAGCCGTGGCATCGTTGCAGGAGCAAAGGGCAGCCAAGAACTCCCCGCCCGTGTAAGGGTTAGGGCACGCTGGTCCCTACAGTCATTACGACATCGATGGCCAAAAGAACGGCATCGAGTCGGCAATCATCATGTTTGTCAATCCTTCGAGCACGACCGGGCATTCCAACACCACGGGACCGCTTTCCAACCCGGACCGGAACCCCACGGAGTATCGTTTCGAGCAGTCCGACAGTGCAGTCGACGATCACCAAAGACCGCCGATCAGTTGACCAGTCAAATCTCCCACGAACCCCTTCACCAGCTCGCAAATAAGAACAGGAACCGTGCGACCCACGTCGGTAGCTCTTGGACGACACCATCGCATCCATTTTCCTGCGTCATGGTGCCCCCACAAACAGTCGCAGACACCGACACGTGGAATAGCATTCCGCAACACTCATCTCTGCCAATAGATGAAGAAAGCTACGCACCAGAGAACTGGAAATGAGGCTTACCAGACACAAACCAATGCACAAGGCTCGCGGCAGTGTCTTACAGACTCTTGGGAAGGTTCCGACTGGCCAGTTCCGGTCGAAAATCAGTTCGTATCGATCACTCTACTGTTCACCCAAGATATCGGCGCCCCCGTAGCGCAGTGGAACACGATAGGAGCTTCAGCCTAGAAACTTGCGGGACACTGCTGACGATACCTTACACTAGCATAGCGCGGGTTGGCACATCAGCAACGCAGACACAGAGACATCATGGTACTCTCCGACCCCCCAGACCAAAAGACGGGCCATATACGCTACCCAACACAACCTCCTCGTTGTTATGCCGTGCCTTTTACCACACTCGTCATCAGTGGTTGTGCCGTCCGCTTGAGATGTTGTTTGTTTGCTATGCCTTGATTGTCACAAACATTCACCAGTATATGGCGAAGACGCTGGATTGCATCTCTTTGCGAATTCCGTCTGCTTATTGGATCGCGGGAGACTGGCCGTGTCAGCCGCCGCAGCCCCTGCATGGTCGTAATCCGAGCTTGACCAGGCTTGCCAAGGCCAAACCAGAAAGGGGCAAAGACTTCTAGACGGCGGCAGGGGCTTTGACTCCCTCGGGGCCTCGAGGGACTTTGGGGGGCATCGATGGGCTTCTTCAAGGCTAGCCCATAACGGTATGGAATTATTGGGTCAGCCAGACTTTGGGCGAGGGTTCCCTTGCCATCAATCTTGCCCTTGCAGGACAGATCCATCCATCACGAATGCTAGTCCAGCAAAAGCCCACTGAAAACTTCCAACAGAAGTTCCACAAGAGAGCCATGGAGGCGCTAGGCAAGCCTCCAGAACCTGACGATATTTCCATCGCGTCAACATGCTCGCACCCATTTTGGTTCCATTCAGCCCCACAGAGTCCACCGAAGAGCGGAGAGGATGAGCAAGAAAGAAAAACCAGAAGCCAAAAAGAGTCAGCGGTCACAGTCCTTGTTCTCTCACAAGTGCCGCGATCTGATAAGAAAACCAGGTACCAAGTTTACTGTAATGATTGCATGATTCGGTTGCTTGTCTAAACCTACGATCTACACTACACGTGCACATACACGGTAAAGTTACTCGTTGTGTCGTCTCCCAAATATTCGCTCAGAGACCAAGAAGACCGACTAGAAACCAATGTATTAGCGCCAACATTGTACTACACCACATATGATACTATGCGGACGAATTCCACCCTCGGCATGGGCTGTGACGAAAGGGTATCGACTACAGAAAAACCCTCACAAGACGACCATCTTCAGCACACGTGATCATTGGTTTACGTATTTACCAACAGCTCTGAAAAGCTACGCCTCGGCTCCCCACGTACATATTCGAAGCCTACCAGCCTTGAATCTACAGATGTTGAAAACGCCAGCCGATGTGTTTGTTTAGGCCGGTATTACGTAGACTCTGCCTTTAACCATTACACTTAGGCATCTATACGGACTTTATCGACTGTGTCTCTGTTTGGCGGCACTTTAAAGTAAAAACGTGTTCGTCTCGATGTGAGGATATCGGAAACGACAACGGTAACAGTAACGGATGACGGGGAACGTCCTGACTCGTGCGTGTCAACTTCTCCGCCATGGCGATGGCACCAAAGGTCATGAATCCAGAAACCCATCAGAGGAACCCACGTGCTGGATCCGAGTACATACAACGCAAGCATCGTAGTGTAGCCCCGCGAACCCCGGTGAGGGGTCGGTCCAAACTCCATTTTGAATCCATGAGCCCGGCGACCCCTCTCGGAAGTGGTGACAAGTCGGACATGTTCAGCCAAATCCACACCTCGGTCAGCTCAGGTCCTTTGACGACGATCTTTCCCCGGCACCGTCGAAAGGACTCAATCTACTTCGGGACTCGCTTGCCCAGCTGTCCTCACTCTTGCGAAGGGCCTCACTAGTCCTGTACCGCTCTTCTTGTATACCTTCTAGAAGTTCTTCTAATACCTAGTTGAATTGGAGCTTGCGATGCCAACTGGGTGGGTTACGGAGGAGGAACACCGGTGTGATGGAAACTATGGAAACCAAACCCCGCGCGATACCGCTTTCAGGGTTTCTAGGGCTACCTGGCCTGTGTCTACCCCACAGTTTCGGCCGACTTCCATTTAAAGTGCAAGAACCGGTTATACAGTAGAAACCCCTGAATCTGCAACTAATCCGGGCGGGCAAAAAGATTTGCACTTTCTGGGTGTTTGCAGTTGGGGGATCTGGTGCACAGACCATGAAGCCCCCTCCGGCTATTTGAAGACGCTCGGCTACACTAAAAAGTGGGACCTTGGAGCCTCGGTAACCGGGTATAAATGTTCTCTCCCACCAAAGTTGGACCCCTGCAATTGCAAATCCTAGCCAAATCCTTTGCACTTTGCAGTTTGCAGTTTTTATATGGGAAAACAATTCCGGCCGTCCAAAAACTTGCACTTTGTGGGGTGTTTGCACTTCCAAGGGGTTGCACTTCCAGGGGTTTCTACTGTATGAAGCTCTCAAGGTTCTTCTTTTGCTGGGTCTCTTGGGCTTCTCTGCTGCTGGCTTGCATCGGCCCCAGCGTGTCTGGTGGAACACGGAGCAACATTGTGGATGCCCAGTGCTCCGTGGTGATTCCTTTACCCACCGCATGCATAGCGTGCTCGGCGGCCCCTAGTGTAGTGTAGGAACGCGAAACATTTCCACCTCTAACCCGACGAGCCTCTCGGGATGCCTCAAAAGGCGTTAGCAAAAGTGGAAAGGAAGCGCAAAGAAACGAGAAAGGAAAGGTTCCCGACCGCGCCTAACGTAAACGCCAATCATGATGGCGTACATTGGTGCATGAAAGCGTAACGTAGTGTAGATGCCCAGCATGGATACTAGTTGTGGATATCAGAGTAGAGACCGGAATGCAACACGGTTTTGTCAAGATTGTCAAGGGGAAGGAAAAAAAAAAAAAAAAAGAAGGGAAAACTTTTTGCAGTATCATATCCACAAGTACAAGCTTCAAAGGTACGTATGCTTGTCGACTCCCTCCGTTTCGATAAGACTCCCGTTCTGTCTGTGGGTGGTGGGCGTTATGCTGACCAGGAATCCTGAACCGGCATTTGGTCTGCCCGTGGGGGAGCAAGGTATCCCGCAAGTCTATAAAGTTGAGGAGATGCGGTGTGATGGGACGAAAACTCGCGAGTATGTGAGCCTGTCCCTGCTGTTTACAGGCAATCTGATTACGAGCTGATCCCTACGAATCCGTCACATAGCAATCGATCCGTACCTGCCGAACTTCACGCAGATTCTGCCAGATACCCGACACTACTCCGGGGTGAGAATTGACAGCTTCACTTTGTCCGACCCAATGGCCGGGCCGGCCGTTCTTCACTATGAAAATAAACATGGTGAACCTCGGTTTTCTCATTCGCAGTGTGTTTCGTACCCTATTCTCGGGCTTTTTGGGGGGTAGTACTGACTGGACACTGTTATCCTAACCTACCTACCTACCTCTACCTTAACAAGTTTGCGCCTCCTGGTTCCAACCATGGAAGTGGAAGCTCTAGCTAGGGCACTAAGCTGTAGTATTATAAACTATAGCGCGACTAATTATCAAGCACCTCATAGCTCCTGGCTACCTTACTTCAGAAGTTGAGGATGGCAACCCGCCTGGATATCTCTCTAAGGTAAGGAGTCATCATACCTCTACGGGAGGCTCTGTCGCTGTTCACGACTCGTCGCTGTGTGTCTCTCCAATTTCTTTGACGGTGTAAATTTAGCATTGAGGTGTCTTGGCAGGTTTGTGCCAATGAGTGGTCAGTACATCGGAAACCCCAACCTTGATAGCGTTTACTAGAGATGCAGGCAAAATGCTTAGCTGACAAGCCACGTCACCAAGTCTTCCAGATACCACCTATCTTGCGGGGCGCCAAGTCAGCCAAGAATTTTCCTTTTCCTCTCTTTGTTTCTTCAAGCCCACAGGCAATTTGGTACACTTTGCTTCGCTTCCTCCTCGTCAAGCTCCAGCACTTGGAACAATTTTGTCACCCCGTTACAACTGAAGGGAACCGATCAACCGAAGCCACGAGCTACGGTAGCACTCAGAGGTCGGTACCATACAACATAGTCCGTCTCTCTGTGGCTTGGACTATCTCCCAGCTGTATCCTTACGATGATAAATGGAACACATTGGCGGTTTCTATTTACCCAACTTGCTCTCAAACTTTGACGTCTACACTAGAAGCACAGGACACACTGCAAGGTACCAACCATATGTCAGGTTTGCATCCTAAGGTCGTCCAATGATAACTGGGCGCATTTCCTAGTGCAAGGTACAGCATGTGCCGTGCAGTAGTGGTACACTACAAAAACGCACCTGAGCATGTCGATCACTGGGTCTAGCCGTAATTTTGACAGCTGGAAGTCCCCGACATCAAACATCTTGACCACTTTCAGGAACCGCGCTCACGGGGGAACAACCTTCGAAGAAAAAAAAAAAAAAAGAAGTTACAAAGGTCCAACGGTCACACCGCTGCCAATAGCGTCCGGGTGGATTGTGAGTGGTGTGACAATCCCGACTGTCGCCTACGTAACCGACGCGAGTCTAGTATGGGTTCGTTGCTTCCCATCTCGAAATTCCGATGAGAGAATCCCCTAGCTGATGGAAGGGCGATGGATGCCACAGAACGGTCCGAACGCGCACGGCCTCATGTCTCATTTATATACCCAGTCCGTCGGCTCGTCAGGGCACAGACCGCTGCTGACCGACAGTTGGAAATAAGGAAATCCGAGCCGGTTATGATGGATTACTCGAAGAACTCGCTCGGTTTCTCATCTGGTTTGGTCTTAGTCCGAACAGGTCTCACTCTGGTCCGACCTTCCGAGCCGCGCGCAGCTCATAACCTCTTTGCTTCCTTACCTTCTGGGTTGGGCTGCCAAAATGGCTGATGAGAAAGCCGAGCGAAGCGAAAGAAAATAAACACAAAAAGGGAAGCATGCGGCTCTGGTTCCGTTCCCATTGCCCAACCATCTCAATAGAATCGGGCAAGGTGGTGAAAGCGACGACAAAGAGGGAAGAAGGAAAGGCCAGATACGGTATGTGATTGACGAACGTCCTTTTCCTTGTTCAATAGTTCCCCCCCACTGTCGTCGTCGTAGTTTTCTTCCCTGGCCGGGGCTCTCTTGCTGAACGTACCGGGTGTCCATTACACCGGGACGGCTCTTTGCAGCGCCGATTGGACAATTGGTCCCGTTGTGTACGTCTTAACGTGATTGGTGGCCTCGTATGTTGTTTTCTGTCGTTCGATTTATTCTTCTCTCCCTTCGCTCGTTAACTGTTCCCGAAGTTGGGAGAGATGGCAACTGATGGTCTAAAGATGCGATGCCCCTTGTCGGTAGAATCATCATCCCTTTGCGCTCTCATTCGTTGATTGGCGCTGTTTCCGAACTTGATGACAGGCATGCCATTTGTTTCTTCTTTTGTCACCTCTGTCCTTCATCATGTCGCTATTGTTTAGTTCATGGAATGTGTATACGAAGGCTCGGGTTGAACTCAAAGAATGAGATATGAAAAATTCAAGGCAGGTTTCTAAAGAAAGCACGAAGGCTGCCGTATGACCATGGACAGACAATTATTTGATCAAAGCCGTCTTGAATACAATAATCAATATCCATCATTCTGCCTTTTCTCCAGCGCCCATGGTTACCACTGTTACCTAACCATCCACCCTCGTCTTGTCCTAAGATTTGATGCCATTCAATAAACCACGACTGAACATGCCACTGTCAATGCAACTTCTATCGCACTATCGTCGATGACCTAAAGTGGTAGGAAATTGCTCAGGAGACCTGACTAGGGGTATGTAGCTGATGAATCCACATCTTGGCTTCTCTTCCATCCTTCATTGCTACAAATTTTGCACACTTTGATTTTAAGATTTTAAACACGTCAAGAACACCCAGTACCACCGTACATCGGGCGGTGCTTCTGCGACCCCAGGTTGTATACCTTCGACTGAACGTACATCAACATGGCCGCAGCCATAGCCACGTGAAACAGAAACACACTACGTTCGTATGTCTCAAGTGGAAACTTGGGAAGTAAGGCGTGCATAAGTAAGATTGTACTTGTATAATACATGAGTAGGCAGGATGAGGCATAACTGGATGGCTGTGGCCAAAATACTGACTAGATGTCGGACTGCTACGGACAGAAATGGACATTCGTTCTTGGTTGAGTGTCCGTACGTCAAGCCAAGAGCCGTCAAGTGAATAGAAGTATATTGAAAAATAGAGCCCATAAATATAGGCAGGGCAAAAGGATTAAGGGCTGCTTATAGCATCAAGCAAACTCGAAGAATAGTTCAAAAGGGGGTATCTCCATCACGGAACTCAAAGATCGCCACCCAAGCCAAAATCATGTCTCCCACCCAGACACTCACTCTTCAACCGTAAGCTCAATCCTTTTCGACCATTAACTTTTCGAAGGCCTCGAAATGACCTGCTTTCACACAAACGCATAACCCACAAAACCCACGCTCTGTTTTCCAAAAACGCGCCTCCAACGCCCTCACCTACCACTCCCTTCCACTTCGTTGATCATCATCACGTCCAGGACCACCAATAACCTCAATCTCACTCGCTATATGGGTCTCAACCCTGACCACCCCGCCTCTCGGTGGATGTCCTAACGCCGTCCCAATCTGTTGATTTTCAGGCGAACTGATTCCGAGTCCCGTCGATCGATCGGAAGCGGAAGCAAAGGAGGATTCTTGGCGGACAGCGACACTGTATGATGGCGGCGGTGAAAGGTGAGGAGGTCCTGTGGTTGAACGAGAAGAATGGGAAATTGGCGAGTCTTGGGCGTGGCCCGCAGAGTCGTCTTTGTCCTTCTGGGACCACACGCGTGTGTCAACTCCTAGGGTAATGTTGGTGTGGCTGGAAGCAAAGGGACTCCATGGTGCCGCTGGCATCAATGGGTTCTTGAGTGTCCCATTGCATGTGCTATTTAGCGTATCTGGCTCTTTCTGTTTTTGTGCCTTTCTCGTCGCCCGATATCGCTCCTCCTGTGGTGAATGTCTTGAGGAGAATGTGGGGGTTGGAATCGGCGGAAGAGGGCAGGTAGGTGAATTCGAAGGCGGTAGGATTGTTGTGGAGGAGCTGCTGAGTGTGGTGTAGCCTTGAGAAAGCTTGTTGACAGTCGTCCGTTTCTGCTTTCCCTCCGTCTTCTTTGCTTGACCCGCGTGCAGGGATGGTATGTAAATGGATGACAGTGGCATTGGCAATGTGATGGGGACGTGGAAAGCATTCGGTCGAAGATACCATGGGTTGCGCGCTGGAGGGGAGGGATCATCTGACAAGTCGGGCCAGGGATTATGGCTGACATTTGCTGTGGGTGAGGACTGGCTAGGGTACAAGTCCGAGTATTCTTTTCTGAATTCATCGTATGGAGCACGTGGGACGGTATGGGAGCCTTCACCCGTAGTTTGTGCAGGTTTTAGTCGGTTTGTGAGGGGTATGTCCTCAGTGATAGGAAGGATAGAGAAGTCGTTTCCACTATGGCTGTTCATTCAACTGTACGTTAGCATCCAGATGGTCTCATGTGATGGTTATGTTGTGAGGCTTGTGAGTTTCATACCTTGTGACTGTACCCCTTTTGCCGTTTTTCGTCATGGATGACCACCACGATTGCGAACTTGTTTGCGTACTAAGCTCAGATGGTGGTTCAGACTCATCGGGGTCATATTCTTGATACAGCTTGGGCCAAATCTTTCCTAAGCCAAGAAAAACGAGAACCAAGCGATACTGGTTATATGCCTCAACTGTTGTACCGAAGGTGATGCAAATGGCCACCGAGCTCACCACTGGAACATAATTGGTAAGGACTGTGGAGACTTGCATTCTTTCCGTCGTTGTAAACGAGACAAAGTCGATGTTGGCGTGAATGCGATGGAGGTCGAACGGCAGCGTCCACGGCCAACCCTGAATGAGGTTGAAGACGAAGAAGACGCAAACAATCGGCACAACTAATACCAGAATGGAGAGAGTGAGAAAGTAGAGCTTTCGCCGCAGGCGTTTTTGTCTCGCGGTTCGTATACTATCATCACTTGGTAGGACTTCGCGAGTGAGTTTCTCCAGCTGTCGGTACTTGTAAAAACAAACTCCTGTATACATTGTAAGCGATTTCGAAACATTCCATGGGCTTTACTTTATATCTTACCTGCCAAGCCTGCTGCCCCAACCGTGAAGACTGGCGAGGGGAGAATGAAGAAAACAAAGAAGACGCCATTGGGATCAAAGACGGCATTGCAACCGGCAAGGGTTAAGATGTCGTACCGTTGCGTGATGATGAAGTAAGTGAGCAAGACCTGTAACAACGGATTTCCGAAGATGATGAGGGCCGAAATTCGGTCCTTGCGTTTCTTTTCCTTAGGACTGAGGCTGGTGACTCGCGGGTTACCAATCTTGTTGGCAAGACCGAGCATGATGTCGAAGAGAGTGGTGTGAAAGATGGTTTCGACCGCAAAGAAGACGTAAGTATGGAAATCACACCACCCATAGCCAGCATACCACTTCTTGACGTTGTTGTCTCGCCATATGAGCGAGTTGACGACGTAAAAGAAGTTGAGCGTGACTGTCGACATGCAATGTACCGTGGCAGAAAATTCGCCATTGATCCATAATAGCCTCGCAGGCACGAGAGGAATGAGGATTCCGAGGATTCCCAGAAAGACTCTGAAGAAAAGGTTGACCTGGAGGCCAATATCGGTGTAAGGAGCGGGAGGGCCAAGTCGTTCTTCGGGTGTGGTGGTGTAGGGGGTGGTAATGTTGGCGACACTTGCCCAAGAATCTGTGTTGTTCATTTTGAAATCTCTTCTTCAGGGACCCGTGACGGATGTTTCTGTGCTTTCGTGCACGGGTGATACAGAAACTCGCGAAAGTCCGAGCAGTGAGTGATTGGCGTAACGGGACAACAGATTGACATCAAATGGGCGACGACAAAGGCGAGGATGGCGACGATATCAGCGTTAAAACCAAAGTCAAACCAGAGGCTACAATGAGAGGAGGAAGTTCAAGAGAGGCATGACGCCGACGATGGCTGAAATGGAGTCGGGTCGAAGCATGATCTATTGATCTATTCAGAGAAGGCAGCTTATAGGAAAGATTTGTGAATGGGAAAGACGGAATGTCTCAATCGCGCTGGTGGAGCGAACCCAAAAGCAATAAAGTTTGGTGTAGGTGATGAATGAGTCTGTCATCCGATGTCTACCACAGAGTAGTGTATTCAAACCGAGCATCCTTATTGAGGCTCTATTCAAGCCCAAAAGGGGTTTAGCGCGGGCCTCAACCAAAGATGGGAAGAAAGAACGTGTAAGTTGTCGCAGACACATTTTCCCGAAAGCAAACTTAGCATCGCAGTTGTTGAAAAATGGAGTGTAGTTGCCGTTTGTCCATTGGCATAGTAGAAGCGGCCGGATCGATCTTGTTGGTGCCGTTGAGTGTAACCCGAGATCCTCAGCATGGTGGTGGTACAAACCACGTGCTCTGCCGACCGAGAGCGCGCTCGGGATTTGGCTGTTAACGCCCGGTCCCGGAAAGCTGGGTGGCTTCCGGTGGGTAGCCGATTGCCTGTTGCCGGTCTTTGCTTAGTTGCCATCGTCCTTGGAGGGCTGAAGATCAAGTTGCTGTAGATTGTGATATGTTACCCATCAAGGGAGGTAAAGATAGTAACTTGGTGATGAGTGATATCAACAACAAGGCCTGATGAGGCAGTCGGTCGAGTGGGATCCAATTTCGGAAATCGATCTGAGACTTCCGAGGAGCTCACATCAGAAGAAGAAATTCCCAGCGTTTGATGGCCATGGTTGGTGTGATGAAGAAATGGAAGATGAGAACAACGAAATCACAGGAAATGGTTAAGTTGAAAGTTACGGTGTTGGCTGCAGTGCAAAGCAAGGGAAGTGTTAGTGTGGGCAAGACGCTTTTTTGACGCCATGGTGTGCACATAGACAGCCATTACACAGGTACGGAAGCAGCGCCGACGCTAACTGGATGGATGTCTTATCTTATCGGACCCCATGCATCATGGAGAAAAGAAATCGGTGGTGGATTTGGGGACCTGGACGTGACGAATTGAAACGTCTAGAAGCTAGCTGGAACCCCTCTAGAGAAGCTAAAGTCTACATATGTAGTAAACGTCCAAATCCGATCCTCCAACAGCTTCAACACCACCCATCCGACCAACCCAACCAGTCACGCCCTCAACATGTCCGCCTTCCTCCGCCCCGTCTTTGGCGCCGCCGCCCGCCCGGCCGTCCGCTCTTTCAGCTCTACCTCCGCCCGCGGCGTGGCTCGCGTCCAGATTATCGGCAACCTCGCTGACACGCCCGAGGTCCGCGCTACCAGCACGGGCCGTGAGATGATCAAGTATGCTGTCGCCAGCAACTCGGGTCCCCGCAGCGACCGCGTTACCAGCTGGTTCAACATCACCAGCTTTGTCGAGGGCAAGGCGCGCGACTTCCTGCTGACCCTGCCCAAGGGGTGCGTAACTCTAGCCCCAGTGGTGTGATCGAACGATAAAACTGACCGCCAGCGACAGAACCACCGTCTTCGTCGAGGGCGACCTGTCCCTGAGGAACTGGAGCGATGAGGAGGGTCGCAACAGACAAGCCGTCAACATCCTTCAACGTACGTCACATCAGCACCAATGCGCCGTTCCATTTCACATCTGCTCATTGCTAACTAACAACAACTATAGGCAACATCGAGGTCCTCCGCCGTCCCTATACCGGCCCTCGCGAGACCACCGAGACCGAGGCCGAGGCCGAGGGCGAGGCCCAGGAGCAGCAGTAAAGTTGAGCTGAACTTGGCATATGGCCAATCGACAGTTGCTGTTCGCTGCTGGCGTCGCTACTGTTGTTACTGGGGGTTCCACGAATGGGCTCGATGGAGTTTACGAATTACGAACTTTGGGTTTCAGCAGGACGCTGTGTGTAGCTTCGCGAAGCTGAGTTCTTTCCTATATACCCATGTACCATCATCTATCTCTCTTTCTTAGAATTTGCAGAGCTTCCGTGTGTCGTATGCATATTGAAGGTTGATACTGTGATGCCTGCCGTCGAAACTCGCAGAATTTCGCCATAGACAATGCAGGGTCAGAGATGTCCAACAATCACGTCCATGCTCATTGACGACCGCCATGGAATGCGACTGCTAGACCTTTTAGGTCTTCCGTTTTCTGCGCAATGGCTATGGCGATTTTCGCGAGTCTCTACGGTAGGTGTTGCCATCCTGTGCTCATGCCCTGTGTTTGTTTGGTGTCGATCGGGGACGTGGGGTTCCTGATGCCTACTAGCTACAGGGCAGCAGCAGTTGTGAAAGGTGAACGCTAGATAGACCCCGCGGCGTGGTACCAAAGCCCCAGGTCAGTTTGGGTCCACTTTTTTTTCCGGTCAGGGCCGCTACATTGCTTGTCCATATTCACTGTCTTCATCCTTTTGCCTCCATGCGATCCGCGCAACCTCAGCCATGTCAAAACTCCTGATTTCTAGGAGCCTTGGCCGGCCCCTTCGGCGGCCGCTCTACCAGTTTTGGAGCACTGGCATCATCAAGACGAGGACCTTTGCGACGGTCGAATCCGATGCGAGGTGAGTACTTGACCACCCAGTCAACGACAAGCACACTATCGACATCTACCTATGCCGAAGGCAAAAGGAAACTACCATGTCTGACCAGCTCTTCCGATACTGTCCAGGCCCTTTGATGTCGTCGTTATTGGCGGAGGTCACGCTGGATCCGAGGCGTGCGCTGCGGCTGCCCGCGCTGGCGCGAGGACGGCGTTAGTGACACCCAGCGTCGAGAACCTTGGTGTTTGTTCCTGCAACCCTAGTTTCGGCGGTATCGGCAAAGGAATTATGATCCGCGAGATTGATGCTCTCGATGGTCTCGCTGGCCGTATCATCGACAAAGCTGGTGTTCAGTTCAGAGTCCTCAATCGGAAGAAGGGTCCTGCCGTTTGGGGTCCTCGCGCCCAGATCGACCGAGCGCTATACAAGAAGCACATGCGCGCAGAGCTCGAATCATATCCCAACCTCTCCCTGGTCTACAACAGTGTATCCGACATTGTAGTTTCCGAAAACGACAATCCTTCCAACGGAGCGAGATCCAAGATCACTGGTGTCAGGTTGGAGTCGGGCGAGGTCTTGCCTACAAGTCAAGTGATCATCACCACCGGAACATTTCTCGGCGGCGAAATCCACATCGGTATGGAAGCATATCCTTCGGGCCGCATGGGTGAAAAGGCGACTTTTGGTCTCAGCAAGTCGCTTCGGGAGGCCGGGTTCAAGCTCGGGCGCTTGAAGACAGGAACGCCGCCACGGTTAGACAAGAAGAGCATCAACTTCGATATTCTCGAAAAGCAGTATGGCGATGATCCGCCAAACCCGTTCAGTTACCTGAACGAAGTTGTCGCTGTCAAGGACCAACTTCACTGCTGGGCCACCTACACCAATCATGCGACACACGAGATTGTGCGCGCGAATCTCGACAAGACGATTCATATTCGCGAGACAGTCAAGGGACCTCGGTATTGCCCTTCGCTCGAGTCCAAGATTATCCGCTTCAGTGAGAAGGAGCGCCATCTTGTGTGGTTGGAGCCCGAGGGTTTCGACAACAACATTATCTACCCCAACGGATTGAGTATGACTGTGCCCGCCGAGGCCCAGCTGGCATTGCTTCGCACCATTCCCGGCCTTGAGGACGTCATAATGACCCAACCCGGTTATGGTGTTGAATACGACTATGTCGACCCCCGCAGCCTGAAGCGCACACTGGAGACCAAGGCCATCCGCGGTCTATGGCTCGCCGGACAGATTAACGGTACCACTGGCTACGAAGAAGCAGCAGGCCAGGGTATTGTCGCCGGAATCAACGCCGGCCGGGCCGCTATTGGTCTTGAACCCGTCACTCTTTCGCGGGCCGATGGTTATATCGGCGTCATGATCGACGATCTCATCACCAAGGGCGTCTCGGAGCCCTACCGCATGTTCACCTCGCGCAGCGAATTCCGCATGACCACGCGGTCCGACAACGCCGACTCGCGTCTGACAGCCCTCGGCCGTAGCTGGGGCGTCGTTGGCGACCGTCGCTGGAGCCATTTTCAGGACGAGAACGGCCAGATGGCCGAACTGCGCCGCATCCTCAGCGAGACCATCTTGTCCCCACAAGCCTGGCAGAATGCCGGCTTCGACGTCAAGGCGGACAGCCGCAGGCGCAGCGCCTTGGAGATTCTCTGCTTTAAGGGAGCATCGATCGAGAAGCTCTATGAGTCGGGTGTTGTGCCTAAGCTGATGGACTTTTCGGAACGCGTGCGCGAGCGGACTTTTATCGAAGGGCTGTACGCGCCCCAGATCGAAAAGCACGAGTTGGAGCGGGCCAGGTTTGAGCGCGAGGAGGATCTCAGGCTGCCGCTTGATTTGGATTATGACCAGATCGCTAGCCTCTCCTTGGCCGAGAAGGGCGTGCTCAAGGCCACTAGGCCCGAGAGTCTGGCGCAGGCAAGGAGGATAGAAGGTATAACCCCCGCTGGATGCATGCGGTTGCTCGCGCATGTGAAGAGGAGGAATGGGGACCTCAAGAGCGGTAGCAGGTCCGGAGGTCTTGAGGAGATTGCATCCGAGTGGAGCAAAGAGGCGCCCGACGCAGACCTTGACGCCGTTGGTGAGGCGTTGACTGCTGCTGAGGGTGATATGGAGACTGTGGATGCTAAGGTAAGGGCTGCTGATCTCTGACATGCTGGCCGAGATGATTGAAGATATGACCAAAAAAGGGGAAAGGTGTCTGGTGTAACGATAGCATTTGAAGAAAAGCGTAGCATATACTGGATGGGAAGGTCAGGTTGATTTTTGGAGTAGAATTTGTCAATATGTATAATACTTGGTATATAGAGAGTGAAGTCCTACCGATTGTATGAAAAAATCAATGCCTTAGTTTGAGAGCCATTTCACTTAATGGCGGTCTGTAACAATACAGTAGGACAGAGCAAAGTCGGATGCTCCGGTTTTGGGGCTCCGGGATGAGGCCGGTGTCAGTCCCACTTTATCGGCCGGGCGGGGCCGATGGTAGAAGACCAATCAAAAATCTGATGCACTAAAATGCGAGGGTGCACCGTGCATCCGATTGCTGGCAAAACTACTGCGAGGTACAAAGCCCGGCGCACTCCGTTCACACCCCACCAACGAAGGTCCTCGCCGACGGATGAGGGCGGATCGTCGTCCCAATTCTCTTGTACCGATCCGTCGTAAAGGCAGGGCTTGAGTAAACAGATCGTTTTGTCGTGGGTGTCTTGGGAACATCTTGTACGCCTCACTCCGTGGTCATTGCTCTCCTTTTTTTTTCTTTTCCTAAAAAAAAAAACCATCTTGACTTACCCACATCGACAGGGGAAGAGGAGCATTGCGACGCCTAGCAAAATCCCGGTCCTACTAAATCCGGTATTCTTCTCGAAATCGTACAGCCGACGAATGATTGACAGGGCGAGAATGCAGTGACGAAAGAGACATCTCCATACGACCTTCACCACATTCATTCAGCTCTTACATATCCACACCACTCACTCATTCAACATGTTGCGACTTAACACCTCGCCCTTGTTAGGCTTGCGCTCCGCTTCCGCTTCTCTTTCCCAGTCGATGACCTCGAGGCTGTTTGTTCAGCAACGTCGCCTCCAAGATGGTGGCTTGAAAACGCCCATCGTTCTCCTGCAGTCACATTCGCTATGGCAGTCATGTTCAGCCCGAGGTCGCATGAACAACGGATTGTCTGTTGCGCCTGCTGTGCGTGCTAGGCATTTTACCGTGTCCAAGTGGTGGAGGAGTCAGGAAGACAAGAGCGGGTAGGTCATGATGACATGAAGACATGAGTTGATCTGGCCAAGTAGTTTGATTCTGTCCTGGCTCATTTCATCATACACTTCGCTTGAGTCGCCGAGTGCCCTCGTGCCAATATTCATCTTCACTCACATACAAATGACCCGACACTTCACTAACCCACTCCCTCCTTTAAAGACCAAAACCACCATCTCGCCTCGCCAAAACCACAGCAGCGCTCAAAGCTGCCCTCCCACAGACCGGTGCCATCACCAAGCGCGAGAACATCCACACCATCCCCAACTGGCTGACCTTCTCTCGCCTAGTCGCCGCCCCTTTCATCGGCTACTGCATCCTACACGATCATCATGCCTGGGCCCTCGGTCTTTTCGCCTATGCGGGCGTGACCGACCTTTTGGACGGCTGGATTGCGCGGAAATGGAACCAGGGTACTGTGGTCGGCACCATCATCGACCCCATGGCCGACAAGACGCTCATGACGGTGCTGACCGTGACGCTGGCAACCAAGGGACTCCTGCCCGTCTGGCTGGCCGTTATTATCTTGGGAAGGGACGTGGCTCTGGCTATTTCTGCTTTGTACTTCCGCTGGATCTCGCTGCCGCCGCCCAAGACGATGGCACGGTATTGGGACTTTTCGCTGCCCAGTGCGGAGGTCAGACCGACAGCGATCAGCAAGTATAACACCGCCTTGCAGTTGGGGTTGATGGGGTTGACGACTGTGGCCCCGGTTGTGCCGGCGTTGGATTTGGCGTGGAGTTTGATGGTGATGCAGTAAGTTCTCTCTTAATTGTGGGTCATGGTGTTTTGATAGAAGATGATGACTGACGAAGCATGGCGCCAAAAAGATATGGCGTTGCTGTCACGACGATCTGGAGCGGTGCTAGCTATGTGTATAGCAAGGATGCTGTCAAGATTCTGACGCAACCTGCTACGCCCAAGGGTGCCGAGAAGGAAGGGAACACCAAGGTGGTCGATGAGGTGGAGGCGAAGAAGGTGGAGGATGAGATGACCACCAAGCAGTAGTGATCAATTTACGGTAGCGAGTGCTAGGAGCATGATGGTTGTGATTTTCGCTTCCAAAACACTGCAAATCAAGCGCACTGGGATGGTTGCCCTGAGAGACTACAGCAACCTTAATAGGCGCGCCCAAAAGTTGAGCCCGGCGTTGACCTTACGCACCACAGAGATACAACATAGTCGTGAATATTTTTTATTTTTTTTTGGACCGCCATCGTTGGTGAGGTATATCGCGTGTTTTGGACACTGAACCTTGTGTGTCTTGTTCGGCGTGTAGACCTGATCTACGATATTTACACGCCACCTCCAACACCGTCTACTTGTCCTTACTTAGAATGTGTTTGTGATCAATTATCGTTGTCCTATTTACCTCACTCAAAAGGACAGGAAACAAGCAAAGAAAAAAGAAAAAGAAAAGGGATCTGTCTAGAAATAGTGAAGGAATGGGGCAAAAAATTGTCAAAAAAAATCGATCCACCCAGGGGTCGAACCTGGAACCTCCTGATTCGTAGTCAGACGCTCTGCCATTGAGCCAGCGGACCTTGAATGACTGTGGGAGAAAAGCTATCTCACTATATACAGGTCTCAACAACTCAGTAAAGTGCAATTGTGAGAACTCTTTGCAAACTAGGTATGTAAGTCGGGGGCTTTTTTACACTCGCAAGACTGCTCACAGGACGAATGGTTCCCGTGTCGATTTCAATACCGTAACAACGTTAACTTATAATATTCAATACCGCGGAGGAGCTATCCATGGGACACCGTGCTTTCAGTGTGACTTGTTCTCTAGAGGACGCGGTTTTTCTTTTGGAAAACGTCTAAGGAATTAGTTTCTTCAAGAACGAGCCGTCTAATATAATTTTACCTACTACCCGCCTGTAGCAAAAGACCTGCCGTCGATAGCACTAAATTGTGGCCCATCTGCCTGTTAGCCAGCATATAGATATATAGGGCAAAAGGACAATATCAGAAACACTACTACCCTGACAGCACAACCAAGAGGGCGTGGTAAGAGAGACGTGACAGCTTGAAGAACTATAGAAACCATGAACTCGGCAAAGAGCTCAACTCAGTACGTAAAGCTTACGACAAGTCATCACGAATTTTTGGGCACTTTGCTGTAAATTTGTTTCGCTTCAGGTCCGGCAACCATGAGCTTGCTAGTCTAGAAAGTCCGAAAAATAAAGTAGGAAAAAAAAAAGAAGTGGCAAGTATCTCAAGTGTCCAAGATGCAGACAGAAACGACAAGACAAGATCTAGAAGATATTAACAAAAAGATTGGAAATAGAAAAAAGAATGAAAACATACAGCACCTGGGATTCGCTGGTCGTCACCGACCCAACTACTAGTCAAGCGATTGGTGGCTTATCTATGGGAGAGCGGACGGGATCCCGAGTTTTCCACCATCTATGGCCGTATGTGATAGATTAGGATCCAGAACCAACTTATAAAGCCTCCCTGATATTATAATCGTTGTGTCTTGTCTACTGTACAACGTGTCTATTTTCTGTATGATGCGAGCAGTGGTTGAGACTACCGAAACCATGTAGACCTTGAACTAGAAACCGATTTAGGGGTATGAATTTTGCCTGTCCTTGACGCCTCCAACATGATTTAACTTTTTTTCAGAAGGGGGTAGATATATAAGTAAGTAGGTATGTATGCGGAATTCTCAAAGGTTACCTCCACAGTCTATCATCCACATTGAGTTCCCTCAACTTTGTTCGCCTCTGTCCGTTTGCAACATCCTCTGGTATCCTCATCCCCTAGCCACATCACCTCCTTCTCAGTACCACCCACCTTCTTGCACTCTAGTTCTCGCCCCCGTTGAACCATCAGACACATGACACATGCGACTCTATCGCCGGCTCTTGAGCAATTGCTGCAAGTAAGCCATCACGGCCTTGCGGTCCGTTGAGCTAGTGAGCGCACGCAAGAAGTCCTCGGCACCCATGCCAACGGCCGGGAACGTAACCGTCTGACAGTGATTGATGAACTTCTCGCCCGTCTTGAGGTAGATGATTTGCTCTAGACCGGTAATTTCGTTCAGGATTTGCCGTGTTTGAGCATCGGCATAAGGTCTGAAGTTAATGTCCTGCATGACTTCCCAGCACGCAGCGTGGAACTGGGTGAGCATGAACTGGTCGAATCCCGGGAAAGCGGGCGCGGGCACTCCGTTGGCGGTAGGGTTCTCGCCGATGGTAGCGGCGTCAGGACCACCCCACTGTTGAGCCATCCGCGCAAGCACATTGAAGCTAATGCGACTGGCCACGATGTTACCGTGAACAATGGTCTTGGCAATAGTCATGATGGAGTTCACGAGGGATTCGAAGACACCCTGGTTGGATGTGCTTACGAGAACGCCGCCAAGATCGTTGATCAGGATAACCTGTACGAACGACACGTACTCGCGACGCAGCTCCTGCAGCTGGATCTCGTCATCGGTTCCGTTGATGGGTTCAGAGAGACCGGCGAACACACGCTGGAGAAGCGGGGTGAGAAGGAGGTCGAGGATGTTATAGATCTCGCCCTTGAAGTTATAGACGATCTGCTCCAGTAGGCGAAGGAAGAACGCCATCTCGTCCTTACTGGAGCTTTGGGAAAGGAGCCCTTCGATCCACTGGGGCAGTTGTGGGAGAATGGTAGCCCCGAGTACACCAAGAAGACGGGAAAAGGCGGAACGGCATGCGGCACGGATTTCCCCATTGGTATTAAGCTCATTAAGAGCAACCAGGATTGCCTCAGACGCCCTGGAGAACTCTGCAGAGACGGCTTGTGGTGGCGTACGCTGGTTGTTGGGGTTCTGTGACTGGTTCGGGTCGGCAAAACCGTTGGCTAGGGTGCCAAGGGCCATGATGATATGGTGAATTTGGAGGATGGCCTGCGCATCGCCAGACTTTGCACGGGGCAGATGTACGCTCATATCGGAGAACAGAGGTTCCATGACCGAGCGAGCATAGAGAGCCTGATCAGCCTCCGGTGTGGTGGAGGTAGATGAAATGCAGCCGATGGCCTCGAAAAGGTACAGCTGACCGTTGAAGATGGCGTCGGCGGAGTGATCAGACTCATCCGAGGACATATCGTCCTCCGCTTCAGTGCTCGGCACCTCGGCCTTGATAGGCAAAAGGTCGCTGATCGACTGAATAACAGTCTTCGCCACATTGCCCACTTGGGCTCTCAGCTGCTTCACAAACCGAAGGAAAAGATACCAGGACCTGGTCCTAACTCTAGGGTGCTCGTGATGGATAAGGTGTACAAAATTCTCCAGCACGGGAGCAATGTATTGGCGGTGTGACTCGAAGAACGCATGGTAGCGCACGCAAATCTCCATGTACTGAAGAAGAATAGCAGGATGGGGGAAGTTTGCGATGCCTATTGAAGTTGTTAGCTCGAAACCCAGCAGACGTTTCAAGGACGAGAAATCTTCTTACCAGACTCAACCATCTTGCTCATCATGACAGCAAGACGCTCGGTAGCAACGACATTAGGTTCGCTTTTGTGAGCAAGCCCGGCGTTTGGCAGAGCAAGCTCGCCGAACAGGTAGATCTCGTGCAGGGCCAAATCCAAATCCCTCCAGTCCATTTGTGGGCCTTGCTGCTCCAGCGTTGCGAACATGTTGCCCACAAGGTTACTCAAGAATTCGATATATAGAGTCTGGTCAACGGCAGCCACGCTCTTTTGAAGAATCTGTAGCCTTTTTCGGAGCTCCTGAAACTCGGCCTCATCGCTCTCTCCATCCTCAGTGCCCCAGGAAGAAGTCTCGTCGTATCTCATCTTGGCAACAATGGCACTCAAAATAGGGCGAAGCATTTGAGAATAACTGTCAGGGAGTGTCCCGACCCTACGAAGGAACGTCAGAAGGTCGGTGAGCGAAGGGATAACCGTCGAGCACACTTCGTCAAATTCATCTGAAAATAGACGGAGAAGGGCCGGCAGGAAATCCTGAAGGTGACGTTCGGCCTTTGCTCGGGTCTCGGCGTCGACTTTGTTGTCCTCCAGAACCCGTACTACGTCCGTCATGATGGTGTTGAGGAGCTTCGCAACGACTTCTGCGAGGTCATTGTCGTAACGAGAGGTGCCCTTGAACTCGTGCAGTCCTTGGCTTGCAAGCAGTTCTGTGATGATGCCACCGAGGTTGAGGAACGATATCAGCTCCATCTTGTGGCTCGGTCCCATCTTCTTGGCGACAATCTCCGTCAACGTATCAATGGCGGTGTCCCTCACGGTATCAATATTGTTGCTCGTGTTGTTAACTCTGCCGACCAAGGGCAAGATCAAGTTCTGCATGTCCTGACTGACGACAAGGGAAATATCGATCCAGCTGACCCATTTCCCAATCACCTTAAGCGTCAACTCTACCACGCCATCATGCTTATTTGTCCACTGAGCGAGGATATCCTGCCACGACATGGCAATCTTCTGCATATGCCGTTCTCGAATTAGATCTTTGAGATCGTTGTTCCTCTTCGACTCGTTTCCCTGACGGCTGATCATAAGGTCGGCGATTTCGTCATGGACGGAGCTTAGTATGCGGAGGTACAGCATAACGCCGCTGAGGTTGTCTCTTGAAGCACCATTCTGGGAGCTGGTCAAGGCAAGGAAGTCGTCGAAAAAGGTTTCCCAGCCTTCGCCGTAAAGAGCGACAAAGAGATACGTGAGGGTTTGTGTGAGCTTGTTCTGAACGTTCGCAGGGTCGGCTTGGTCCTGAGCGTTAGGACCATATGTGCGTGTGATATAGTCGAGTAGAGAATTTTTCACAAAGGCGAGATCGGGGGCGTCCAGCCCTTGAGAGTGAACGGCGTTATTGACCATTTCAAGGGAGACATGGCGGACGATGTCGGATGCTCTGGGGCTTCGCGTGAAGAGCGCGGCGCAGATACGCCATGCTTGGACGTCGGTCCTGACTTGGTTGAGGAACTCGAGCGCCTGGGACTTCAAGGCATGACTGGAACGAGGATCAAAGGCGATCTCAATCGCCTTTTCAAACTGTAGCAGAAACGACCGTCAGCGCGAGAAGACAGAGAGAAATGACGTGTGCCAAAGAGGTACATTGTGATCCCTCCATTCAGACGGATATATGGCGGGGTCGGCGGGTGCGAGTTTGCGGGGATGATATTTTTTTCACGCTGGGGAAAGCAGCCTTACCTGGACGTCCATAGTATGGCTGTTTGGAGGAAGAGTTCGCGGGGAAGAAAAATGGGTTGAAAGGATTCGTGCTATGTTTTGTACGTCGGCGGTGGTTGTGTCTGGCTGCTGTTTGCTGGTTTAGTTGTTGGTCAAAGTGCTGTAATATAACCTGGGGCAGCGATGGTCAAGAGAGAGTCGGCATTCTCAAAGATAGCAGGCGGAGCGCCAAAAAGACATGGTTTCCAAAGGCGGGAACCTTTTAGTTGGCTTCCATTACTGTAAATCTCCTTTGCGGTGCTAATCGGGTCCTTTTGTTTTTCCCTGCTCCGGGACGTGAAGATCGAAACAGGCAGATGCTTCCTTTGGGCGCGGTATCAGGTTTCAAAAAATACCAGGACGAGTGAGAATAAATTTATCACGGTGCAGGTGTGGCTGTCCGATCCAGCACCAAGGAGAGGCCGTGAGCTGATGATTGGCACCAATCAATGGCTTCTGGACTGGTCGACAGAAAACAAAGGGAGGAGGAGGAACGCGGAAATGCCTGGGTCATACCCACCGCCTTGGTGGGGCTCAACTTTGGAACCGAATTAAAGCCCAGCTGAATGGAAGTCTGCCGAAGCGCACACAGCAGGGACCGCTCCGCATCAACCGAAGTGTCCACCGGGCCACGCAGGGCACCACTAGGTAGGTACCTACACTAGAAGAAATGTGTATCCTAGACATAGTGTACGCAGTAGTGTACTGCGTACCAGGTAGGTAGGTACCTAGAGGTAGGTAGATCTTTGACCGCTAGAGCGATACCCACCTCAACCGCCTGCACGCCCTGCAGGCTGATACATTCCATGCCGTACTTTTGGAGTACCGCCTCTATCCTGCGGCCCTGAACAAGAAGCGAAGTCTCAAAGGATGTGCCGATGTCTTATGTTCATTGTAGTCGAAGAAAAAAAAAAAAAAAAAAAAAAAAAAAAAAAAAAAAAAAACCATAACGGATCAACTAGGTAGCTGACCATCTGCCTGCCGCTCTTCAGTGTTCATTAGCTCCTTTGCGCGCCCAAGTTGAGGGAACATCGAGATACTAGTTTGATACTGCCGTTCGGAATGTCTTCTTTGGCGCCCAAGCATCGCATCGATATACGGTAGAGAAAATACAGAATTAACACATATTCGTGTCACGAAAGTACCGGAACGCCCCAAATACCCAGCTGCCTGCCTGCCTTCCAGCCTGTGATCTGCCTTTTTAATCAAACAAGTAACGACGCGCCAACGTGGAGTATAAACCTAAGCCGTCTTCTTCTTCTTCTTGGGGCGCTTCTCGCCCTCGTCATCATCCATATCGTCATCCTCATCATCGACCCGATTATCGACGTCGCTCTCCTCGCTGCCCGACCCATCACTCTCATGGTTGCTGTCGTATTCCTCCGCCACGTCGCTTTCGGACTCAGCCTGGAAGTCCTCATCCACGCTCTCCTCATCCTCGTCAGCGGAGCCACGATCAGCCTTGGGGCCGACAGCCTCTTCGTCCGAGCTAGCCATGTCGTCATCGCCCAAGGCGGCGGCAATAAGGTTGGTGTCATCATCAATTTCGTTCTTGACACGCAGTCCTTTGAGCTTGAAAAATTCCTCGAGAGCCTTCAAGTCTTCACGGTTAATGTTGCTGAATTGGGATGAGCCCGCGCCGTTTTTCATGTGGACTGTAATGTCGAACGTCGACAGTGCCGAGACTGCACCGCCCACGCGTGAAAACGTAATGGACTGTGTCTGTTCGTATGAGATGTACGTGGCCGGCTTGGGGACAAACATAAACGCCTTCTCCAAGCAGTAGAGGAATCCTTCACTGGCTTTGATAGAGCACTTGATGCCGTACTGCTGACGGTGCCTGCGGGTTCCTAGGTCAGTACCGTTGCTGGCCATGAAATGAACAGATCATAACTCACGTTGTAAAGTCCTTGGCGGGTGTAGTGACTTTCTTGTTCGCAAGTCCCTTGAAAATGTACGCCACAACCTGATGAAGTGGTTGCTCGTAGTGGCTCTGAAGCTTGTCCTTGTATTTTCCGTTGAGTTCCTCCTCGGTGATGTTCAGGTCAAGAGTCACCTCTTCGTCCGCCTTGAACTGCATCACCACAAATGGATAACGTGTTTGACCTTGACGAAGGGGCGGGTCGAGACCAATGCAAAGCAAGAAATGGAGATCGTCCGGCTTGGGGAGCACCATAAATTTCTTGATAGCGTCGTACTGGATCTTGTAGTCGTACGTTTTGCCACGGAGACGGAAGGAAGCATCGTACATGTCGATGTCGAAACGTCCTCTATCGGGAGAGTTAGCACCGGAAAAGGATCAACAACCAACGTGCAGTTTCCACGTACCTGGGCGTGAGATGTAGCACGTCGAGGAATGTAGCGATAGTATCACCCGCCGTCTCACCAATCTCGGCCTTCTCAATAAGGGTGTCGTAGAACAGAGTCACGGCGTTCTTCTCTTCTTCATCGGCGTCGCTACCAGCCTCACCACCCTCGGCCTCCTTTCGTGTTGTTGTTCCAGGGATGTAGAAGCGCACCTCGACCAGCTGATCCTTGCCGGCCGACGCCTTCTTGCCCTTTCCGCCTGTTCCGCTGTGACCGTTCGACTTGCCGCCATCGTTGCCGGCGAACTCGACTGCGATTTCGTTCCTTCCGGCAAGATTTGTATTGGAAATCTCGGAGTAAGGAATCTCAAAGGCCGGTCGGTTTTGGACGTTGAAAGTAAGTTCGGCTTTGCTAAACTCAGCCTTGCCCCAGTTCCATCCTCTCAGAGAGTGTTCCTTGTTCTCGAGGTTCACGCTGTACCAATTCTTGAAAATCTTGCTAAGGCGCTCGTAATCCTGTGGCAACACGTCAGCGTTCCTTCGCTTCGATGGCGCGTGGATAGGTTTCGTACTTCTTGGTGGAAACCGTCGAGCTGAACTACGCCAGAGCTTCGCAACAGGATTTTGACCTCATAGCCCCTCGCCGCCCTGCTCCATTGAGCACCGCCGATGTTGCTCGAGTCGAGAGTGAACGCTTCGCCGCCACCCGCAGGTTTCCATCCCAAGCCATTTTCCGCGAATCTCGACTTTCCGCTCTCCTTGGACAGATCCAAGTAGATATTGTCAAAACTCTCGCTGTAAAAGAAGGTATTAGAAATGACACTGAGCTGTGATCTCCGCCGGTGAAAGCCGTGCCTTACGGCGTGGATGGAGCGGGGCACATCCGTCGTCGCAGGGTTAGACGAGCAAGAGCGCGCGAAAGCATGAAATCCAGAAAGGTATGCGACTTACATGGCAGCCATATTGCCCCTCTATCCAACTGATTTAATGATGAGTTGGGGTTGATGGACAAGTTGGAAATGGCGTCTGATGTTATGGCAGTGATTGCAACGTGTTGCAAGCAAATGCCGATGAACAATCCAACTGAAGGTTCGCGTGCCTCGGAGAAAGTTGACCGTGTCGCGACTAGGCCAGTTCGTTAATTGAAGGTTAATTCGGCTGGCAGGTGGCATTCCGCTGGGGTAGGCGACGACCCATGCTGGTGGCAGGTGGCAAGTCGCAGTACTACCTGTAGGGTCTTCGCAGTGGGCAACAGCTTGGTTGTAGCGCGTGGCAACTGTGAGCTTCTGAGTTCTCTCCCAAGCCTGCAAGAACACCACTGCACCACTTTATTCAGTTGTCACCTTCCAAGGAAGCTTTGCCAACGACACACAGGCCTTCTTGTCGCTCTGAGAATCATTCACTGTTTGTATCATATTGTATGTTTAAATAAAACTGCGTCCTCTTGTCCTCCAATCTGTCGCAATTTATAGCAACACAACACCCTGCATCCTCTCGTAGTTACGGATCAACAATAATGTCGAGTGGTTATGTTCACATTTGGATTCTTTGTATCTCGCTCCTTCTTGCTTGTATCCGTTCCGCTAGTGCTCGGCCCTTGAACATGAGAGGGAAAAAGGACGTTCCAAGCGAGTCGCTTCGTTACGTGGGAAAAGTGTCCCCTCGCGACAAGCGTTCCTTATTTGGTCAGGGCATTTTGAAGCTTTCAACTGGCTCGAAATATGCCACTTGGGTTGCCACTCTTCAATCTACTAAACAAACTCAACATAGCTTCGGTTCATAGACATGGGCGCGGTTTCCAATATCGTCACCCCCCAAAAATGCATGTGGGGCTAGCGCGTGGAGCTTTAAGTGGTTGCATATAATATCTTCCGCGCCTGTTTCATGACATGGGATTGTATAATTACCTTGGCTGGTAATGTTCTCTGCCTTGTACTACTTCTGATTTCTTTCTTTTTCTTCCCTTGAACACAACTTGAAACATAACTCAGTTTCGTTCTTGTTGTGCTCATTGGCTGTTTCACAAGGGCGGAAGACGCGCTCACCGAGTGTGACAATTCCCGTCGTAGACGTTCCTGCCTGCGGCCTTGACCTGGAGACCACGAGGGGCACTTATACGCCACCCCACGATTGACGTATTACATGCTTGAACTGGTGGTGTCCCGCACTCCCGCTCAAGCTGCCCCGCCTCGACTTCCTTCCGTCACTCGTCTGCCCTGATCGTCATATTTCGCTCGGTTTCTTTATTCAAACAGAAGCTCTCCTTTGTTGCCTGGGCCGTTTGTTTGCCTGCCTCAATTGAACCTTAGCTGGAGCTATTAGTATACCGAACTTCCGACTTGCACACTTACTTGACCCTCCAAGGATCCCAACGAAGTTTGCATCAATCTTTCCATCATCACTCTTGCTGCCTTGTTGTTTCCACACCTTTTCAAAGATGAGCTTCGAGCGTCCCCTCCGTGGTGGCTGCCAATGCGGCCGCAATCGTTACATCATCCAGTTTCCGCAGACCACTACACAGGCGGCGCAAGTCATCTTCAACTCACCGCCCTCTCAATGTAGGAACCTGTCCAGCGATACTGACTCGGGAAATTCTGATCACTATCTCCATTTTGCTAGGAGTATAGATCATCTGACCAAATGTTGCCAATGCAGATATCTCCCATGCCTCACCATTGGCTGCTTTCCTGCGGGTACCTTTGCCATGGTACCATAGCACGACGCTCTCGTTTGCTCCCGACGAAAGGACGTCGATGATCCATCGCGCCTACACTTCTCCCTTTGAACAGCATTCTATGCGCCACTTTTGCGGTTTTTGCGGCACCCCCTTGTCTTACTGGTCCGAGGAACCTCGTAGCGAAGCTGATTTTATCCAGCTATCGTTGGGCAGCCTGCATCCAGAAGATCTAGCAGACTTGGAAGACTTGGGTATGTTGCCGGATTCCGAGAGCGAGAATGAACCTGAGACGAAGAAGCAAGAGGGAAAGGGAGAAGTAACGTATATCGGCCGACAGACTGTGGGAGGCCTACCTTGGCTGGACAGCTTGCTTGAGGGCAGCCGACTCGGTACTCTTCGCGCGGCCAAAGGTCGCAGCCAGAATACGAGTGGTACAGTTCAAGTCGAATGGGAAGTTATGGAATGGACCGAGGGTGAAAGCGGCTCCCCGAGCGGTTCCCCGAGAAACAGCAAGCGGAAGCTCGGTGACCGAGACGACGTAGCCCGGGCGTTATCATGAAGGACATTGGGCAATGAGCCTGCAGGGGGATTCCGTTTCCTGCCATGGTTCATCTAGACGCCCAAGCACCTCCTCGGACTGTAGAAGGGCATTAGAACGCTTGGGTTGGCGGCAATTCTTTTCGGCGTTTCAGAATTATAAGAGGGTCGTTGAGGGATAGGCATCGTGAAGGCGTTTGGCAGGATTGGAAAGATTGGCAACAGTGGCTTGGATTCGTGTTGTTGGGTCGCATGTTTCCTCCTCGGCGATGCACCGAACCCTTGGACCTCCGACATACGTCTAATATTCAGCATCTATACAACGACCAAGTGTAGCAGTACGATAGTTCAGCCCTAGAGGATAGCTTATCGCAATCGTTTTCGAAGAATTCCGGGACGTGTCTACACCTAGCAACGAAGTGTAAGGTTGTGAAATACCCAAAACCGACGGAACACACGACGAATGTACTCGCAACATAATCGTGAAGATGCGCTGCTGAGGCGAAGCGAGACATGCGGTTGGAATCCTAAGGGGCAGCCAAGAGACGGAAACAAACGAAGACAAAACGTGAAGCTTTGGAGTGAAAGTAGTACATTTGGAAGAGGGTTTCCTTACATACTAGCCGAAGCGAGAAGGACGCAAGCGGCTCAGGTGGACATCAACCGGATGTCTCGCCTAGCTTCATCAACAACGGCGGCAATCAGCAGAACATGCACATCCACATATCTGAGTTGAGCGAATTGTCGTGAACTCGTGAGCAAGCAAAGGGGTGGCAGCGCAATGGAAAGGCGGGCCTTAAGTTTACCAGCCGAGCCCAGTTTACCAGGCCCCGCGCGGCGACGTTGTGTTTTCAGTCGCTGGCGAGGCCGAGAATTACCCGACTCGGTTCTGTGATCCGTGATATCAGGTGGCTTGGCCAACCTAGAAACTTTGTGCCAAAGCTGAGGATGCATCCAAGGCCCCCAGAAAGTGCTCGGGCTGCTTTGGACTGGCAAATTGACCGTTGTTTCATGGCTATCCCAATGTTGGAAGTGCTGATGCAACGAGCATCACTAAAAAATAAAACATGAAGTCGAAGTTGGAACTTGACTGTCGAAGCAACTGAAGCGGCTCTGTTCTGCTCTGCCTTGCCTTGTCTTGTCCTTGCCTTGCCTTGCGCCGTTTGCCCGCCCTGCAGCCAGCCAGGGTAAATGGAAATTGTATTTACAGCTGGAGGTGAGCTGAAACCCTGTGGCGGCTGGATTGAATCTCATTCCTGCCGTGCTCTTTCTTTGATCACTCTTTAGTAACAACGACCGGCGCTACGGCCAACTCCTGGGCTTCCGAAATAGTTTTGCCGAGGTTTTGCCCTGGATGTTGGTATGCGGCCCGACTATCCGGCAAACGACAAAAGGGTAAAAGCAAGAGAGGGCAGGATGGAGAGGACAGTTTATTAGGGAGTGGTGTTGGAGACATTGATATCGAAATTGGGGCGGAAACGAGAGCAAAACGGCACATTATTGATGTTGTTTCCTCAGAACACAGATGGACCCTGGTCAAGTATTCTTGGGGTGGAGGATGGCAGTGTGTAAGTGTTCCCTTTCTCATCACTTCACTTAAATCTGCGAATAGCGTCCTCGCTTTTAGAACGGCCCTATCATGGCTAGTATTTTAGCTTTTCGATTACTGACAAAGAAGTCGAATAATTGAAATTCAAAAGTATCACATTATCATCTCAAAAGAGAGCTTCTCGCAGGTCGAATAATTTGTCAATGACAGCTGCTTGCTGCCTGGATCTTGATTTACCTTGCTATATGGAACCCAGCCGGCATTGCAACGACCGACGTATCGCAAGTGCTTGTCTTTTCATGCCTCCCAGCTGGTAGCTGGTAGCAGGTACTGGTACCTACATACGTACTGTGCATGCATCACAAGTTTGCGGTTGTTTTGGCGCATGGCTTCTTCACCTTCCACAATTCCCAGCCGTCCGTCATCCTCCGTGGTCCTAAAGTGCCCCGCGGTGGGGAGGACGTAACGCAAGGGTCCTTGTTCCGGTACCCTTGCGGTTGAAGCATCCTACCGTATGCATTATGAGAAAAGTGACTGCTGGTGGGCAATGGTGACACCTTCTTTTCCCCATGAGCACTAAGCCAACCCAAGACAGGCTTCGGGTGTGGTTCTCTGCTGATTACCAGGACATGGGCTGCTGTGTGTTGCGCTTCTATGTGTGCGGGCGAGATTCGAAAAGCGTGGGGATGGAAGCACACAAAGAAGCGTTGGGAACCACACACACACCCAAGCACAAACGAACAGGTAGAACTACATACTGTATGGATCACGGTGTAGGTACAAATTACACTTACTAACGATGTTGTACTGACCTTGCCTGATCCATTCGGGGTACCATTGATCTCCTCTCAGGCTATGCCTAGCTTTTCTCTCGGTGTCGACGGTCCGAAACACGGGAGAAATGGGGGGCATCAAGTATCCCCTTTGGGAGGTCATTTTCATAGGCCATGGCTATAAGATAACTATCGCGCCCTCACTTGAGGCTGCGTTCTTCTTTCGTGGGCTCCCTTTCTTTCCCAGTTCTTCTTCAGTACCTTTCCTCGTCTATCCCAGTCTGACAATTAGCCGGTTGCATAGCGGCTAGGGTTGAGTAGCTTACAGTCAGTTTGGCGGAGTCATTCTCATATATCTCCCCTGACCCATCTCTGGAAAAACTCATATTGTCCAACGAGATAAGCATTTATCATGTCTCTTCCTAAGGATTTCCTCTGGGGCTTCGCTACTGCGGCGTAAGTACAAATTCTCAGCTGAGATTCCGAACTTATTATCAGCAACACCTCATGTTCAGAGCTCAACAACTGATACCGATATCTCTGCATTAGCTATCAGATTGAGGGTGCTATCCACGCCGACGGCCGTGGCCCCTCTATCTGGGATACTTTCTGCAACATTCCCGGTAAGATCGCCGACGGCAGCTCTGGTGCCGTCGCCTGCGACTCTTACAACCGCACCAAGGAGGACATCGACCTCCTCAAGTCTCTCGGCGCCACCGCCTACCGCTTCTCCATCTCCTGGTCTCGCATCATCCCCGTTGGTGGCCGTAACGACCCTATCAACCAGAAGGGCATCGACCACTATGTCAAGTTTGTCGATGACCTGCTCGAGGCTGGTATTACCCCCTTCATCACCCTCTTCCACTGGGATCTTCCCGATGGTCTCGACAAGCGCTACGGCGGTCTTCTGAACCGTGAAGAGTTCCCCCTCGACTTTGAGCACTACGCCCGCACCATGTTCAAGGCCATTCCCAAGTGCAAGCACTGGATCACCTTCAACGAGCCCTGGTGCAGCTCCATCCTCGGCTACAACTCGGGCTACTTTGCCCCTGGCCACACCTCCGACCGGACCAAGTCACCCGTTGGTGACAGCGCTCGCGAGCCCTGGATCGTCGGCCATAACCTGCTCATCGCTCACGGCCGTGCCGTCAAGGCGTACCGAGAGGACTTCAAGCCCACGCAGGGCGGCGAGATCGGTATCACCTTGAACGGCGACGCCACTCTTCCCTGGGATCCAGAGGACCCCTTGGACGTCGAGGCGTGCGACCGCAAGATTGAGTTCGCCATCAGCTGGTTCGCGGACCCCATCTACTTTGGAAAGTACCCCGACTCGATGCGCAAACAGCTCGGTGACCGGCTGCCCGAGTTTACGCCCGAGGAGGTGGCGCTCGTCAAGGGCTCCAACGACTTCTACGGCATGAACCACTACACAGCCAACTACATCAAGCACAAGAAGGGCGTCCCTCCCGAGGACGACTTCCTCGGCAACCTCGAGACGCTCTTCTACGACAAGAAGGGTAACTGCATCGGGCCCGAGACCCAGTCGTTCTGGCTCCGCCCGCACGCCCAGGGCTTCCGCGACCTGCTCAACTGGCTCAGCAAGCGCTACGGATACCCCAAGATCTACGTGACCGAGAACGGGACCAGTCTCAAGGGCGAGAACGCCATGCCGCTCAAGCAGATTGTCGAGGACGACTTCCGCGTCAAGTACTTCAACGACTACGTCAACGCCATGGCCAAGGCGCATAGCGAGGACGGCGTCAACGTCAAGGGATATCTTGCCTGGAGCTTGATGGACAACTTTGAGTGGGCCGAGGGCTATGAGACGCGGTTCGGCGTTACCTATGTCGACTATGAGAACGACCAGAAGAGGTACCCCAAGAAGAGCGCCAAGAGCTTGAAACCGCTCTTTGGCTCTTTGATCAAGAAGGACTGACGGGGCAAGAAGAAAACATGGGTGGATTATCTGTTATGAAATGTGTGATGAATTGGGCAAGCGTCAGCAAGGGAATGGGAATGATTTGCAAGGGTTTAGTGTTCAGGGGTCCTCTGTTTTTTTCGACCCCCTCTTGAGTGCGCATTCGCGTATTGCGTTGTCTGGTACATAGAAGCCGTGTAATCGAGCAGCTGCATGTCGAATCGTGATGCTTGGTGTTGTACCTCAACATATTGTGTCCGTGGGCGTGCCTGGCTTGTTAGTGGGACCCCCTGTCATGTTTTCCATCCATTGTGTGTCTCGAGCGTATGGATTTCCCGTGACGCCAATGAGGATCGTCCCAAGCGGGATGACGGCAAAGCATCATCCGAACTGTGCCGGCGCATTGATTCCAGGTTTGTGTCAGGTAGATAATCAACATCCAAGAGGAATCGGAATGTCCGGTCGAGAAGATGGTTTCGGGTCAACAAAGGTGAGTTGAAGAAGTTGGCGGGATCCTGTATGAGACAAGGGGGACGATTTGGAGTTCAGGAAAGTTGGGGAAGCTGAGTGTGGGGTATCTCCCGCGGGACACGGGATCCGACATTTTCTAACCGGCTTCGGCAACTTGGCGCGGGACCCCTCATTTCTCCTCAATTCAATTCGAGGTCAATTGACGGCGCTGCTGAGTGGTTAGAGCTGAAGCAGAGAGCGCACGAGCCACACAGTCACCTGAGACACGCCAACCCCAGAATGCGTTCCTCTTGGCAGTTTGGCCGAATCTGGGGTTGACAGGTCGGGTTCTCCTTGACCTTTTTATCACTGGCGGGGCAAGCCAGAGGACTCCAGCCAAGCATCGAAACTGTCATCGACAACTCACAACGAGTTCGGGATAGGAGCACTGCCAACACACAACATCACCGCCGACACTTGGCTCCTCTGCTGGTGCGACATCGGTTCTTCAGAAAGGTGGATGTCTTGGTTTCCGAAAACGGTTCAGCGCGGTGGTGCACTGAGTCGATCGTCAGGTGTTCCTGGCCAGGCGGCTGCTTGGGGTTTGCCTGGCTCATTACCACTACACTACCGTGCTTACATATCCATCTCCTCCGGTTCCATGATCCACGGCGAGGACAGATTGCGGAGTATACCCCATCTCGACCGTGCCGACCCCGTACACTACAAACCTCATGTGAACCCCGCTGGCAACCCCGTACACTACAAACTCGAGACAACCCCGCCGATGTCGATGCTGGAACGTCCACCAAGAGCGTGCGTCTCCAACACTCTGGTGCTGGTCACAGCCTCCGCCCCGTGGATTGGCTGGCTTGGCCCGAGGATCTTGGATACGATGGAGTTCGGACAGCTGGAAATGCCCAGATCCAGAAAGGCCCAACACCGTTATCCCCGTTTGCCGAATTCCCCTGCTCGTCATTCTCCAGATGTGAGGAGGCTCTGCCTTGTGATCCTTGCAAACTATAGATCTGTCTTGGTCCTTTGTGTGTCTATACATATCGACACCTCCTGATTTGTTGTTGTTCTTCCTCTCTGTCTGTCTTTTCAACTTCCATCACTCCCGTACTTCCCGACTTACTCTTAGTGTGTTGAACAGCCGCTTGCTTTCTTCAATCGTCCAGTTTAGTTTCGTTTTTGTGGGGTTCACGATACCTGATATTATACCCATCACCTTCAGTCGTTTTGCCTGTCTAGTTGCCAGCCCTGAGATTACACCACACGTCCAGTGTATTGTCTCGAAGAACATTCCAGCGTCGTCGACTGGACAATCTACTACACCCCACCTCTGTTCACCACCCATCAGCCAATCACACACAACTTTAACCATGTCCGGTGCGCCATCAAGACTCAGGAGCGTCCTGAACCACCTGCTTCCCCATGGACAGCCAGCACATCACATCCACAATCTAACGCCCACCGTCTTCCTTGAGCGGGCGGCTGCCATTGAGCCTGAGGCCGAGGCCATATTTCACATCACCGCCAACGGCAAGACACTCAGGCGTTCCTACATCGAGTTCGCCGATCGCGCTCGGGGTCTTGCCTACTATCTACGCAAGCATGGCTACAAGCGCGTTGGCCTCCTGGCTCCCAACACCCCGGCCTTCCTCGAGTCTGTTTATGGTATCGTAGCGGCTGGCGGTGTCATAGTGCCTGTCAACATCCGCCTGAAGCCTGAGGATATTACCTACATTTTCGACTTTGCAGAGGTGGATTCCATCATCGCCGATGCCGAATACGCCCACCTTCTCAACTCGTACAAGAAGGAGCACCCTGATGTCCCCGTTATTATTGATGTGGTATGTAGCTTTTTGGGGACGATTGTAAGCTAGAAGAAGAAACCGCTGACACCATGTACAGGACACTGATGCCACAGAAGGTGCGCTTTGCGGCCCTTTTGATGAGGCGGTAATGGAGGGTCTCAACCTCGATAAGGCCACCGGCAGCAAGGGCTGGGCCGATCTACAGAATCAGACCGTCGCCAATGAGGATGATATGATCGCCATCCCCTTCACCTCTGGCACCACCTCCAAGCCCAAGGGCTGCGTATACACCCACCGCGGTGCTTATCTTGCCACGCTCGCCAATGTCATCGAGTCTGGACTCAACGTTGCCGATGGTCGTTCCAAGTACCTCTGGACACTTCCCATGTTCCACGCTATGGGCTGGACTTTTCCTTGGGCCGTCTGCGCCGTGCGTGGGACCCATGTGTGCCTACGCAAGATTGACTATCCCTTAATCTGGAAATTGCTGAAGGAGGAAGGCGTGACACACTTCTGCGCCGCGCCCACTGTCAACACCCTCCTCTGCGCTGCCAAGGAGGCCGAGGCTCTTCCCAAGCCCGTTCGCGTCACTGTCGCCGCCTCGCCCCCGACTCCCCATCTGTTCGAGCAGATGACAAGTCTGAACCTCTTCCCTGTGCATGTGTATGGCCTTACCGAGACCTATGGCCCAATTACGAGGGGTTATATCCTTCCTTCGTGGGATAACCTTCCTCCTCATGACAAGTACGCCAAGATGGCCCGCCAGGGACATGGCTTCATCACCAGCTTGCCAGCTCGCATCATCAAGCCCGATCAGCCCGAGGGAGTGTTGATTGACGTGGAGAAAAACGGCCAGGAGGTTGGTGAGATTATTTTCACTGGCAACATCTGCTGCAAAGGCTACTACAAGGACCCCGAAGCGACGAGAAAGCTGTTTGCAGGTGGCATGCTACACACGGGCGACTTGGCTGTTTGGCATCCCGATGGAAGTATTCATATTCAGGATCGCGCAAAGGATATTATCATCTCTGGTAAGTAACCTAGTTTTCTGACCCCTTTTCTTACCCCGTCTTCTCTTAAGAAAGAAAAGAGAGAAAAGAAATAAGAAGGAAAAACAAAAAAAAATTTGAACTAATCTTGGAATCAACAGGCGGCGAGAACATCTCCTCCGTAGCTCTTGAGTCCATGCTCGCTGAGCACCCCGACATTCTCGAGGCCGGCGTCGTTGCCGTTCCCGACTCCCACTGGGGCGAGCGGCCCAAGGCCTACATCACCCTGAAGGAAGGTCGCGAGACCAGCTTGACAGGCCAGGACGTCATCGACTGGGCCAAGCATAACAGCAGCATCAGCAAGTTCATGGTGCCGAGGGAGGTTGAAATTGTCAAGGAATTGCCCAAGACTAGCACGGGCAAGATCAAGAAGAACGAACTTCGGGTGTGGGCTAAGACGGGAGCCATTCCTAACTAAGCGACGAAGGGAAATTTGAACAAATCTCCTGTCGCAGGCTTGTATTCTGGCGAGGCAGGAGTTTTTTTTGGGCGGATTCTTGTATATACTGTCTAGGGGCATTGTTTGGGGGGGTTTCGGCACCCAAACCCCGGAGCGGTTATGGTGTTTGGCTGTAACGATGTTATGACTTGGATGGCATTCGAGACGAAAAAAGACAAAGTCAGTCGATTTTCTGAACCTGATATGTTCTGCACAACTGTCTTGAAAACGTCATGTTGTGTAGTTGGTAGAAGCTTGACTGGACTTCTTTTGCTAATGCTCAAAAATATGTCTGGTGCTACGAGTAAAGAGCATGCATCTGGATGTTGAACTCATTTCTTTTGACACATAATTGGAAGTTCACGCGTATGCCATCCGTTTGTGTCTATTTCCTACTCCTACCATCGGTATCTGAGTCTTTTCCTTCTTCTCACCCAGACTAGCAAAAATGATCCCGAGGCAAAAGATGAGAACGAAGCAGAAATTGAGGGCATAATAAAGTGAAGGAGCTGCCCAAAATTGAAGCAACGGAAAAAAAAAAGAGCAACTGGGAGGATTGAGGACTGAACGCGATTTGAACGCGTGACCGTTCGGACTGCAGCCGAACGCTCTACCCCTGAGCTACCGGTCCAATTCCCAGTTATTGATAGAACGCCAAACCAATTCCTATATTGCTGCCGCCAATCCATGCATGAAACGCCTCCCATCATTAGTCAACCACTGCTAGGCGTCGTGCAATAGATCGAGGTCAAAGAGATAATGCGGACAAAATTGAGAATTTTGTTGTGACTTTGGTGTTGACAATTCAAAACCAATTTGTGCACAAACGAGTTAGTTGTCGCAGTCATATGTAATGGTGCGCAATAACGGCCTTTTTTTTTTTTTAAAGAGCGGCGACACATTACACTTTATGTTGGAAGCGGAGTGCTTTCAATCTATTCACATCGGTTAGGCCGTATGGTTTCGACGGACATTAGCAGGTGTAATCAAAGACGCCAAACATATCGAGAGCTTCTTAATTTCTAAAACGATGAATGAAATCTTTTCGAGCGCCAACCACCATTTTTAAGGTGACCGTGCATGCCACATGTCCTGAACTTCTTTCCCCGAACTCCGACTTCCGGTCAAGTCACCAAACGAAGCCCTCCTCCTTTTTCCCCATTTCTCCAAGGCCAGTAATAATATGTATATACATGAATGAAGTAGATCTGCTGAAAACCACAGTTTTGTAACGTCTTGTTATCCTATTTATCTTTCTTCCCCAGATGTTTTGCATGTCGTTCGATTTCAGCCCCCCCCCCCCTTCTTTTCTGAGCACCGGACACTCTTCGTTATCATTACCCCCACGACCAGCGTTAGTAAACCAAACATAATCATTCCGTCTTAGTACTAGCCTGCAACCTCCTCATCGCGTCCCTATGCGCTCGATGCGCTCGATGCGCTCGTGCTACTTGTACCTGTGTCTGTCCGCTACTGCGTCTTTCCTGTGTCTCTACTGCTACCCCTGTTGATGTCGGATCCTGTTGCTGCTGCGGTTGTTGTCCATGCCCGTAGGTGTTTCGTTGCGTTGATGTTCTCCGCCCTAGTCCCAAATGAATTTGTTCTTGTGTCTGTATTTGCGTGATGACGCTGAATTGATGATCCACGGAATAAGGATCGTGGACGGTGGCTGGTGGTTGTAGTGGTGATGTCGATGAGGTTATTCTTGCAGTGGTGATGTTATTGTTGTTCGATGCATTGCGACTCAACGAGGCCCGCAAGTCAGCGGCGACACTGTCGCGGAAGTTGGCGAGTTTCGCTTGGCGGACGGCATCGGATGTCGAAGGACCCAAGGATAGGTTATTAAGCTTCGGGCTTGATTTCGGGTTCGTCAGATCTTGGAACCTATCTCTTGATCGTCTGTTCTTGGATTCAGATGTTAAGCTACCCTCTCGAATGATTTTGCGGCGTTGAGATAGGGGGATATCGTCGATGTCGATCGGAGGACTGTCACTGCCATCCTGCACCAAGTGCAGTTTCACGGCAGGAGCTCTGTCATAGAGGACCTCCACTGCTGGGGCCTTGAAAGGAGGTCCCTGGGACTTGCTTCGTAGAACTGCCTTGCGTGTATCTATCAATGTCGATGGTGTCTGGTGTTGAGATGCTCGTGGGGTTTGAGCAAGACCACATGAGTCAACCGCAGAGGGAACCGCTGATACTCCCAGAGAAACAGAGCGTGATATTTGGTGCTCACCGCCCGGTAGCTGTCGCGAAGCACGTTGATGGCTTTGAGCACCTCCCTCCTCAGTGATTGTTTCAGTGCACAGTCTTGATGTTAGTCCTTTGAAGGATTCGGAAGCAGACCGGTAAGGATAGGCCCTAGTTTTTGCCACGCGTCCCGGCTCTGGTGTAGAGTCTGAAGCATGATATGTGTCCTCCGGATATCTTTGCAACACAGGCCCGGAGCTGCTCCGATGTATAGCCCGTTGTCGAGCAAGGTAGTCTGTTACCAAGCTCGTTGTTCTGGGGATCGCTCGAGGTAAGCTAGCATTCGTTGCTGTCTGTTGGAGACCGCTGAGATCCACGGGTACTGGCTTTTCGGTTGGGAAATTCGAATTCGTCTCCTTCGAACCGTCGATAGGTTGAGGCGCCACCGGCTCCTCAGGGGTATCTGCAGCATCCAAGTGCTTAGCCCATTCTTTTGTTCGGTGGTACAAAGCAATCGGTGAAAGTTCCTGTGCAAGATTTTCCTTAAGGAGGCTGCTGTCTGAAGACTCATCCGACTTTGGCGACCCACTCAATCTCATCTCTGACCCTCCCATGAGCGCAGGTACATCCACTGGACTCGGTTGAGGCTTTTCCTTTTCTCCCTGAAACTCATATGGCTCATCGAACATTAGGCCATATCCTCTGCTTGTTGATGGAATGTCTGATCCTTGTTGGGCTTGTGAGTGATCTGGCTGATCACTGTGACCCTCAGACAATAGCCCGTCTGCCATTTCCTCAGTTGGTTTGACAGACGCTTCGGTCTGTTTGATTGTGTCTTCGGTGCTTTGGTTCTCAAAGCTAGAAACCTTTCCCTTGTCCATCTGGTCGTCCTCAATGCTTTCACCATTGCTGACGGAACCCAAATCATCCAAGTTTACCGCGACAGAATCCGTGTCGTTTCGTATTCTCCAAATCGCCGCAATCCCTCCTTCACGACTATCGCCGGTCTGTTGATTTCTTTCAGCTTCGCGATGTACAGGCTTTGGTGACAGGTTTCGAAAAGCCTTAGCCGAGCCGTTCGAAAGTCTTCTGATCACCGTGGTAGACCGGTGCTGGTCTGTTTGTCCAAGCCAATTTGCCCCATCGTCCTCAACGGGGACATGTAGCCCACCAATGCCATCTTGTCTCTCTATCCGCTCGAGAGGCAGTGGCTCGGCGCTTGGGTATGGATCTGATGGAGATTGGGGGCGTGGTGTGGAGGCCGGCATAACCGATAACACCACTTTTCGCCCATCATTTACCCTGAAATCCGTATTCACTTCGTCACTTGTCGGACTTCCAGTATCGGTACGGCACTCACTCGGGGCCCTGTCATACGAAGCCCCGTTAAGGTTGCGAGTTGGGAAGCAAGCCATTGCAGCCGCGGTAGCCTGCGCCGGGGATAAAGGGGTCATGGCTCTAGCTGCATACCCAAGATTGCTGATATTCGAGTCCATTCCTGTGGTTGACCGGGAGCGGGACGTTGTAGCTGCCGGTATGATGCGTTGACTGTGACGCAGCATTCCATTTTCGCTGTCCGTATGACCGAGATCCGAATCTTCCGCTGAAGACACCTGTCTGATTTCTCCATCTCCATACTTCCGTTCCCACTCTCGGAGGTCGCGAGCTCTCGCTTCTTCCAGCTGGCATGCCGTCTTTTCGTCTTCTGCTTCCAAATTTCTTTCTGCTTCCAGGTTTCTTTCGTGATCCGCGAGTTTCGATTCTCCTCGATTCCTAACCAAACACCAGAGTTTAAGCTGCGAGACAATCCAGGCAACAAAGATTACCATGATAGCTGCTATTTCGGCGCAAATACCGCGGGTTAACGGGTACGTCACTGTGCCGAGGGGAAAGATGTCCCCGTTCAGGTCCCAGATATATGCCCAAAATTCCTTTAAACCAGCACGTGAAAAGCAATCGATCCCCAGGACCGCAGCAGTAGCACCCGAAAAGGAGATGGCGGCAATGAGGCTGTAGGTGCGCGTCCATCGAGTAAAGTATAAACAAAACCAGGCCAAGGATAACAGAACAATGAACGCCACTTTACCGCCCTTGTGGTGAATTAGACCTCCGGGCCCAAGAGTAAGCAACCACATACTGAAGCAAAAGCCAGCGAGCAGGCAGGCTAGACCTTGGGCCAAGTCCTGGAATATGATGGCTAGGCCGCCAACGATCAGACCAGTACAGACCGCAGCCACGACATAGGCTCCTTGGACCGCGTCACTGACTGGCGGATCAGTCACGTAGAGAATCAAAACAGTGGTTCCTAAGCTGACGAGGAAGCCGGTGGTAAGGAATGTGTGGAGCCATTTTTTCTTGATGCCGACCATACCGCAGACGATACCTGTCAGGATGAGTATGGCGCCGGAAACTGCCCAGCCAGGAGTGATCCGTGGCTGGATGGGAAGTTGACCTTTGGGTATTGTAACTGAAAGTCGGTAAGCTACTGCCTCGTCTGACACCTAGGACACCTACTTAATCATGTACATACCTTCAAAGACGGAAGAACCATTGGTAGTCCCGGTAGCGGTAGAGACAGTAGGGTTCGTCGTTGTAGGTACAGAGGTAGATACAGTAACGCGTATAGAACCCTTGGATGAACTTTGAACCACTGATGTTGATGCTGGCGTGCGTATGGTGTTTTCGATGGTATTGGTAGGGATTTGAGTTGGGGAGACTGTAGTTGATATCTCTGACTGTTGTCTTCTCTCTGGTCTGCTCAACCATCCTGATGTGAGAGTGAAGAAGAGGTAGAGGCACAGCAAGTGCCTCACATTAACCGATATGGAAATCCTCATTTCGCTGCCTCCGTCGACGGCACTGCACCGAGACGGCTCGAGTCTTTGACAAGTGAGTAGTAATGTAGCCTGCGGACACCCATAGGTAGTAGTCTATCCCATCCGACCCAATGGCATGACTGATTTATCAGTGGATGAAAGCCAAGCGAAGCAACAATGGGCAAGAACAAGACCAGATATAGTACTGTGGAAGAAACACCAGAACCGGATAACCGCAAGCAGATGGAGGATACTGGCCTGGGAAATATCGGAGGGGGTTGCACAGGGCCGATCAAACGATTAAAACCTGGATCGAGATCATAGTGAAGGCAGAGGTATACCGGTTTTAGATAACATGTAATGACATGGGTACCGTCAGGAACACGACTTTTTTTTCTCCTCCGTCCTGTGTGGCTCTTTGAAGGAGAGTACTGGTGAGGCAGGTATAAGAAGAGCTATATATCCTGGAGAAGAGGCACAACGTCGAGGCCGACCTTTTCGGTGGCGTCTCCATGTCAGGCCTTCACCATCAGACAGAGGCAATGAATAGGCCACGAATGGAAGCAAAACGTGACGGTGGCTTGTCGTCTCATAGGTATTGGAAGCTCTGTTGTCTCCGGGAGAGCGGACCAGCCAGGTAGAGGTTGGGTATGTAGAAGGGGAGGGGAGGGGACGTATGGTGACATGGCGTCGAGGATGTCCAGGATCTACCCTGGTGCTGTGCCGTATCTGGGAACCATGCTGCCATGTCTTCCAGGACAGGCAAAAAGGTGGATGGAAATCGAGGCATCAAGATCCAATTCCTACTTGCCAAGAGTACGGAATTCCTGCTCTAGGAAGCGCCGCAGCGCCGCAGGGCATGGTGTCCGGGTGTCTCTCTCTCGCTTCTCCGCCGTGGGGTGGATGCCAGTGTCCAGTGAGGCCAGTCAAGCGTCCCGACTACCGAGACAGACTGCCAGCTAAAAGCCGGCCGACCACTCTTGGAGGAGGGCTGCGTATCCATTCTGCAGCATCTCTCAAGGTGCATAACTGCATATTGGAAACTGCTGCAGCTGAGGTTGGTTTCGTTCGACGGCATGCCGGGGACATGTCGATGCACTGCAACTGAATGTTCGAGCCCGTCCAGCCTTCCTGCAGATTGCCAGTTTCACATCCCCCGACCGTGTGGTCCGAGCCTTCTGTGACCATCTCCTTTCCCGTTGTTCGTTTGTTCGTGATGCTTCGACGAAGGCACTTTCCATTGTCCAAATCCCAGGAGGCTGGGACATCATAGTACAGGTAAGAAAGTCGGCGCCGACGTGGTGGTGGATGTTACGCTAGTCCCGACTGCAAACCTAGGAAGACCTATGCAGCCGCAGCCTTTTGGACCTGCTTTTGCTTCTGCCTCGGTCCCCACTGCAATGTACATACCTTTCTAGGTTCCTTGGATGCATGCTCGAAACCTGATGTGGGAACATCAATGCATCTTGGCTTCGGAGATCCATTGGTTGCCATGGTGCCAGCAAGCAACCCCAAGAAAGGCTGGAACTGTTGTTTGGAGACGGGATGGGGGACATTGGCGACACGGCGAGAACGCGAACGGACCCCCCCTCCGGCCGTGACGACTCCGGCCACTTATCCCTCCATTCTCCTTCCAACCCCCAGAATGAAAATCCATCGGGCGGGAGAGGGAAAACCGGTAAACGGTAAGCTCCCCGATTACATACATGGCGGCTCTTCGCACTAGTGATGCCACCATGTCGGCTTGCTTTTGGGTGATGTCACACATTTCATCGTTGACCCAGATAAGGTTTTAGCTCTTAGCTTCAAGGTTGCACTTGTGTTTGGGCTGGAGCTACAATCCTTGGTGGATCCACCATTTAAGCCAGAGGCCTTTTACATACACAGTACCACCCTGTTAGGGCAGCCTAACTGGGTCGGCTCGTCGTGGGGGGAGACAAGGTCATCCCAATGGGATGGAGGCTCGGGGCGGGCCTTTTCAGCCCCGCCCCCATCTTTCGTCTTCATCCCGTCCCGACCAACTTCAAACGGTAGGTCATCCGATGTATTTCGTGCTCTTTCTCTCATCATCACCAGTCAACATACCTCGATTACCAAACCTCCCTTCTTCATGAGCACCCGCTCCCAGGCACCTCCCATTTCTAAATTTAAGAACAGCTTTCTTACCAAAAAAAAAAAAAAGAAAAAAAAAAAAAAAAAAAAAAAAAAAGGCGAAAAGGCTAGACGCATCATCACGCATACGGGCACTTCATGTCTCAAACAGAACTCAGCGCCTCTCTACACTCTCTTGATCCTACCACTGCCGCTCACTTTCTTCACCTTCAGGACAGCTTCAATATATTATCTCCCGTCTTAGCTTATCGATCCCTCGTGCCTTAGTCTCAAGCCCTCCCCCCTCACTTCGATTTCAATGTATCCCAACCTCCCTTCGGCAGCATCTACCGATCTTGATACCCCGCACCCCGGCAATATGTCTGCAACCACCCGTTTGGCGTGACTTTAAGATCTTGGATCAGCTACTGAAATCACCGAGCCCGACAGCTTGGTATGGATTGTGGGTGGGTTGGATGGGTGACTCGAAGCCACATAGATAGAGCGGGTCGATGGTGCTAACTAATCTACCACGTATGTACTGCCGGAATGCCCTTCACGTTTTAAGACACTGGAGGCGGTTTCTTGAAGCTCACCTTCCTCATCGGTCATGGTATGCTTGAGCATGGACTGGTTATTCCGGTTCACGACGGTGAGGCGATTCGTATCCCGAAGCCGTCAGTCAAGGTACATATCATGGAATGGCGTAGTCGCGGGGAGTTGTCGGCACAAGGCAAGACAGGGTACCGCTACAAGATAAGATAGTAAGAAATGTCAAAGGTATCGTCTATTTTGTAGTGATAATGTAGCTTTTTGAGGTTTCGTTGTGTTGGTATCTCGCCCAATGCTCTACGCTTTCTGGCGCCTCACCGAAACAGGTCATGACAACTATGACAAATGAAAACACAAGAATATATACTTTGTAACAACAAGGAAAAGCGTAGGTAGCGCCCATGCCAAAAGAGCCATGGTTATTGAACCAACCGCCCGGCATGGTTGTTTCTCATCCCTTCATTACAGTCAGTCTTCACTCATCTCCTTGAATACCGCGCCCCGTTCCCACTCCCCGATGTCATTCGCCTACCACTCGCTGAAAAGCCATATTCAGCGGCCCCGCCGACGTATGGAGGGAATCCGGTCGAATTCCCAGGTCCAGTCGCAAATCCATTCCCATTGATCCCCTTCCTCGCGTCACCCATAATACCGGTGCCACTAACCTTACCAGCGGCAACCCGGCTTCTACTACTGCTTCCTCCAGTTACCCCCTTCAGAAAGCCTGCCACCGCCCTCAGCGGGAACAAAACAACAAGACCCAACAATGCCTGGAACGGCATGGCCGCCGCCCAGACAATCGTATCCAGCGCCTTTGCAAGCAGGCCGAACATACTCAACCCGCTATTAGCGCCCGTAGCACCAGTTGCGCGGCTGTTGTTCCCGTGCGGTCTGGCACCAGTGCCTCCAGCCTTGGCCGCCGCGGCTGCCAGCGCAATAGCATCGTTTAGTCTGCCATCCAGCGCGCCCAACCTTGCCTCCGTCTGGTAAGCCAGAACAGTAGCCTTTTTCTCATAGCGTCTGACTGCACGGTTGAGCGCGTCCAGATCGGGCTGAATCGTATTGCGGACTTCACGCACCATCCCGTCGCGGACTTTGGGGTTCAGGTTCTGCTGGTCCTGGCCTCCTTCCAAGCCGTCGTTTTGTCCGTTGTTGTCAAGGTTGTTTGCCGACCCATTCGATGGCTTTAAGCCCGTAGCGCGTTGTTCCAGCTCGCCCAGCCGCTCCAGAATATCCTGCAACTTGGTCGGAGTTATGGCCGACTCGGAATATGGGTTTTTGTGGACGATGCGCTGGAGATGTAGCGTGCGCGCTTGAATGAGCTTGATGAGGTGCGAAAAAGGCCGGACTTCGGCTGCAAGGATGTAAAGCGTTAGGGAAAAGTCAGAGACGAGCCCGCCTTCTGACTTGAACTGGTTGCGCATGATCTGGAGTAAATAGGCCATCATCAACGGAGAGACAAAACAAAGTACCAGAGCGAGCGATTCGATTGTGTAAAGTTCGCCAAGGGCTTTGTGAACGCGGCGGGTGTGGCGAGGGCTGTGGGGTTCCTGTTGAGGGGCGATGGGTATCTCAGGGCTATCTAGTTTAGCGTTTTCCTCGCTCGTAGAGGTAGTTTGCTTGCTTTCAATCGGAGTGCGTGGTTCTTCGACCTCCACGGATGGTGTTTGGATAGCTGTTACTGTGGGTGACGTTCCATCTTCGTCGAGGGCTGATTCGACGATTTGCTCGTTTTCCAAGCGCACCTGCTGGGCAGACTTGTACATGTTCCTGTGCTTCCGTGTCAGTTGGAAGAGCTGACCATCATATGAGACACCAAAACGTACCACGGAACTGTGAGAGACCAATGGAGAAAGATAGCGGCGAGAACAATTAGGATGATATCAGTAATGAAGTCGCTTCCCTTGTTGTGAAACATGCCTGCAACGGCTGGCAGTAGCGCAAATGCCAAAGGCATCAAGGAGGATTCTGAAGCTCCATGCTCATCGGAATCGAAGCTTGCCGCCGGGTTCAGAATCTCATGATGAAGATTCCTTCTTGCGGCATCTAGACTGTAGTCCGAGAAGGTTGAGCTGCGTCGCCTGAACTCCCCAAACGAGGTCCCTAGGGTGGATTGAGAATTCGCGAGGCGGCGGCGAAGTTGGGCTGGCTGGGACCCTTCGCCGATGGTTGCGGCCCGGCGGACCGGACGACTATCGAGAGTGGACGGCGACATGGCGGGAGTGTCCTCGGTCTCTATAGAGGTTACTGTGGCCATGTTTGGAGCTTTGGCCTTGGGGTGAATCGGATGTGGTTTTGGTGGCGCTTCTGTCATGGAGTCCAGGCGTTGTTGCGTCTGTCATTGACTCCTCGGGCAGAAACAGCGAAGCGAATGCGTCGTGGCTGTACTTTAGCACCTTTGAGCGAGAGCGCGATGCACCGTATATGTGCAGCTGAGTGGTGTTTTGATTTTCGCGGCGACCAGAGCCCAGGGATTGCCCGCGGATTTTGACAATAACAGGAGACGTGTTTGACAGAGAAGGGTGCCGGGTGTTGTCAAGTTGTATGGTGCGGCCCTCACAACGAAGGGAAGCGATGTTGCAAAGCAAGGACGGGTGAGTAAGTAAGTAGGTGCAAGGCGGGACACTGTGACGTAGTCTGCAACTAAATCAATTGGAGTTGCGGGGAAGATGGGTTCGTCCCGTCGCTGTCGGATGCCAGATAGATAGATGACTGCACGTCCGTCATTCATTCAGCTTCTTTTGGAGCCCACAGCGAGCTGCCATCCAGGCAATCCCGCAATCCGCACAGTAGCGTGAATGGTGGCGACGGACTTGATGTTAAGTTGCCGCAACGCGTACTTGACTGAAAGAAACGCACGGCCTGGAAGAGATCTCCGGAGGGTTTGGGAAGCCGAGAGACAGAGACTTGCTACCAAGTGGAGAAGAAGAGGAAGTGGTAGGTTTATAAGTCATGGCCCCAGCCGCCCTGGGCTTGGCTCGTTCGAGCTTTGGATTGCGTGCAGCTCTCCTCCAGGTTGGTGTTTCACTGCATTGTGCCATTGGCAGTGGCACCTTCAGAGGTGGTGGCATTGGGTATCAAGAATGAAACCTCGATGTGCTAACAGTCATGCTCATCGACTCACCTACACATGGCTGTTAGCGACGACGAGCAACTTTCTGACATCTGATTCTCAACCCCGCTTGGGTCTCCAGATAAGGTAGTAGGTGGCAGGCGAGCTTGCGGAAGGGCTCGGAATATTTGCTGCAAATAGCCATAATGATTGGTTTCATTGGCTAGGTAAAATGAGGCCCTGCATCAGCGTCGGCTGGGAATTTTGTCTTTTTGTCTTTTTTTTTTTTTTTTTTTTTTTTTTTCCTTCTTGTCTAACCCTCTGGACGCAAAGGGCACATTCAAAGGTCTCGGACGGAAAAGGCCGCATCGGAACTCCTTTCATCCACCATGGTGAAATGAATTAGTCGACATTGAAGAGACGCTCCTCTCCTGTGGAGTATTTGTGGTGATAGGCACACAGCCGCTGAGCAGTTGGGATTGAAGTGAAAACCAAATAAAGCACAATCCAGTCGATGTCCCTCTTGCAATGGACTTTTTGCACGTGGGCTTTTGGCCCTAATGCAGGACGGACATGCGCGCCCATGTGGAAGCCCCGCTTGCTTGCTTGCTTGCTTGCCGACAGGAGAACATGAAAGGCTGTAAGGAATAGGTGTAGATATGGAGAATCGATGCCTCTCTTGGGGAAATATCTATGTGAAGAACGAGCCCACGGCAACAAGAGGTTGTAATTCACCCTGCTAGCCAGGTCAAAGGTTGCTCAAGCATAGTACGCTTTGGTACACTACAATACACCGGAGGTATATGTACCTGCAGGTAAAATTGCGTGATCGCTTGCTTGAATTGTGTACCTTCTTTGCGCTATAGCCTTTCCCATGTGTTGGTCAAACGCATAACCCTTGGTGTTCATGCTTGGACTTGCAGCGTCCGAGCACCACACCAAATCGGGATCGATTATGAGTTCATCCGGTATTCAGTGTCATGCATCTCGCTGTAACGGCCATCGGAGATCGAATCCGTACAATCCAGCCCTGATTTGATAGAGAGTCTGGTACCAAAGAGCCAAAGCTTTACTGGATCCACTTCGATTGGGTGAAGGCCGTGAGGCTGTAATCATCCAGTCTTTACATCACAAAGGCCTTCAAGGATATGGAGAGAGGCTAAGAGGACATCCGTAAGAGGCTTCTGTAGCGTTCTGGATCCTTGTTGATGTTGTTGTCCCATATCGTTATGAAAGGGGGACGGTTCCTCTTTTGAAAGGGTAATGGAAGCCCCAAAACTGCCCTGTTCAACCCATGGTCGAAGAACCAAACTAACAAGCAAACTATTATCGCATTGTAATGCCATCAGGACGTCGCACGGCATGGCGCATTACAATGTGTAGACATGCTATGTTCGGGCATACCGAAGTAGTGGGAAAATGACATTCGGACAAATTCCACCAGCTGGTCATGGGCGTCGCACAAGAACTGGCTGAGGCTTTTCAACGGTGATGTTGGGTAACATTCTCGGTATGAAGGTGGTTGATACCCCTGACCAGTGAGCTTGCCAGGAACGCGGAGATTCTGGAAATGCTGAGAGATCATCTACCGCCTACGGCCGAGGGACTTAGGGCCAAGCTTTGCTTGATGGTTACCATTGAAAAGGGGTGGCAGAATAAAAACTTCAAATACTTGGAACATCAGCATTCGCCTCAGCGCCCACGAAGGACCAATCTGACCACCCAACCATACCTCGATCAAGCAGCTTTCTATTTGGCGTTCGCTACGGCATGCGTTGATGTTGTACAGATTGCAAATGAAGAATCAGAATTGTCGATAATCGCCTCAAACCCCGTTTCGATTTTCAACCACATCCGCCGAGTGATTCAAGTCGCTTTGCTAGGTACATCCAGGGCAGGTTCGTCGAAGACCGAAGCAAGACGGTGGTGGTATTTGACTGTCGGTTGCCGCCAGCTGACAAGACCTGGGTCGGCTGGGCTGCTTGCTTGATGAGCGGCCCTGGGTCAAGGTGGAATCAACCGCCTCCACATCCACTCGTGCAGTCGAAAGAAAGGAGCCAGTCAGAGCACCCCAAGCGCCGCGCCCTGCATATCGCTGGAAACTCGCAATTATTGTCAACCGACAAACTGGCAATTGTCCGACATTGTCCTTGCCGCCCTGCGCTGTCCTCGGGGCTACGGGAAAGAGAGAAAGTGTCAGGTTTGTGGCTATACAGGTTGCCTTCCACGCCGATCGTCCAGTGTCAATTCTGCCGCGACTGCTGCCGCCGTTGTTGGCGTCAGATTAATCGAGATAAGGGGAGCAAGCCAACAACTCGATCGCGAGCCAGGAGGAACCGGTGGACCTCAACGAAGACGGCTGACCTGTCGACGACGACGGGGCTTGAGCAGTCCAGCTGTCTGCGTACAGGGTTGATCGTGGTCAAGCTTGAGGTTTCGACCTGGGTCGGTACCGGAGCTTTTACACTTCAGGACTCGGGCGACTTGACAAGGAAGCAACAAATCACAAGTCGGGATCCCCTGAGTGCGAAGAGCTGCAGACGACCAACACGGACCCGGCCGCCACCAAGCGCAAGACGGAATTTCCACGTTGTCGAGGGGGCCGTTTCTGCGGCCGCCACTGATTGCTCGCTCCAACGGCTTCACCAACGGCACCACCAGCCCACCTCTACTCGTTGCCTGAAGCAGCCGCCGTAGATTCGACCGCCATCGAACCGCCATCTACAACGTACCATTCATCGCCGCATCCTCCATACCCCTTAACCGCCAATAATCCTCAACTGCCGTCTCCGTCGCTACAACCCAACTATCCGGGCGCACACACCTCGACTCCTTCCCCTCCACCCCCCGCAGCGCTTTCTCCCGCGCTCGCGCCCGGCTTTGGCCGCTCGCCGCGCAGGGCACCCGATAACACTCCAGTGTCGCTCTTGCAATCACCCTTTCGAACCCGCGGCGCAGTTGCGACATCCAGCTCTCCCCTCCACCGCCAGTACGCCCAGTTCCATTCTCCTCATCGCCAATCCCCTGCTCGTCTTTGGAATCCAACCAATTCCACCCCGAGGCTTCCACCTGCTCCTGCTGCAGCAACTCGGAGGAGACGCCAGTCATCGCCTCCGCCGCCGGCGATCCCTCTCTCGCTGCCCTCGCCCCACCTCGATTTCGATCCGTCATATCCAACAGCTACCGCCGCCGGCGATCAGCCATTGTTAACCGTACCCGAGAACCAACAACAGCCACGGCATTCAGTCATCAGTGCTCGAGCCAGTCTGCAGCTTGAGCGTAGTACAGGCAGTGGGCAGCGTTCCCCCCTGCCGCGCACACTTCGACATTCCCTTGAAGGGAAACGAGCTAGCATACCACCTTCGCCCATTGAACGAGTGGAGGAGACAGACGCAGGACCCTCTCGCATCCGCGCTATTGAAGAAATCCCGGAATCAAGCGCGTCTGGACGAAGGACTCGGGGTCAAAGTATATCAAGCACCAAGAGTCGGGTGCCGGCTGGGCTGAGCTTCGACCACGGGAAGAAAGGTTTGGACAAAGGGAAAGGGAAAGAAGACATGGCTCCAACGGAAACCAAGCAGGAGGAGAGAGATGGGGCCGGATTTTCTCCCGACTTGGAACGAGGACCGGATGTGATGGACGCCCGGCAGTCAATAGGATCACGGATATCCGGCATTGGTTCTGCCATTTCATCAGATGACTCGGATATTTTGGGGGATCCTGACCAGCAACCAGACGCTGGCGACGAATGGGGACCTCAGCACGCTTGCTACCCGCACCTCAACCCGCACGTCCCCCTGGATTCTCCTGAATACATTAATACGCGAATTATCCGAGTCCGTCGAGATTGGCTACTGGAGGGTGATCTGGCTCCTACGTTCTCAAACCTGTACCCCGAAATCCTCGAGCCGGCAGGGTTATCAGAGCAAGAGTTTCGGCGTGTGATCCAAAAGCTGAACTCCGAGCTTGTGCCGATATTTAGTCCATACAACTGGCGCAACATTTTGGACGGCATTCTGGGTCTTGCAACAGGCTGGCTATGGGAAGACTTTGGGTTTACCGGTGTAAAGGCACGGTTGCAAAGGCTCGAAAATTGGATTGAACAGTGGAACAAAGAGATGGAGAAGACGGTGGGTAGTGAAGATGGCACAATCCCCCCCAAGATCGTGCCACTGAAGAGGACCGGTTACATGACAGTACGTCTTTTCCTAAACCGTATTCTTTACCTGCCGTGACCGTATGCTAACTTGAGGACGGTAGCTGGATATTCAAATACCGGATCCCGAGATTGCCCCTGCACCACCTACACCGGGTGCCTCTCGCGGGACTGACGGGGCCATACAAGTTGAGCCTGTCGAACATCCGCAACAACCACCAGCTGTAACTGTCTTGTGAGTGACTTCCGCCTGGATCTGGCGATGAAGCTCTCCCCGCCTAGTGATCATACCTTCGCATGCCTCCTTCCTGCTTATTCTTCTGCACGGAGCTATCTCAAGCTCCTCGCTGATTGCGCGCGGGGCATGTTGGAGGAGTGTCGATGTGACTGATGGCTCTTGTCGAGTACATCCATACGCCCCACAATGATGCATTGCTGGAAGTTGCCTCTTTTTTCTTCTTCTTTTAACCCCTTTTCGCATACACTTTTGATACCATTATACCACCCTGTTCATTAGCATCGGCGTTGTTTGGATATTCTGGAAACCTGTATTGTCAGTCAGCCCCTAGCGAAGCGGCTTCCGCATCAAAGGGAGCTGTTACCACCAAACAATACAATTATGGGCGAGAGAGAACGCTTTTTATGAATAACTTAATAAGGAAAACAAATGAAGGGAGATCCGGGAGCTCTCAGCTTGAACAAAGCATCTGGAGTTTGCCATGAAGCTACCATGCAATCAAAGTCGCTTGGTCGAAGACCGCCTGACAAGTAGAGTAGTAGTGTTCTTATCGCAGATTTTTTCAAACAAGGAAGCGTCTCCATTTGCCCTACATACCCTTGAGTACCTAAACCAGTGAGTTATGTCGCAACCAAGGTTTGACTGGACCGCTGCATCCGTCCAAAGCATTCGCTTTTGAGACAATAGCAACTTTCAATCACGACACTGGCACTGTCATGTTTGTTGACGGCTGTGCAGTTACATGGAGATATAGGTTTTCCACGGCTCAAAAATTCCAACAATTGGAAAAGCTGCATGGCGCAGCGGAAGCGCGCCGGGCTCATAACCCGGAGGTCACTCGATCGAAACGAGTTGCAGCTAAATGACTTTAGTTTTTTTCTTTTCTTTTTGGGACTTACTTTTTCTGGTTTTCTTTCTTTCTTTTTTATTTTTATTTATTCAACCTATTCTGCGTTGCGCCTTTCCAATAGTAATTAGTGTCCTGTTCTTCTTCCCTTTTTACTTTTCCCTCTAGAACATCTTGCCAACAGCTTTATCACTCCCAGCTCCAGGAACTCTCTTGTTAGTTGCACTCTTCTTTTGTCCCTAGTTGCATGAATCTTACTTGTCTTTAAAATCAGTTTCACGATCAACGTTCTTCTCTTTGCTTGAATTGGATCCCAAGCGGACAGGAATGTACGAACCGAACAATAATGTCTCGGGCTTGTGCTGTACGTATGTATGTAGTCATGACCTTGCTGTTTGCACGCAGCGAGTAAATGCTGAACCAATTACGGATTATAAATGGTACAAAATATGGTGTGGCTGCCACGTGGGAGATGGGATGGATCAACTTGTCGGTGCGACCCATGGTCTCGGTAAAGTCCATCCGATCCTGCCTGATCAAGCAAGGCAGAGAATTTCGAGTGAGCAAGTGTAAATTCGCTACGTCCGGTTGCCTAGACGAGACCAGTAATACACAGATGTAGGTATGCTATTTGATCTCGTGCAAGACCATGATGCTGACTCTCACGCCTGCATACACCAAAAATACACAGCCTTAACGAAATACTTTTACGACATGCTTTTTGAAATCTCGACCATGAGCATACCCTGTAAGCGACTTTTTCTCTTTCTTGCCAAATTTATGCCAGCAGAGTCAAAGATCTTTTAACGCCTTCTGTCCCACGGCCACCGTTCAGATCCATATTACGTGATGGTAGACGGCCCTCAGCCCCTCGACAAGCTCAACAACCCACTGGCAGCCTCATCTCCATCCCCGTTCCCTTCTCCATCTTGCTCTTCCTTTTCACCGGCATTCGACTGGTACGGCGTCAGGCTAGGTAGCTCAGGTTCAAGCTCAGGTTCAGTGGAGTAACTCAGGCCGGGGCCCACCACCTGGTGACTCCTGGATCTGGATTGTATGCTCTCCTCTTCTTCGTGATCATCATTGCGATCTCTCCTCCCTGGTCCTGCTGCAATATCATTGGCAACCTCTGGACCGTTCTCTGTAGCAGGGCGTACTACCCACCCTTCGTGGGCGTTATCCAGGTGATGTCGATGACGCTGCTGCTGTTGGGGTTGGTGGTGGTGGTGTGTAAGTTGTTGAGAGTTTGGCTCCGAGTCAATCTCATCATGCTCATGCTCATGCTCATGCTCATGCTCATGCTCATGCTCATGCTCATGCTCATGCTCATGCTCATGCTCATGCTCATGCTCATGCTCATGGTCCATCAATAGCTCTTCTGTGACCGCCCTCGACTGAAGCCGTTGATGAGCCTGCAACGCGCGCTCCGCAAGGTCCAGGCGGTTAAGATGAGGGGACGTCGTCGTAGTCGTCGTCATGGCTGCGGTCGTAATAACACCAGTGCCTGAACCCGTAAACGTAGTATCAGGCCGACTTACTCGATCCCCCTGATCGGATGGCAGTGATTTACTCCCGCTTCCAAGATTGCGCTGCTTCTGCTGCTGCTGACGCCGCTGTCGCTGTCGACTTTGATCCCTAGAAAATCCATCATGATCCTGCTCAGCGGCGGCATTCTCCCAAGTGGAAACTTGATAATGATGACCATACTGTTCATACCATTCCCTGTACTGTTCCCTCTCCCGCCAAGCCGTTTGACGCTCCTGTTTCGCTTGGACAGCTTCGATAGCTGCTCCGGCGGCGTGTCGGAGGTGGTTCACGCGCTGGAAGTAACCGTGGCCTTGGCTATTGCTGTTGCTGTTGGTACTACCATTGCTGATGAAGCTCCAGTTCGCTGAGTTGCTGTTGCTGCCATCATGATATCTGTCTACTGCTGCTTCTGGTGAGGCACCACCATCCGCCAGCCGTCCCTGGCTGTGGTGGTATCCCCCCAGCGGTAGCAGTGAACGCATCTCCAGTTGCTCAAGCGGGACGTCAGTCTGGCCCGTCTGAATCTTGTAAGCGGCCAGGCTAAGGCGGAGACGGAGGATTTCCGCTTTCTGTTTTACGTTTTGGACAATCATCAAGTGTCAGTCAGCGCATCCACATGTCTATGGGGAGTGAGATCGGGCGTACCTGTCTGGCTGCCTGATTCACGAAACGAAGACGGGGGTTATTTGTCCTTTTTGGTTGCCTGTGATTGTTAAAGTTGCCCACAAGACCGGCTGGGTAAGCGATTTGGGTCGCCATGGGAACGGACAGGACCTCCGCAACCGCCCGGGCCGTTCCTTCGGCTGCCACGCGGGTTGGATGCAGAGCTGGTAGCACCGATAGAGACGAAACTCTCTCGTGTCTCATGTCGGTGGACTGTGAAAGGTCGGTAGTAGTCGCTTTGCTCAACAAGACAGTAGCCTCGGTAGGAGGAGAGGCTGATTTCGACCGATTTCTCCTGCCATGACTACCAGCTCCTATCTGCTGGTGCTGGTGCTGTTGTGCTCCCCGAAGATCGAGGCACACCTTCTTCCTAGCCGGCTCCTCTTCACGACGATTGTTCTCACACCCTGCAGGAAGAACAGTTGATTCAGTTGCTTGCACTTCTTCCATGCGCCCCTCGAACTCAGACTTGGAGCTCTGGCAGGGTGACGCGTTGGGATTCAACGACCCGAGGATACGCCGTTTGGTCGGCGAGATGGTGGTCATAACTACCCGCTAGTGAAAAAGTATTACTGATGCTCCCTCCTGCTCGTGTCTGATCAGTCACTTTCAGGTGCTGATGTGAAATGTTGCCTGCAAAACCTGGGCATGGAAGGGGAGGCGCGTCGAAGGTTGTGTAGAGCAAGACGCGATGCCGTGGTTTTGGCTTCCAAATCAAACCAGAGTACAAAATTGTTAAGTTCAGCGCAAGTGTACTGGCTCCAATTGTGATACCTGAGTCGGTGTGCACTAACAGTGCAGTGGCAATTACAATGATCACCTAGTTTGGGCGGTACAGTACCTATCCCAGCCGTGCGAATGTCCATCAAAGGCGACTTTCTCAGACAGGTAACTATGTTGCCAAAGCCATACTATGTATAAATAAAATGAGATTGACTACTAGTAAGAACAGAGAAGATTAAAAAATATTTGTGGGAAAATCCCAGGTGATGGATGCATGCACGAGATGTACAGTTAACGCAGTGTACTAGGTGGTGGCACCGATCAGGGCCTGATCTACATGCAGTGCCCTGCTGCTATAAGGGAAAGTGGAAGTACACTACATACACTAACATCTTGGATCGCCACCTACCTGTATTGTATGTGCCGCTCTCTTCAGGGCAACCTAGGTCGACGCTTACCTTACGCTGTCTCCCAGCCCTCCAGGAACGAACAAATAAATGATTCATGGAACCCCGCAAATTCCGTTTGGTGTACTCGGAGGATGTGCATGCTCTTGGATGGGTTGCAAGCTGAAACGTATCGTGCCGCTAGACTACATCCATGTACACTACACTCAAGCGACAGGGACTTGGGGGACCAAACGAGCTCGAGACAAGATACTCGGATGGATAGGTAGATACATAGATGTACGGCACATACGAACAAGCGAGAACGGGATGCAACCTCGGCCCCACCGAGACGCGCTTTTTGATACGCTTCGAAAACAGCTAGCTGGATTCAGCAGTAAGTAAATATTACTTTCAATAGACCCAGACAGAGTGCTCGTGCGTCGCTCTCAGTATCCAGCTGAGGTCCAAGTCCGGCGTTTGGGAGCTATGAGGTTGTTCGTGATTATGCCAAACGTCAACGGGTATCAATTCCTTTGAGGTGGAAAGAAGAAAAAAAAAAAAAAAAAAAAAAAAAAAAAAAAAAAAAAAAAAAAAAAAAAAAAAAAAAAAGAGAGAGAGAGAGAGAGAGATCGGCCTTCTCGGCCTCTTTCTAGATCCCAGAAGCAGCTCCGCTGTGCCGTACGGGACATCCCCGATTCCGTTGGCGATTCCGCCTGCCTGTTTCACCCTCATCCGTTTTTTTGCTTCACCAACACCAAACAGCACGTGATATCAGTGGTATGAAGACATATCAGGAAAAGCGTTCCAAATCCCATGATTAGGCGCCGCAAATATGTAATGGCAAAGAAAAAAGTGCGACGAACCAACGATAAATGCCAAGATTGTAAGTAGAGAATCAAAATATCATCATTCCGCATCGCAAACCCCCAAAACGCCGTCCCAGAATACCCTTCATATGAACCATGCGCCTTGACGTTGCGTTCAATCATCTATCAACCTTCCTCCTGTCATTCTCCGCCGATACCCCAGATGCCTTCTTTTCTCCTCCACAGAGCGCCAATCAGTTTGTATTCAGCATATAGAGCGACGTGTCAAGCTTAAAAGGCTTTGAAAAATCCATGACCGAGTCATCAAACGTCACGTTAGCATACGCGTCATTGACCATCATCTCTCTATCAAACGCCGGTGGTTCGTAGCCGTCAAGGCTGACGTTGTTCAGGTTGTCCATGATTTCCGGGTCCATGGTGGCCCAGTCCATATTGATGTCAAGACCCACACCGTCCGATATATCGCTGCTTGGCTCCGAAGTCTTACTTGATTCTGGCGTGTCATTCGGTGTCTCTGACAACGACATGCTGAAGTCAGACGTTTGGGCTGGGTCAAGAGTCGCAAACAAGTTGGAAAGATACTGGGGATTGACTCCGGTCGCTGCCCACGCATCATCGGCCATTGTCGTCTGGGCAGGAGCCCCGTTGCCACTGCCTGGCGTGCCTGCAGCGTCAGGCCCTCTAGCGCCTAGTCTGCTGCCTTGCCTCCTCATCGACACGTCGCGAGCCATGGGAGTCGCTGCCAATTCCTGCTTACTCATGGGCGTCTGAGCTTGCTTAGGACTATTCAAAGCCCTACCGGACGCGCCTGAAGGAGCACCCTCCGCAACAGTCGAAATCGCTTTGGTGTTACCGTGTGCGTCCAAGCCTAGACCCTGAGCCATGTTCTCCTGCAAGAACTTGAGAGGATCCTCATTTGGTTTCACGTGCTCTTCATGGTAATGAATATCACGCAATTCCGCTGAGGCGAAGCCAACCACACTTCCTTCACAGCCGATCTCAGGGCAGAGGTAAGGATCCGGCTGCGGCTTCGCCGGCTCTGGGGCCTGTTGCCGCTTTGTTTCCGGCGAAGGTGCCTGAATCTGAGGCGAGGCACTGGCGGTCGACTGAGCCGCTGGGGACGTTGTTTGAGGCCCACCGGTTTTGGCCTTCTTCCGAGGAGGCCACTGCAAATCTGTCGGTCCAATGGGAGGTTTATTGAGATAGACAGGATTACCAGCGGGAGACATCCCAGGGCCATGCCCGAGCGCGAACGGTGGTTGTGTTGTCGTCGGTGCAGCCGGAGGTTGCGTGATCTTGTTAGAGGCCCGATTCGGTGCTTGTTTGGGCACCTGTGTTTGCTTGTCCGAAGGCGCAGCATTAGATAGCGTAGATGGACCTGCGCGTTGATGAAGTTGAGGCTGGCCTGCTGCTTGCTCCGTAGACTGAGTTGCGGCCTGAGAAGCTCCTGACTTCAAATGATTGACAAGACCGTCGAAGAATAGCTTAATCTCATCAATCTCTTGGGCCGTAATAGTTAAGGGGTTACGAGTCTGGCCGGTCGCTTTTTCTGATTGAATTTTGATTTTCAGATTCTGAAATTGTATACTTGTCAGCGTATTCCTTACAATATCTGGCGAAGTTCGCGGGGAGAAGACAACATACACAACGGGCAAGCTTTCTGACCAAGCTTTCATCGTTTGTCATTCGATCAAAAGCCCCCGGAATAGTGGTTAACTCATTCATCTTTTGGGTGACTTCGCGTATTTTGAGCACAGCCGATTGGTACACATCCATCGGCATGTGTACCGGCTGCAACGGGTTCTGCTCAAATTCTTTTTGCACCTGTCTTGCCTCGTCTGCCCATATATTCTTGAAACGGTCACTGACCGTTGGACGGATGGCGCTACGTTGCTTCGCCTGCGACAAACTTTGCTGCATGGGAACGCCGTTCGGGCGCGGTACATCGGTCACATCACCCGGATGTGATCGTTTGAGGCTCTTTTGGGCCACGACCGGTGATGGATTTGGCGGGCCAGTTCGAGGTTGCTGGCTAATCCTTGAGACAGACAGCGCGGGAGTCGCAGAAGTTGAATCACTGCCGTCCATCGGCTTCTGAGGAACAGGTTGTCGGTTGTTGACCGGTGGTTGCACTTGCTGCTGCTGCTGCTGCTGCTGCTGCTGCTGCCGTTGTTGATCTTGTTGTTGCTGTTGCTGTTGCTGCTGCTGCCGCTGTTGTTGTTGTTGTTGTTGTTGTTGTTGTTGTTGTTGTTGTTGTTGTTGTTGTTGTTGTTGTTGTTGTTGCTGCTGTAGTTCTTGTTGCTGTTGCTGTTGATGATGGTGCGCAGGTGGTGGCGCTGGTGGTTGCGGTTGTGCCTGCAATTGCCCTTGTATTTGCTGTGGCTGCTGCGGCTGCTGCATTGATGGAGGCTGCTGTGATGGACCTGGGACCTGCATACCGGTTTGTGCGGCATATTGGGCGTGTGTTTGCGCTGCTGGTCCAGAAGAGGCCGTATTTGGTTGGTTAGACCCTGCGGGGGGCATTTGCACCATCGGCTTCTGGTTTACCATACCGGCGCCATTGTTCATTGCCTGCAGCTTCCTGGCAAAACTCTCATACTTGGTCTTACGTATTATAACTTGAAGCGCCTGATCTGACTGGCCGGGAAACTTCTTACGGGCCATTTCTAGTTCATGCGGGGCGATCTGAAGCACATGAGGAGGAACGTTCGTCTTTGGGGGTATCAGTGGCATCCCGTTAGGTTGCGGTGAAGGACCGGGCCCATTTGGGTTCTGCGGAGCTCCGCCCATGGAGGCAGCCTGTGCTCGTTGCTGCTTTTGCAATATTACGTGCTGAATCTGGTTTTGTTGGAAAGTAGTAAGCAACTGGGCGACCTTGTCCTGAACATGAGGAGGTAGGCCTGCTGTCTGATACCATGCCTTCAGATGAGCCCATTTCTTTAAATTTGGAGGCAGGATCGCGGGTTGTACGGCTCCACGTAATACGTTTAGCGTATGTGCGGGGATATCCCAATTGTCGACCATTTGTATCGCCCGAGGGTTGTTGGCAAGGGCTACCATCGCCGCAGTTTGTGCATTTTGCGGACCGTTCAGCTGTGGTTGACCAGGGCCTGGCTGCATGCCAGGCGGCATCACACCACCCGGCTGCTGAGAGCTTCCCATGTTCAGCGGTTGGTTGAGGGTGTTGACAGCGCCGATCAGCTGGTGTTGAGCTGGCATCCCGGACACTTGAGGATGCTTGGGTAACTGTTGAGCGTTGCCTGTGGTGTTCCTATTCTGCTCCCACTTGGCCATAATATCCTTGATCTGGTTTTCAGGAAAGCCTCCCGGCACACCACCATTGTTCGGATTCAAATTACCCAGCATCGCAGCCATCGCAGGATTGCTGGCGTTAATATTACCCTGCATTGATGGCGGCCTTGCGTTCGCGTGGTGGTTGAATGACGGGTTCAGCGTTGTCCTCATCCCCTGGGCCATGGGAGTGGGGGACTGTTGCATCGGTGCCGCCATATTGTTGATTGCGGGACTCTGCGATGTTGTAGGCAGTGCTCCAACCCCTCCAGGTTGCCCTTGCGGGTGCCGGTTCGGTACTTGTCCCCTTATCGGTATTTGTGCCTGTGTCTGTGCGGGGTTCAACGTTTCCATCGGGACCGGTGGGTGGTGGAATCCGGGCGGCGCTGAATTCGGCGGAGGCCGCGGCGTTTGGTTTGGCCCTTGCTGAGCAGCCGCCGTGTGCATGTGGTTTATCATAGGGCCAGGGGTGGCATTGCGTCCGGGGGCCCCGGGACCTTGACTTTGTGGCACAACAACCTGACCGGCTTCCTGGGCACGTAGGCCCATTTGCTGCTCATTTCGGATTGCCTCAAGATTGGGCGGGAGGAGCTGCCCATCGGTAACACCATGAGACTGCCCCGGCGGATTCATTGAAGTAGGATTGACTTGGTTGTGAGGTTGAGGAACTTGTTGAGGATGCGCTGCCATGCCTTGACGTGACTGCGCCATCATGTTCCGACGCGCTTGATTCAAACTTTGATGTTCGAAGTAGATCATCAACGGGTCCACTGCCAATGCTCGAATCTGTTGGACATGTTGGGGAGCCAGTTGCGATAGTACCTTTTCCCGGAGTGGGTCTCTAAGGGGCTCAGGAATGGCGACAAATTTTTTCAAGGCGAAATTCTTGATGAGCGGCCTGTCCCGCTCGGTGAGGCGTTGAATCTCATGGTACTCCATCAGCGCGGTAGGAAGGCCCTGTGTGATCTGCATAGCAAGTTGACCTAGACGACTCTGCATGACTGCTGGATTGGGGACACCGACGGGCAACGGTTGGGATTGATGTGGCATTGTGGTAACTTGAGCTGGATGCTGATGGGGATGAAAGCCTGGCTGCGCCATTCCCCTTTGCATGGCCAGCTGGTTGATCATCATTTGCTGCTGCTGCTGATGTTGCTGCTGTTGCTGTTGCTGCTGCTGCTGCTGCTGCTGCTGCTGCTGGTGTTGGCGTTGCTGGAGCTGGTGCTGTTGAAGCTGGTGCTGTTGCTGGGCCATCTGAGCCTGTCTCATCGCATTGGCTTGCATTTGTTGTTGGATGAGAGGAGCGCGAGCCTGTCGCTGTTCTACAAGTTGTGCGAATCGCTGACCCAGTAGGTTCTCGTACGTCGGCTGAGGTTGGTCAGCCAGGTCAGCCAAGATGGTTTGGTGATGCAGAGGGGCGTTTCTCACCTTATCCGGGGACTGCACAAAGGCCCGCCGTTCGATCTCAAGCGCGAGATTCACCGCCTCTGGCCAGGTGTCGACCTGTCCAGCTAACTTGAGATTGGTAGCCCTGGAGTGAATGTCAGCCTCTAGGCTTTTTGTAGATAATGACCGAGCTTCATACAGGGCTGACGTCTTCTGGACGCGTTCCGGCAGCTGAATGTGTGTAGCCTGCCAGCCGGTCGCTGGCGGAGGCTGAGACGTCAACCTAGCTAAAACGGCCTGAGTGACTTGGTTGTGATTAGGCGGTATCATTTGCCCGACCTGGGCCCTCGGCGGCATGTTAGCGGCCATGGCCGCAGAAAGCCGATGGCGGTCAGTCCCCTATCGACTGATGGTGATGCGCTGCAAAGAGTGACGAGACAAAGTTCCCTAGGCGGTGGGAACAAAACTGTCTGTCGGTGTTTTTCGACCACGGGTCCGGCGATGCGAGCGACTGAACGGTCAGGTAGAGCGACAGCAAGCGGTTGTGAATCGTGGGAGATACGGGTGACCTAGGTAATCGTATAGTGTGGTTTCGGCATCCGACGCGGAGGAAGCAGGAGCTCGAAGGAGGGAGGCGGAGATGGAGGTCGCTGGTGAAGAGGGCGGCGGCCTCTGGATGATGTCAGGCCAAGGGAACTCGCAGTCGTCTAACGGACTCTCTCTGCAGGCAGAAAGTAATGGCGGCGTATAGTCAGGCGGTCGGCGAAGTTGGGTCGTGGGAATGCCCGCCGTGGATTTGAAGCATCGGCTCTCGACTCAAATCGAAATCTGGGCTCGGTGTGCGCAGGGCAGGACAAATCGGGGCGGAGGGTCGTGAATGGCGGCAAAAATGGGGATCCAGCAAGCAATCGGCCTCGGATTTCCACTGCAGGGTTTCCAGGCCGGGTAGAAGACGGAGCGACGCGGCAGAATGAGCCGACAAGAATGCTTGGTAGATTGAATCCGTCTTCCACTGGAGACAAAAAAAAAAAAGTCGTCCGGGGTAGGAGATCCCAGAGTCGCGGCCTAGATGATTTGAAGCTGTGACGGGCGAGCGAAACAGAAGAGGCCGTCCACGAATGTCCGGACAGGATCGGGCTCCAACCTAGCGAGACGAAAGTGAAAGTAACACGAGTGCTAACTTGAGCGTAGTGCACCCCGAAAAGGTAGACAGTAGTCAGCCGAGTAGAGGATCGGCGTCGTGCTTGATGCGAAGAGCGCCCCGTGGTTGACTTGACCAAACAGTCAGTCAGTCTTGGTTGGTTGGGCTGGCTGGGTGAGGTGGAAGACTGGAAGTTGGTGGAAGTGAAGTGGAAAAAAACAGGTGTGACCGGGTTAGTAGAAGCAGAAGCGGAAGCGGAAAGTGAAGCTTCGTTCCATACACAATTGTCACGGGCAAAAGCGACAAGGCCCAGGGAAGGTAGGTCCGGGTTGAGAGGTGGGAGCGTCGAAAAGGAAAAACCAGGATGATGTCGGTGGATGTGCTCCAGGTTTGCTTGCGGAGGGAAAGTGAAGTGGAACGGGGAGTGGCCCTGCCCTGCCCGGGGCAAGGGGGAAAAGAGGATGGAAGATGGATGGAGCGTGAAAGGCGGACGGCGGGCGGGCGGGCGGGCATGCCGGGCTGTTGTGACGAGGGGACTAGGAGTCGAGTCCCAGGGCAGCGGACAGGTCCCTTTCCAGGAGCCCCAGGAGCCCATGGAGGTCGGGCAGGGCAGGGCCGCCAGGTAAGGTAGCTCACAAGTACACTCCATCGGTACCTCTAGGTACTGGCATAGGTGCCTAGAGGTAGGTACCTTTAGCCTAGGTGCCTCCAGAGGTAAGTTCCACCCGCACTACCTACCTCTAGGTCGGGCAGACTGCCGTGCTGCGCTGCCCTGGGCTTGAACCTACCTGGAGGGACCTACAGACGGGAGGTAACGACCTCGAAGCCCCCAACTGCCTGGGCTTCCATACCTCTACCTACCTCTAGGTACGCAGAACACTACCTGAGGACCAGGTAGTTGTAGCCTGGACCCAACCCACTCTTTCCTTAGAGGCATTCTGCTGCAACCGACTACGAACCAATCAGAATCGGGCTAGCTGCCCGCCAAGAACCCACCATCTCTGCGCTACTATCCAATCAAAAAGCACCAATGTTGACACTGTGGACCGTACTTGGAGATTTCAGAATTCAGGCACCTTGGCCGAACCATGGTTCTTTTTTGTTGCCTGTAGGAAGTTGTATCGACAGAGGCAACGTCGGGCCAAGTGCCTACCTCGTTGTCAAAGCCATGGTGAGTTTTGCTCTGCGCCTTACTAACGAGTGTATATGTATACCTTCAGTTTACCCACTTACCTGTTACGCCAGAGAGAACACTTCGAAGATCGACCAGATCCGCTAGTTATGGTGATAAACCTCATAGGTACGCTCCCCAGTGTATCAGTAATCCGCTCTCGAGGAAGCCCCAGTATCGTTGGGTAGTTTACCCATTCCCAGCAAGAGGTGGGCTGAAGACGAACGATATGTGACTATTGTCAGTGTCTGTCTATGTATCTACATAGACATCATCCGCGGCAACTCACTTTCCCCTTAGGCTAGCGATGGCGTTCTGGACATAATCACGGTCATCAAACGGTCTGTCCTCCATTGTACTAGGAAGATCCCCCAAGATCGACGTCGCATCCTCACCCCGGCCGGATCTGCTGGATGTACGGCACCTCCCTGAGTGCCGCTGAGTCTCATATCTCCCAGGAGGACTATCGACAACTTCTCATATTACAGCTCATGGGAGTTTCTGATTGTGGTTCGGAGTCAACGATCCAGCTTTCTCCATTCTTTCTTTTTGAGAAAGAAGACGGGCGTTGTGGATGTGATGATGGAAACATGCACGATGGGCACGTCACCACGGCAATGGGCGATAAGGCGGGTACAAGTGAGTGACTATACTTGTCCACGTAAGCCAGTTGGGCTATTTGCGCACCTTGACTAAATCAAACATGGGCAAGTACAGTAGAGGTAGGTACCTAGGTATGTACTGTGGTGACAGCGTCAAGTCATATTTACTCTAGGTAGCTGGAGTGCCTTCGGTCACCATAACGTTTTGTCAGCCCGTGTTACGTATTACAAGCATAGCTACCTTACCTCTAGGCACCTGCACCTTCCACTCAAGATGAATCGTAACTCGGCACAACCGGGACCTGCCCTGACTGGATAAAGATAGTATGGTTCTCGCGAATTGAGTATCGTCAGTAAAGTTATTTCGTTGTGTGCCCGGTACATACGTAGGTAGGAGATGTTTTCCACTTTGTTACGCGGTACTATAGTAAAACCCGCCACCTTAGAGATGCAAAAGAAAACCCCGAGAAAAGCAGCAGATACCGTCATCGTTTGCGGAATTTGAGCTGAGGTGTGCATCCAGCATATTTTGGCTCTGCCCTGGCAGCCCCCAGGCCCCAACGCCAGGCCTTTTGGATGATCAGCGCCAACAACCTAGGTTTCGCAGGTCGGCGGTGGGGTGGAGGGGCAGCAAGATGCATCTGGATCTCGCATTGCTCTTGAAGATGATCGCTTGCGCTTCTCTCGTGTCATGTCATCAACATCGATGCCGTCTTCGCTTTCATCTAGAACGTAAAAACACGGTGAGAGGTGTGATCGGGCAAATGACTGACCATCTGCAAGGAGACGGAACGAGCACGGCGCATTCACACATTTCACAGTCATATGGAAAGAGAGGTGCGACCCACGGCGGGCTCTTAGGTCCATGTCCACCGACAGCCACACATCAAAGTGGGTCTCGAAGAACTCGCTGTCATCGTGCCGTGGTATCACGCTCACTATACCGCATATGATAGCATCGAATGGTGAAGCTCACCTTCGTGGAACTGCGAGTGGACTTCACCAGGCCAGCTGGAAAATGGACAAATTTTTATTTTTATTTTCCGGCTACGGTTCATCTCTTCATACCTCTACCCTGGACGGCGGGAGACGGGAAGGAACTACGGTCGGCGTTGTCGCAACCAAAAACAGGGCCGATCCCGTCCGTCTGAGGTCCAAGCGTTAATTGCTGGGCTGCCCCTGTGGGCCCAAAAAACCATGGTCAACCCGAACCCGCGAGGCTCTCATATCGCTACATGCTAGGTACATAGGTTGTCCTTTCCATCACTCGCTAGCTGATTTTTCCAACTAGGTACCAAAGTACCAACTCAGGAAAATTATGCCCGAACGGTTGCTGTATGGCGCCCAACAGAACACCAGCAAGAAAAATAAAATGCCTGAGATCTCCTCTAGGTAGGTAGCAACAAAGAAACAATAACGAAACCTGCTCGCGCGCCAACCGTTCAGCGGCTAACGATCAAACGACCTCTTCGCTTCTTTCGCTTGCCTATGTACTAGTACCGCGCGGCTGTGGAGGCGATCTCTGTATTACAGATTTTGTGAGGACACAGTGGAACAGCCCTTTTTTTTCTCTCTTTTTTTTTTTTTTTTTTTTTTTTTTTTCCAAGTTGTCGTTAATCTCTTGTTTGTAGGTAGAGGTTGGCCCGAGATCCTAACTCTAACTCATCGTCAAGACCTTCAATTGATTCATATTTCTGCCCGTTATCAAGCTATGACCTACAGCCATGTCGTCGTTCATGGCACCCTCAGGCTGACCCTTTTACACTTTTGTTGACTCGCTTACATATCTCGCCCACCCACCCGTTTGATTCCCGAGCGATCACAGATCACACTAGTCAAAGCGAACCTCAATTTCCCAATATGTCGAGGTAACATGATCTGCGTGACATATGTATCCGGGGGTGCAAGCTTCCTCCCCAACATCCCCTGTAGGCTCTTCGGAAATGGTACTTTTCATCGCAACTCCAAGGTGACGTTTAATCCACTGCAGTGTAGACCTAGGTCATAGGTAGATCGCAGCTGGATGCGTGGAATGCAACAGCGATGCCAAAGGTTTGGTTCGGTTGATGCCCCTGGGCGCTGGGGCTTGGGTCGAAGTGTTCATCCCGCTTGGGTTTGCAGGAGATCATGAGATGTATGATCGCCGACGTTTCCTTCCGTAGGGATCTCGAAGCCTTTGTTTTCAGAACTGTTTTTTGTTTTTGGAACAGATTTCTTGGGAGGACCTGGGGCCGTTCGTACCGTTTTGCATGGCTTGTTTTCAGCGAATCACTCAAGGCCATGACTAGCTTCTGGGACTAACAGCCTGGAACCTAGTCAAATACCTGTGTCGTAGACCGTGGTGTACACGTGTACCTTGACCATTGTCACCAACCGAATTCTTCATCTTCTTCTCCGTACATTGAAACGTTGAGAGTTAGTTTACAAATATCTTTCGCCTACCTATCAGTGAACTCTGTCCTACTTTCATCTTTTTCGCACTCCCGCTTTGGGCTAACTGTATCCATCGCACCGGCATCAGCTTTGCATAACACTGGACTGACAAATACTTACCGGGAATCGAAGACTTGAGAGTCGGGGTTTGAGGTACAAGCACGCTACTCTAGGTGCCGCTGCTAGACCTTTTTAGGCGAGCGCAGAATGAATGCCTAATGACAAGAGAATGCCCTCTGTAGGTCGAAAATTGCGGCGTTGCGGGGATGATTGCATCTGCTGTTCTGATAATGATGGGCTTTGCAGTTCATGGTACCTCGAGGTCTCTCTCACGCGTAAAGCCTGATGGCAACCACTATAAGGCTTCCCAAGAATGGCAAGAGCGGGTCAAGTTAATCCTCTTAAGAACTTGGGGCCATGGCCTGCCGACTCAGGACCCTGCAACTTAGGTGCTGTCGGTGTTACGGTTCGCGGCTACGTCTTGGGTCACAATCAAGATGTCCTCCGTTCCCCATTGTCTCTTGAATTGCACGTTAGCAGGCAGGACCGATTTCACTCGGCCTTTCTTCTCTTTTCAGAAATACTCTGCAGCGGTCAAGGAACCAGGAAGAAGAGATCTAAAAGTGCGGCAGAGGGATGCTGGCGATTGGGTCCCTAAGGGTGCCACCATCTGCGATATCCGGGACCTTCAACCTCGAACGGAGGCACAAGAACCGGGAAGCCTTTGTATTGTCGATCCAGGGTCATCACAAGCTTCCGGGTGATGAGTATCGAGACTGGAAAACCACTTGCGCTGAATGGTTTGCCAAATTGATCAGCATAGTTGGACGAAACATGGCTGTGGTTGAAAACGCTTTGAATTCAGCCGTCATTAGCATTTCTCTTTCTCGTCATTGTACTGTGTGCCTTATGGTGTCGACAGTGGTAAAGGTGCGCGCAAGGATCTCCTATGCACGTAACACCCAAACCCTGATTTCACTGTCCGGAGTCTGTGCAGTGATCATTCGCCCTGGAAAACCCTGGCAGGCTGACACTGGGACTTTCCGTCGATAGGAAGGGGTGCTGCCGGATTTGATGGTCATTGACCTGGTCCCTGGCAGGGAATACTGATCGACTGTGGAAATGAGATTGGCGACCTCGGATCAGCATAACAGGAAGGGCCTTTTGATATTTGATTTGTGTGTCGATGAGTGTCTCCGTGAGCTTTGTACAGCAACGGGAAATCCACGTGTAGGTTTGCCATTCCAGAGTTTCCTGCCACGGGGCCCTCGTCTCTCGTGTGGTGTCCTCATCATGTCCTTGCCAAACCAATATAATGTGCCCAAGACTTAGAACATGAACTTGGTGTAACCCACCTTGTACCATCCAAGCTTCCTTTTGGATGTCTTCTGACGGTAACATGGTGGCTGGCTGGCTTTGGCATTGGTAGCCTCGAGACTCGGTGAGGTGGTTACGGCCTTGATTCACCGACAAACGTGCCCGAGTAGACAATGAGCATACTGCCTTCAAATCTTGCTTGTCGGGTTGCCAAACGTCGTAGCGTGGAAGTGAAGATGTCAGCTGAAATCAGACCAGACAGAACGCGAGAGCAAAAGCTGTTTCATAGCAGCTGGCTGCTGTATTACGTTGCTCGAAATGAGCTTGACGAAGTCTTCTAGTCCGACCTTGCTGGGGGGTGAAGGATGGATGGGATGTATGATGAGTGCATGGGGGACTGGGAACGAACGAAGCGAAAAAGGGCGGAGAAACGTACACAGTGCGCCATAGGTAGGAATTCAGTTTCTGATGCAGTGGGTTTGACGGCCGCGGGGTGTAGTACCATCACTGTACTTACTAGTATTTAACGTGTAGTGTTGGGGCCTCTTGCAACCTTGCTGGGATTTGATTGGTCTCCGTGCTATGCCAACCGATCGTCGTGGCAGCGGTACGTACCTGTATGCCCGTCGCAACCTGTCGACAATTCATATTCGACAGAACAACAAATATCATCTCCCAGGGCTGCGATGTCATTGAGTGTTCAAGCTATAGAGGTTATCAGTAGAGAGCCGGTGTACGACAGACCGGTTGCTAACAAAATGATTCAGGACTAAATCATATTTTCAACAGCTAGTATTCGACCGGCTGTCGTGGGGTTGGTCGGCAGTTGGCTCTGATAAACGACAAACGGCCCGTTCGGGGTTTATAGCGACGGGAGTCATCCGTGTCATTATCAGCAGGTCGTCGCCCTTTCGCAGACTGTGAATCGCGAGCCCTCTGCCGCGTGAGGATGACTGCCCTTTTGCACCCCAGCTAGGTTTTCCGATTTTGATCTTCCAGTCGTTCCCCATCTGAATCACCGTCCTGTTCTGGTTTCCCTCCTCTGTGCTTACTTTTCTTTTTCTCGGACGACGTCTCTTTTAAATTGGCCCCAAAAGGGAGCTGGGAGTCCTGGACGCTTTACCTGTTGGCCCAGGGAGGCAGGGCCCCTCGCCTCTTGGCCCCCAACCTCGCTCATTGGGCAGGTCTGTCAGGTCCAAGGCAACACAATCTAGCTCTTTTCACCCACGGTCGATCTTTTTAAACAGCAATTAGGGTCCATATCTCATCTTTCGTCTTTCGTCTTTCTGGCTCCAGTGCTTAAGGCTGCCCTGTCCCAGGCCGCTCGAATGATTTTGCCCGAGCAGGTGCATGAGCCACTGAGAGATGAGCATCATTCAGCAAGGTAAAAGTTGGGCAAGGCAAGACGAGACAAAAGCAAAAGAAAAGGCCCGTTTTTGAGGTAGGTAATGCAAGTCAACACCCTAAGGAAAACAGCCATGTCTCATCTCAAATGGGGGGCGAAAGCGATTTCCCAATTGCCCCTGGTTGATGAGGTCGAGCATTGTCTGATTGTTTTGTCCACCCCAGATTAGGGGGCCACTGCCGAATGGATCCAGCAAAGAGCGTTTCAAACAAAGCGAACTGAAATCATGGTGAAATGTGAATGGTCTCGCCATTCCACCTCTGCTGTTTCGCACACAAGATAGACCAATAGCCGTGAACCACTAACATGGACTGAAGAGGAAAAGAGGAGGTACACCTCTGCCGGCGTTTACTCTGATAGTGCGGTACCAACACCCCACAGAATTTGGCTGGTTGGCGGCGGGCATACCAATTATATTCTGTAGGATCAACAAAGTCATTGCCACTTGCAATCCCACCACGCTAACAAAGTAAATGTCTGCAGAGATGTACACTACACATCTCTGGGGAGGTTACGACAGCTGTGGTGCAACACCGGCGAATCCTGCTAGAAAGGACAAGTTGTCTTGCCTGCCGGCACCAGGTTGTGATTGAGGCATGATGTCTGCATCGTCTGAGCATCTATGCGGCCGGTAACCCCTCAAGTAATAGGAGGCATCTGGAGGGTTGAAGGTGCCAAAGTGATGCATCGCATCGGATTGGGTAACAGGGCAGATCAGGGTTAAACCTCGACATGGGTATTTCAGTGACACCATATTCAATCTACCAGATACTGGTAAGAGACGAGAGTTTTGAGGTTGTCCTGGTGACGAGATATATATTGACTCTCGTCACTAATACCTACAAACAGACAATGCGCAAAGCGAGAAGCGATACGGACGTCCCGTTCGTAGGTTGCTGTCAAGCTTCACGATGTCGTTGCGGAGATGAACCCATCCATCATCCATGAACCATGGCCGCCTTTAACCCCGGGCTCCCCGCAACAGACGGGACCTTCCTGCCGCTTTGCCTGACTAACATTTAAGCTACAAAAGAACTTGGAGAATGTTAGTACATACCTTACCTTCCTACCTGGGTGAATGACAGCTACCCCGCCTATCCTATCCTAGGATCCGACGTCCCGTCGTCAATCAAAAACCAAAAACCAAAAAAGTACCTACCTACCCCCTCATTAGCGTAGGTCCGTCACGACATACGAGATCTCGATATCCTATTTTCTCACACGGCGACAAGCTCCTCAATGCTCGCCACCCCTCGAGCATCACCATCACCGCGTCTCTTTTCGGCTGCCATCCATAGCTTCAGTCTTAGACCCAACAGTAACACAGCTTCCTCCGTTCCTTTCCACGTGGTCCGCTGCCACTTCTCATCTACTGCTGCAAGGATGGCCCCCCCCAAGTCCGCCTACGGCTTTCTCGACTTTGTCAATGCCTCTCCCACTCGTATGTTCCAATTCGTTTCCAGTACAGTTGTCGTTGATTAAAAGCTCGACATCACGAGCTCGTGAGCTGACCGGCGTGAACTCCCCACACTCTCTGCAGCCTACCATGCCGTAGCCACTTCTGCCGCCTTGTTTGAGAAGGCCGGCTTCAAGCTCATTCGCGAGCGCGACAACTGGGCCTCGGTCGTCCAGCCAGGCGGCAAGTACTATCTGACGCGCAACGGCTCCTCTATTGTCGCCTTCGCCGTCGGCGGCAAGTGGAAGCCCGGCAACCCCATCGGCATGATCGGCGCCCATACCGACTCGCCCTGCCTACGCGTCAAGCCCGCCAGCAAGAGGAACGCCCATGGTTTCCTCCAAGTTGGCGTCGAGCTCTACGGCGGCGGTCTCTGGCACACCTGGTTCGACCGCGACCTCAGCGTCGCCGGCCGCGTGCTCGTCAAGGATGGCGACGGCAACTTTGTCCAGAAGCTGGTCAAGGTCGACAAGCCCATCCTGCGTGTTCCCACTCTGGCGATCCACTTGCATCGCCAATCCAATTTTGACCCTAACAAGGAGGATGAGCTGCTGCCCATTGTCGGTCTGGTAGAGAAAGAGCTCAACAAGCCCGCCGCCGCCGAAGCTGCTGCTGCTCCCGAGGAGAACGCCGAGGCCGATGCCGACTTCCAGCCTCTCAAGGCCATGACGGACCGCCACCATTCGCAGTTCCTCTCCGTCGTCGCCTCCGCCGCCGGCATCTCGTCCGCCTCGGATATTGTCGATTTTGAGCTGATCTTGTACGACACACAGCCCTCTTGCCTCGGCGGTCTGAATGACGAGTTCATCTTCTCGGCCCGCCTCGACAATCTCAACATGACGTACTGCTCCGTCAGGGGCCTGATCAACTCTGTCTCCTCCAACTCCTCGTTGGAGAACGACCCCTCCATCCGCCTAGTCTCCTGCTTCGACCACGAAGAAATCGGCTCTCTCAGCGCCCACGGCGCCGACTCCAACCTCCTCCCCGCCATTCTCCGCCGCCTCTCCGTCATCCCTTCCCTGAACGCTGACTCCACCGAAACCACTCCCGTTTCCGAAACCGCCTTCGAGCAAACCCTCGCCACCTCCTTCCTGGTCTCTGCCGACATGGCCCACTCGGTACACCCCAACTACGCAGGCAAGTACGAGACCAATCATAGACCGGAGATGAACAAGGGCACGGTGATCAAGGTCAACGCCAACCAGCGGTACGCGACTAATTCACCGGGCATCGTGCTGCTGCAGGAGGTGGCCAAGCGCGCCAAGGTGCCGTTGCAGGTGTTTGTTGTCAGGAATGATAGTCCGTGTGGAAGCACAATTGGGCCTATGCTTAGCGCTAAGCTGGGTGTCAGGACGCTGGATTTGGGAAATCCGCAGTTGTCGATGCATTCGATTAGGGAAACGGGAGGGAGCTGGGATGTGGAGCATGCTATTGGGCTGTTCAAGGGGTTCTTGGAGATGTATGGGGGGTTGGAAGCTAAGATCTTTATTGATTAAGCCTGCTTGGCCAGGGGGGGGGTGTTGGTTTTGGAGGTAGAAGATTGGTTTGTTGGATTTGACTGCTATCTATTAGCCCTGGAGGTGGGTTGGATGTTTTGATCCCATGTATGGATGGGCGTTTGGATGTGGCGAGGTGTTTGGGTTGGGATGATAGAAGGGAAGACGTCACTACCCCCAGCAAGATCACCTAGAGGGCAAAGAGTTTGGCATACCGCAAAAACGAGCGTTGGAAAAGAGAATGGATCATGGTTATTGTGTAATTGTAAATAAAGTCCCAGACTGTTGGAATTATATAGCCGGAAACGGGGTGAACGTGTGTAACCAAGTACCACTTTGGAAGAGATAGCATGAGCGTCATCTGTTCCTGATTAACATCAGTGATGTTCGATCGACCGCTCCTGTTCGTATCAAGTTACCCTGTAAGCGACCAAGAATGGTAGATGGATCTACGCTAAAAACTTCTATAGATCTAAGAACGAAAGTGGGTCATCTCTAGACCATGATAAGATGCCAAAAAGAAATATAATATGCGAATGTCAACTCCTCGACGCCCCAGAAACACCTTGAGACGCCGGTATGGACGCCATGCCAAAGAATATAGACAAAGGAAAAATCCATGTACAGATAAATGCTACCAGATCTCTTCTCCTGCACACACTCTCTCTCCTCCTTACTCTCCTCCATAAATGCTTCCCCGCTTCAAAATGAAAAAGACAGATGTGTGATGTCGTCTGGACAAGCAAAATCTGGTCCGAAATCTGGTCCGAAAACCTAAAAGAGAATTCATTCTTTGCCCTCTTGCTCCTCCAACTCACGCATATACTTGACAAAGGTCTTCTTATGTGTCTGTTCGTGGGAATATGTTAGAAGATCCGGAAGCAACTGCTGGGGAATGAAAGGGAAGGGGAGGGAGGAAATCAACTAACCATGCCAGCGTACTTGCCATCTCTTAAGATACAGATGTATCTTAGCCCCAACTTGACGAAAAGCTCGTAGACCAAGTCCATAGGGGATCGGATATCCAAAGCCACTGGTGCCTGTTTTTGGGTCCATGCGTCAGTAATAATCTGCCAATATTTTCTTCCAACATGCAGGAAAAGAAGATACTGACCGGATCAATGTAAGGCGTGAAATCCGTCGGATCCCTCCTGCCCCCACCCTCCTCATCATCACTATCATCAATACTTGGCACATTCGCCATCAAACAAAGTGCCGTGCTCTCATCCGGCAAGTTATCCAACGCATACTCCAGATCCGGGGCTGGGATCAGGCCCACCAGAATGTCGTTCCTAATAATTGGCAAACCACCGTCCAGCTCGCCGGCCCTGTGCAGCGATTCGAGCTTGGAGCGCAGCGACGTGGCCGGCACAAGCGGCGAATTGGAGATGTCGATGATGCGCTCGCGCCGCACACGGGGAACGATGTCGATCAATTCGGAGGTGAACACGGGTTTGTGCTTGTTGTTGAGGAACGGGTATGAGTTCATTTCCGTTAGTAAGTCATAAATGCTGAGCGGCTCGATCGCGTCGGCCGTCCACTTGGCCACCAGGATGGCCAAACTAAAAGGGAGCACATAATCCAAACTGCCGGTTAGCTCGAACAGGATGACGGCCAGCGTGACGGACAGGCGGGTCACGCCGCACATGGTGGAGCCGGCGGCAATCAGGCCGTAGACGCCGGGTTGGATGCACGAGACGGAAGAGACTTTGTTGCAGCTGCTGAACATGGCCGTATCGGGGAAGGCGAGGACGAGCCATTGCACCATGTGCCCAATGAGCCGGCCCATGAGACCGCCGACTACCATGGACGGGACATAGATGCCCGCGGGAACTTTGATGCCGAAGGTGATGATGGTTAGGAGACCCTTGATGAGGAAAGCCCAGAGCAAGTGCCACAGGATGGGCGGTATATCGGCCTTGGAATCAGGACAAAGGCCGAGATCTTCCAGGTTGTTGTCCCGGTCATCGCATGGAGCCGCGAGGTTATATAGTAGCTTGGCAACAGGCAACTTGGTAAGACCGTTCCAGTAGCCGATCAGGCCGGTGACAAGGGCGACCAGGACAACTTCCAGAAGAGGATGCTTCTTGATGATAGGAATTCTGCGGAACGTCACCGCCCACTTGCGAGAGGCCTTGATGAAGAGGGCACCGGCCGCGCCACCGAGAACTCCGACAAGGATAAAACTAACCAGCTCAAAGTACTCCCAGTCGATCAGATAGCGCACCTGAAACATGACGATCTTGTGGGTTCCATATGGATTGAGGAATTTGAGCGTCAAGGCCGCCGTGATGCAGCAGAAGAAGGTCCTGAAGAGTGTTTTGGCAGGGAAGAAGTAGGCTACCTCTTCCAGTCCAAAGAGCACACCGCCCAAGGGGGCGCCAAAAGCAACAGCCACACCAGCGGCGGCAGCGGCAGAGAGAACCTCACGGCGCTTGGCATCGTTGCGATCATACTTGCTGAAGAGACGGCAGGCAATGTTGCCGACGCAGGTCGCAATGTGGACATATGGGCCTTCCTTGCCCAAACTCAGACCAGACGCAACGCTCAGAACAAGGCCAACAGTCTTGATAATGAGGGTTTTGAGACCCAGGAATCCGTGGAGGACGAAGCCACTAAGGATTACGCGAACCTCGGCAACACCGCTTCCAGCAGCCGAGTAGTAGATCATGGAAGGGGCAGCAGCGGGCGGAGCGACGGATGCCCGTCGGCTGGGAGTACCGTTGCCATTGGGGCTGTCGCCCCCATCATCCCCATTGCCTCCAGGAGACACTGGAGCAGCAGCCAGGTTCTCATCCAGTGTCGACAACCGGTATGCCGAGGGGACGACGGTCTTGGTAGTCAGGGTGAGCAAGCAAGATACGCTGGCCAGAGTAATCACCAAGCCGAGGTAGATGACAAACTCGGTCCAGCGCTCTCCGAACGGCCATCCATGCATGACCTCACCCCAGTCCCGCCAGTCGGTGCAAGGGCCATGTGGACAGCATCTCTTCTCACTGATCAGCCAGCCCCTTGCACAATAACCATCCTTGAAGTCGAAGAATGTCGATTCTGTGACATCGACGATGTAGGCAAGAACAGCAATAATAAAGCCGACCAGAGCGCTGAGTATCCACCCCTGAGCACCGTCGAACAGAATATAGACACGGCCCCAGAAGTCCTTCCGGCTGCGGAGAGCCTTGACACGGTGAGCGTCGGCGATGCTATCGTGAACCCAGTCGGTCGAGGTGAACTGGTCATACCAGACGCGGTCATCAGGGAAGACGGACCCTTTGGGTTCGGAGACGGGTTCCTCCTGGCGGTCGGCAAGGGCGCGTATCAGGCGCTGGCCCCAGGAGTTTGCGCGGCTATGGTGTCGAGTCGGTGGGTTGCTTCGTACCGTGTCTGTCCCTTCTCCTGCTAAAGCCCAAATGTCAAAAAATGTATCAACATGCGAAAGGACGGGGATAACTTACCGCCATAACTCTGATTTCTAGAAAGGTTGGGAGCCCTGGGCGTGCCATGAGCGCTGGCTATGCGGATGCGCGAAGCACGGGTTGTTCCCAGTAGAGAAGTGCGCTCATCAGGGGCACCGCCAGCTTGGTTCATGTTGGCTCGTGTGCGGCGATAGCTTGAGGGCGAGCTTGGAACCGAGAGATATGACTGTTGCGAAGGTTCTGCCGAGAGTAGACCATCCGAGTCGTTCTGACTGTTCTGGTTGCTGTCGTTTTGGCCATCGCGAAGCTCGCGCATCCGAGGCGCGTGTTTTCTCCCCGCCATTAGAGACTTGTTGTCTTGAAGCAACGAGAAACAATGCAGGACAAGTCCAGGGTGGAAACTGTAGCCAGGAATGTGGTGACGTTGCGTGGGGGATGGCGAAACTTTCCCAGAGGTCGGCGTCAGATGAGATGGGTGATGTCGCAGTTGGGCTGAACCAAGAAACAGCGCCGGCCACCGAGAAAGCGCAAAACAGGAAGCAACAAAGTCAAAACTCCAAAGATGAATCTTGTAAGGGTGAGTGACACGTTGCTAAGGTATGGTTACAAAGCCTGGACCAGACAAACACTGATCACCGCCGCGCTCTCCGTTGGTCGCAATGACGCCCTCGGCCTGGAAGCCGGCAAGTCACCGTCGTAAGAGTCTGGTGTCTTGGATGTCGAGGTTGTGTTGGGCAAGAGGCTACCTGACGGCAAAGGAGCGCATAAAAAGGGAAGGGCTGACCGGTATGACGGCAGTGTCTAGTCCCACGTGCGCACCCTGATAGGTAGGTAGGATATGATTCCTCCCAGGATATTTGTTGGCGTAGCTTGAAGCCGACAGCCGACCCGAACACCAACAGGACTCGATACTCGACACGAGGCGCAGCTGTCAGGGAAAGCAAAAAGGGCTGTCAGATGGCTGTTTTTGGGATCGGTGTAATCGGTACCCGTGTAAAGTAAGTGTGACTGAGAGTCGGTACCGTGCCAGAAAGGGCTTTCCGAAGGTATCACGGGAAGTTCATAGGGGCGTTTGAGGGTGCGACAGCGGCATCAAGTGACGATATACCGAGAATCGAGAGAAGAGGTCAAAACACAAATCAACAAAAAAAAAAACCTTTGGAGAACAAAAAAAAAAAAAAAAAAAAAAAAATTTCGAGGAGGAAGTCAAGCATGCAGGCGGCAGTAAGCCATGCCGCGGTACATATATGTAAAGCAAAGGCGGGAAGCTGGGAAGGGTGTGTGACTGGGAGGCATTAAGTGTGTAACTCCCCTCCCGTCCCTCAGTCTCTCCGTTTGCACATCATGCTTCCCGCCAACCGGCTTCAGCATGCGTGGTGCATGAGGTGATTGCCGTCCTTGTCGCGCTATCGCGTATCTCGGAAGAGAACGACAGGACAAGAGAACCTTTGTGGCCCGCCGGGGTGGATTAGCTTCGGGTTGCGGGCGTGATTCGGGGGTTCGAATGGCTTCCTCAAGTCTCATGCAACGCCAGCACCGACATATGAACAAGATAGCAACAAGAACTCGGGCATCTTCCAGGCCTTTCCCCTGCTGCCAATCCATGCAGATGTCCAGGGTAGTCGTTGAGCTGCCTGGTTATGTCATGATCAGGCAGCCCCACGATGTTGTCCCAGGAAGAAGGACCCCGAAGGAACCCCGTCGTGGGTTTCATCGTTGGAGGAGACGGAGGGGTCCAGGGAAGATACATACCCCAGACGGGTTAGGGTTGGGGGTGGTGCCGTCGTACGATAAGGCGCCATTTCCCACTGCCCGTCACCGTTGTCGTCCACCCAACAGCCCAAGGATCCGTCGGCTGTTTCGCAGCAGCCAAGACAGAGAGTTGCAATGCTCCACCGATCACACACCAGCACTAAAAATTACCTTAGTGACACCCTGGCACCCGACCCGACCTCAGATTGAAGAACAGAGACCCACCATGCTCGGCTGACATGGTTACATATGTAGTAAGTCTCACAATATCTTGCTTTGATCTTGATCGCTTGCTCATCTGGACTTTTAGACTAGATAGGATGAACACCCACATCTGCTATGGACCAGTAGTGTAACAGCTGCACTCACAGAACGGGGATTGGGGAAGAGACTGGAGGGCTGGGGATCAGTGGAGCTGTCTTCGCGCTGCATGGATCTCGAATTGTCCGGCTTTACACTAGGTCTGAAGATTGCCGTGCCAGTGGTCAATGCCCGGCTATTGGCATGCGGGGTACGGCCTCGCTAAAAGCCTCAAAGTTAAAAAGTGGACGAGATAAGTTATTCTTTGGCGTGAGGTGACGATACGTACACTACGATGTCCATAGAGATACTTATGGCGCCGATCTGCCTCAGTATGGCCTCGCCGTGTTGGTCTCGCTGGTTCAAATTTGCAACCCAAATCGGCAAGAAACCTTGGTTCAGCTTTAGGTAGGAAAGGATGTTGTAAAGTGTACTACCAGTATGCCCGGGCAGTATACTTGTATACAAGGACTGACTCTCTGTAGTGTAGGTAAGCTCCGTGCCGGTAAAAGTCAGGTGGGTCCGCTTGGGGTCCACCCGTTAGGCCATAGCGTTCACGGGCTTGTCACCTCTCACTGTGCCACTCCTACAGTATTGTAGGTAGACCTCAGACCCAACACTCCCGTCTGTTACCGCTGGCAACTGCAAATCATCCACTGCCAGCTGTCTCGTCTTCATCATCTAACCTTCTTTACCTTTGATGGCATCGCGTCGACCAATATTGCGGACAGAAGCCTTCGAAACCCAGTAGACCTGATTGGAACTTATGGAGGAAATTCGGGAGTCCTACGAATCGCCATGTCGTCCAACGAGGTGAAACGCCGCGCGGTGCCCAAGTTCACCTCATTCGCACCAGCCACACCAGCCCCCAAGGCAGACTCCGAAAAACGATCATTGACACTCCGAGGCTCCTCACGAGATCGGGAGAAGAAGGAGGACCGTGAAAGACGACATCGCCGGAGGGATTATGATCGGGACCGTCACAAGGACGACAGTGATAGCGAGAGGGAGAGGGAAAGAGAAAGAGGGAGGGACAGAGACAGGCATCATGCCAGGCAGCATGACAGACATCACAGTCGACACCATGATCGAGATCGCCATCACCGCAGACGGTCAGCCAGCCCTGCCTCACAGATCAAAGAAGCCCGTCATCCGCTCCACAAGCCATCATCTACCAGCCAGGATACCGATCTGTTTTACTTTGACAAAAGTGAGGACCCCTTGATTTTCCGTTATGGCGGAAATGAGCGCTCAAAAATACCATCTTATCGCCGCTTTGGTGCTGGAAAATTCATCGGCTCCCCAGGGTATCTCTCCGTTTCTTTCCAAGGTTCGAAGGAAGTCTTCACCATCCGAAGCCCGGGCGAGGGTAGGGGCAACGGTTCGGTCTTCGGAGACAAGACTTTGATGGCCTGGGCCAGAGCCAAGGGAGCGAAAGCAAAGCACATCAAGCCTGGTGTGGGTGGTGAATATGGAGAATCAGCAGCAGAGGATGGCGACTACATATCTCTCGAGCCTCCCAGAAAACGGCAACGTACCGATCGATCACCAGCGCCTGAGGACGGTGACAAGACACCAGATTACAGGTCCATCTATGGCAAAGCCAAGTCAGAGGATGAGGACTCGGATGGTGATGAGACATTGTCCGATTCAGAGAGCGAAAATAAGGTGGGCAGTCATCTTTCGGACATGTCAAGCGCCAAGAAGAGATCTCTTGAACTCCATCGCCAGGTCAAAAATAGCCCCCAGGACACCAAAGCTTGGCTCGAGTTGATTGGGTTGCAAGACACCCTCTTCATGGAGCATCAACTTGAGGGCCAGGTCATAACTGGGGATCAGGTAAAAGCCCTGGCCGAACTCAAGTTGTCTCTCTATGAAGAGGCCCTTCCCCATGCACTTGACATCTCTTTGAAGGAGACCTTGTTGAACGGAATGATGCGCGAGGGCGAAAAGGTGTGGGATCCCAAGCAGCTTGCGAAGCGCTGGGAAGAGACCACCAAGACCAACCCCGACAGCTTCTTGTTATGGGTTTCACGACTAAACTATGAGCTTTCGCAGGTCGCAACTTTCACATACGATGAACCGAAGACCTTCATGGTGACCAAGATGCAATTCCTCAACCGCACATTAGCAACTGCATCTTCGGAAAAGAATGTTGTCATGCTGTGTAGCCAGCTGATTTACGTGTTCGTCAGATTAACGTGCTACCTTCGGGACTCTGGCTACATTGAGCTGGCTGTGGCTGCATGGCAAGCAACTCTAGAACTGAACTTCTGCCGGCCCAAGAACGCTTCGAACTTCCATTCAGTCATTGAGGACTTTTCTGACTTCTGGGAAAGCGAAGTACCACGAATAGGTGAGGGCAATGCCAAAGGTTGGCGTCACTTTGTTGAAGACGTGGGCGCTATGACCGACCCACCAGAAGCAATACCAAGGGAGCCATCAGGACCTCCTCAGACGAGGGATCCATTTGAGGCATGGGCGTTGCTGGAACGACAAGAGGCGGCAAAGGCACGAATGCCGGCTCGTACCCTGGACGAAGGAACAGATGATGACCCATTCCGAATCGTCATGTTTTCGGATATCAAGGATTTGGTGTTGTGGATCCCATCCCAAATGCTCCCGCAGGCACAGCTTCAGCTAGTTGATGCCTTTTTGACATTCTGTCGACTTCCAAATACCGCGAAATCTTCTGCGCTGAAAGATCCCTTCATTGCGCCTCGTGGACAAGCCTTTGAATCTTTGCTGGATCAAATAGGCGGCCACGATGTTTTGAATTCGGTGGAGATAGAGCGAAAGCCACCATTATTCGGGCAACAAGGTGGAAACATGGCTCTCTCACCAGAACTCCTTTTTTCCGGGCAGGACTGGTTTCAGTATCTCGGTCAATGGTCTAGTCTCAGCATAGATGCGGATGGTGATGTTAGGCCTCCCTGGGTACTCGAGACACTCCATTATCTGGTCCTTACTTGCGGTATTGAACAACTGGCCGAGTACTATCTGGCATTGGCATGGCTTAGTGAACCTTTGGGGGTTAAGAAGGTCGCCAAGGGGCTGCTGAAACGGTACTCATCCAACACGAGACTATATAATGCCTACGCCATGATTGAATTTGCAAACGGAAACATTGGCATTGCCGAAAAGGTACTACTCTCGGCAACAAGCCAAAGTTCCCCCGATAGCCAGCTATTATGGAACACCTGGGTATGGATGCACCTGAACGCAGGAAACATGCAACTCGCTCTGCTTCGGCTGTTGTCTTCTGTGGACATTACTCTAGACGTGGAGAAGGGCTTGCCGGTATCGCCAGCTCTGCTCCTAAAAGCAAGAGCTCACTTTTCTACCAAGCGAGACTACTCCCTCTCTTCTCACCAAACAGAACCGGCACTCCAATATGCCGAAAGCCTTGCTCTTCTCGACTACCTCTCAAGAACCGAGAACAGCAGCGGCAGCACAAAGTACTCAAGCCAAGGCAACATCACCTCTGCTCTCGCAAACATACAATCTTTCACTACCGAGCTGAGCTCCCTAGGTCACCAAACCCTCCACGAACGACTCCTCCAAATCGGCGCTCGCCTTCTCTACCACCACGCAAATCACGGCCCTTACAAGCCTTCCACCCTACGCCAATATCTTCACGAATTCCTCCGTCTCTTCCCCCACAACACGCTCTTTCTCTCCCTTCTCGCCTGGGCAGAGCAATCCACTCTCCGGATCAGCGACCCCGTCCGCTCCATTGTGCGCGAAAGCTTGTCCTCAACCAGAGACAAGGACACCAGCAGCTCAGAAGGTAGTCACACACCAGTACCAATCCCCACCTACCGTTTCGCAATCGAATACGAGCTCCTCTCCGGCGCCGGCCTCAGGCCCGTCGGCGCCGCAACAATCCATTCCACCAAAGCCGCTTTCGAAGCCGCCGTTTCGGATCCCTCTGCATGCAGATATAATGTGGACATATGGATCGGTTACATTCGATTCTTGACGCAGGTGTACTTTCATGCACTTTCTTTATCCTACGGATCCTCTGCCACGGCAGGGACCCGGGAGCGTGGTATAAAGAAGGCGGATGCGCAGGCGGCGAGCACCCTTAAGGCTCTTAAGGATGTGTTTTACAGAGCCGTTGCCGCCTGTCCGTGGAGCAAGAAGCTTTATATGGCGGCGTTCCCTGCTGGTTCTACTGCAGAGCCTGGAGAGCCTGGTGAGGGCGGGGGCAGCGCATTGGTGAAAGCCTTGAGCAGTGGGGAGTTGAGGGCGGTGTTTGGGACGATGGTTGCGAAGGGGTTGAGAGTGCATGTTGATTTTGAGGGGTTTGAGAGGAAGTGGAGGGAAAAGGAAGAAGACGAAAAGAGGGTGGGGAGGGAGAAGGAGAAGGTTGAGAAGGAGGAGAAGGAGGAATCGGAGAGGAGAGCGAGGCTGGAACGGGAGAGACGATGGGATTTAGAAGATTCGCTTCATAAAAATCGCCATATGGACTCGGATAGGGGTGAAAGGGGAGGGGGACAATACGAAAAGTACAATGATCGTGAGAGGAGTAGAGAGTGGGATAGACGGAGGGAGGGAGGGAGGAGATGATTGCTGATTCTACTGGAGCAAAAGTAGCAATGGCGGCCGTAGCAGGCACCGCAGTAGACATAACGGGAATTTGTCAACTTGGTATGGCTGACTTGGCCGCATGTGCCTCAGTTGGACCAATTGTAACAAGCGTAAGTAGTTAGGTATCTTGAAAAAGAAAATAATTCATAGTCTGAATGGTGTGGGAGGAAGATAGGTAACTGCAGGTGCCCTTTTCGGCTCCTTGATCTAAACGACGATGGATATTCTACTATGAACCCTAACCCTGTGAGGATTTCACAGCTTATCGCTGAACCAAGCCAGACACCTGGTCTAACACGGCCAGGTAGCGTCATAATGTGCCACTAATCAACCCCCTGGAGTTTTTGATATTTTGACCCTTGCCGAGATCAACAATATTTGACCGTTTGACACAAACACAAAGTTTGGACGGCTTCCGTTCCCTTTAGACCCAAGCGGCACGAAGCGAGGGCGCTACTGATAACCTGGCGAAGTGGCTGGTTTTCCACTTCCAGTCGAAGGTGGCGCTTTTTGGTGACAACAAAGCCCTTTCCTCCATCAAGCGGTGTCCATCATCATCATCATCGCGCTCCTCTGCGAGTATACGGCGACAACGAACTGGGTCCCGATAAGGCACTGACACTGCATTGTTCGTCTTGTGGCAACCACAACTGCGACGCCGACCGCGACCAGCGTACAACACACTTGGACATTCACCTCACGCCTACAACGAACTCCCTTGGACGACTAAACACACCAAAAGGGGAGGTTCGAGATCGCCATGGATAGAGCACAGCAACACTGTCATCGTGCCATTGTAACTTGAGACAGCAACGGGTACAAACCATGCGCACCCCACCAACTCTTTTCCTGGGCTTGCTGGGTTTCCACGCAGTTGCAGCGGCACTCCCAGAACCAGCATCGGTATGTGAATCGAGAACCGTCAACTACATCACCCATACCCTACCGCAACAATGTCTTCGTACTGCGTGGACGACCCCAACTGCCGTTACGAGCGCAGTCGCCGCCGACACCACCTCTTCTGAGGTCCCCAGTAACGAAACCGCAGCGCCGGCGCAAGCGAACGAGACTCAGCAGCAACATCCGGACCAGCCCAAGCCTTCGGCGGAACACACACAGGAGCAGACAAAGGAGGAACAGGAGGATGAGGACTTGGCGGCTAGCACTTTCATGTCGTTTGAAGAATGGAAGGAGATGATGCTACGCAAGTCTGGCGACCCCGCCAACACCAAGGGCGGGCAGAAGCAGCCGGCACAGCAGAGAACAGGCGGCGAGCATGATCAGAACGGCCCCAACAGCGATACCGACAGCCACCGGCCAGGAGACGACGGCGAAAACCCCCTAAACTTCGACGCCCTCTCGGAAAAAGTCTCGGAATTGACCTCTTCACCCTCGGGTGACCCCTCGACCGATTACGGCAGCGACAAAGCCAGAACGGACGACCAAGTCGTCCACGAGGACGGCAAAACGCAATACTATCGTAGCAAGGACGCCGGAAAGACATGCAAGGAGCGCTTTTCGTACTCCTCCTTCGACGCCGGTGCCATTGTTAAGAAGACAAGCCCTGGGGCCAAGAACGCCAAAGCCATTCTCGTCGAAAACAAAGACTCGTACATGCTCCTCGAATGTCATGCCAAGAGCAAGTTTGTCATTGTCCAGCTGAGTGACGATATCCTCGTTGACACGGTGGTCCTGGCAAACTTTGAGTTCTTCTCGAGCATGATCCGCCAGTTCAAGGTCAGCGTGAGCGACCGCTACCCCGTCAAGCTGGACAAGTGGGTTGAGCTGGGAACGTTCGAGGCGAGGAACTCGAGGGATATTCAGGCCTTCTCGGTGGAACATCCTCAGATATACACCAAGTATATCCGGGTCGAGTTTCTCAGCCATTACGGAAATGAGTATTACTGCCCTGTATCGCTACTCAGAGTCCATGGAACCAGGATGCTGGATACATGGAAGGAGCCGGATGATAGGCACGATGATGAGCAGGAGACAATCGAAGCTCCCCCAGTGCAGGAGCAGTTACCGCAGACTCCTGAACCTGAGCAGCCGAGTCCTCAAGTTGGACAACCGAGTGTTGTGAGTGAGTCGGCGCCCAGTACTGTCACCGAACTAGAAAAAGAGACACATCAGGAGACCGAGCCTGTTCAGGCCGTGGAGCTGGGCTTCACGCCCTGGGAACCCGTATTCTATCGTGACTTTTCTCTTGAAATTTGCGACTTGCGTTCGCGAACAACTGGTCAATCCACTGCCATATCGCCCGAAGCAGACAACAAACAGGGTAGAAACTCCGATACGGCCAAGGAGCAGGCCTCAACCGGAAGCGCTGTGCACGAGACTTTAGTGCCCAAGGCTTCTTCAGCAGCATCCAAACCTCAGGAAATAGCCAAGGCCCAACCCGCCAGCTCTGCTGCCTCTCACACTCCAGTACCGCCTCAAGTAAGCGGCACCATAACGGGCTCTCCCAGCAACAAGGCCCCCCTATCTCGTTCTAATACCGCCAGCAATGAGACTGCCCCTTCAGTCTCTCCCGCCGCGAAGCCCTCTGGCAGCAGCAACAGCACAGCCGGCACCACAAGCCGTAGCGACAGCAAAGACAACGGCAACAACGCCAGCGCCAACGCCGGTACCGGCGGCAGCCCCCTTAACAACAGCAGCCAAAACAAAAACAATCAACCCCGAAAACCCGCCTCGGGCGCCGGTCACGGTGGCTCACCGACCTCCTCCGCCCCCCCTTCACCTACCGTTCAAGAATCCTTCTTCAAAACAGTTCACAAACGCCTCACGCACCTAGAATCCAACACCTCGCTCTCCCTCCAATACATCGAGCAACAGTCGCGTTTCCTGCAAGACGTGCTCTCCAAACTCGAGCGGCGCCAGCTCACGCGCGTCGACACCTTTCTGGACACGCTCAACAAGACGGTATTAACAGAATTGCGCAACGTGCGGCAGCAGTACGACCAGATCTGGCAGAGCACAGTAATTGCTTTGGAGACGCAGCGGGAGCAGACGGAGCGCGAAGTGGTGGCGCTCAGTGGACGGTTGAACGTGTTGGCGGATGAGGTGGTGTTTCAGAAGAGGATGGCGATTTTGCAGAGCGTGTTGTTGTTGAGTTGTTTGATATTGGTTATCTTCAATAGGACTGGCGGTGGTGGTGGCGTTAATGGCGGCGGGGCTATTGCGCTGAACAGTAATAGAGGAACAGGAGGCAGGCCTGGTTCAAGAGGCGGAGGAGGGGGAGGTGGAGGTTGGTTTGATTCCCCCATTCAGGCCGTCCAGCGACGGTCGATGAAACCTGGTTCGGGATGGATCAGCAACATGAGCATGAGTATGGGAATGAGTAGTCCGTTTCCTTTCTCCACGACAGTGTCAACGTCTGGGGTACAACAGCAAGTGACGGCAGCAGCAACAGCAGAAGCACGTTCAGGCTCGGGCGAGGATGCAGATGCCGTGGGAACAAGCACGGGTGTTGATATCGCGACAGCACAACAACGCAATCAGCAGCAGCTTCATCCGAATGATAACCACAACCTCGGGCAACGCCAACATCAACACATGTTACAGACACAGCAACACTCATATGCTTACCCACGCAACAACGACAAAGCTCTCCCGCTCACTCCCACCTCCGAGTATGATAGCAGGGAAGGGACCCCACTTGTTCACACATCGCCACTCCGGCAGACATCAACGACAATAGACGAGGTTCTGGCTGCAGAGGATGCCGATGGTAATTCACAGTTGTATACGCAGTCGTCGTTGGGACCCGAGCCCGAATGCGTCCCAGATCAGGAGGAGTCGTCTCGGTCTTCATCGTCGGAATTTGAGTCTGGCGGGTTGACGCAAGAGAGAACATTAGAAATATATCAAGAAAGCACCGAGCCTAACCACAACGGGGTTACGAACGTACCTGTTTGTTCTAACTCCGCCGAAGAAAGTAGCGAGCGGATTGAGGAAGACGATATTGGTCTGATGCCGGTGGATTCCACTGAGTATCAACAGCAGCAAACACTACGACCCCGAGCCAGGCCTTCACGTACTCACCTTGGCTCAGAGACCGTGAAACCATTGCCCGCTGTACCAGAAACTTCCAAGTTCATAATAACATAATGCCTGGTGGTCGGGTTTAGCGAGATCATGCATGCCAGCAAGTCCATAGCAAAATATACGTTTGAGCAACTTAAAGATGAACAACAAGTGGCTGGTGACCTGAAGTGGGTGCTGATACCAAATTAACACAATGTGAACTCCAATTTCTCCCAAGGGGATCAACCGTCCATTGCGCTCCTAACCCGTATACTGTGGTCTAAAATACACATTACTGATCGCCCCTTGGGACCAACTCTCCATCACAATCTCTCAAAACAGGCAATCCGGGCATGGGCCAACCATCTTTCCTAGACCGCCGTGGCCTTCAATGACCCCTTTGGCATAGTCCAATCTGGTTCCCGCCGATATACCGTTCAAACCCGCCTTTTCGCCGTTTCCCTCAAACCAACAAGAACCCATGGTGCACAAAATGATGCTGCTCTTTTTCTGGTTTTCTCCATGTGGCTTTGCGAAATCTGACAAACCTTTCAAAAAGCTGACCACCGATCTCAAAACGGCCATTCCATGCCAAATTTTCCACGCCTTCTCATAAACTGTCGGATATTGCAGGAAGTCAAATATCGTATGTATGTATCGCGCGGAAAGATGGTCTCGAGCCATGTCTTTGTGTGTTATCTGATGATATTGAAGCTCGGTGCTGCTGGCACGCTTACAGCAACTTTAGCTCACAGCGATCAGTCACTGAGCGGGATAGATGGCCTGCGGTTGGGTCTGAGTGTCATAGTCGTACTCCTCCAAAGCCGCAAGTCTGGTACCACGATCGTACTGTGAGCGACGACGACGCTGCTCATCGCGGAAGTGTTGACCTGCGTTCGGAGTAAACAGACCTGATACATGTGTGAGTGACATTCGTTCATCTATGAGGCACAACTCCCAACCTACCGACATGCTCAGCATTCTCACAGCTGCGCTTCATCTTGGACTGATTATCCGGTTCAGGGAATGGCTCTTCTTGCCCAGCTAAATCAGGTCTGGGTCCGTTGGAGGTGAAATACAGCTACGAAGGTTAGTGACAATTCAATAGCCAACAGAGTAGGAGTTTTTTTTCTTTTTTTTTTTCTCACCTTAGGTCGATAGTGAGGCGCCTCGAGCATGACTGAGCTGTTGCGGAACTTCTGAACAAGGCAATCCTTTCCCTGGATGGCTTCGCAAGATCAGCATGGGTTTCTTGGGACATGTGCAGCTAAACTTACTGGCATATGATATCTCCGCAACCTTATCACTCTTGAAGCAGTTCCAGCGCTGATTGCCCCGGGTATTGACAAACTGCATAATGTATTAGCTCTGATCCGGCAATGCAGAGTATGGCACTTACGTCGACGATATCCAGGGGCTTTGGGGTTGTCAGCTATCGATGCACTAAGTTTGGGTTTGGTAATGGAGGAAACTTACATCAACAAAATTGATGAACGCATATCCGACGCTAACAAATCAGCAAATGTTCGCATGAGAAGGGGTGGGCTATAACCTACTTGCAGTCATTGGCGAAGTCGATACGCAGGTACATAAAATCGTACTTGCCCCAGCTTGACTCGTCAATGATTCGTTTGAGCATAGCCTGATCGACCTTGTTGGGAATGTTGCGAAGCATGATCTGTGAGGTTAGTTTCATTGCTTCATCGAGTCTTGGAATCACTTACCGTAGTCCTGACGTCGATACCCTCCCGAATACGGTTAACATCAACATGGTTATGATGTCCGGCCGCGTTGTGGTACGGCGATCTGGAGACCCGCATGGCGTTCTGGCGACGGCCATCCGGTCGTCCAAATTGCTGCATGCTCCGAGGACTGGTATAGTCATTCTGCATGGCCATTGGCGTCGCGGGCGGCGTGTAGATGGAGGAACTCATCACAGAGAGCCCACCACTGATTGGCGTCAGAGGAGTCAGAGGTGCAACGCTATGGTCGCGAGTAGGGGTCTGATCGAGTACATAGCGGTTACCACTATTGATGGGAGTTTGGTAAACCACCGGATACATAGCAATCTGCTGCTGGGGAACGGAAATGTTGGCAGGCGATTGAGTGACGCGTCCACCGCCAACCAAAGGACGGGTTGACTGGGGGGTTCTGGCAACGCTCATGTTCTGGAAGATGCTGGTGATATCTTGCACCTGGGGTCGGGGAGGATTGTTATAGGCATCCGCTGATGCGAGACCCAGAGCTGGCGTGTCCGGCTGGCACAAAGTCAGCAGTAACTGAATACCCTGTAGCATTGGATGTCAGCGTATCACATGAATCAACCGAGAAATGGCTGTAGTAGCTCACATTGACAGTGAAACCGTTAAACTTGGAAACAACGGCAACGGCCACGTCGACATCAGAGAACTCCACAATGGCCTTGAAGAGACCTTGGGTTGAATCAGTCAGACGCTGGAAAGCGAACAACTCCCCCTCATCCTGAAGAAAGTTGTAGACGATTGCCTCCACCTGAGATTGGGCATAGGGAAAAGCGTAACCCGAACCAGGAAAGGCAAGAACCAGGAGCTGCCCTTCAGAGACTGGGTCGACCGAAGCACCCGGAGATGCAAACTGTTTGGACAAGTTAGTCATGAACTTGACATGCGCGTGTATAGGAGACCTACGTGGAAAAAGTCAACAGGCGCAATGTAGGTTGCACGCCAATCCGGATTGCCTAGCTGAACATTGTCGTGAACTTTGCGAGCATCACGGATGTCTGTCAGACGAAGCAAGACTCTGACTCCCTCTTGGACGGCATGGTGTTTGCCCTGCACAGGCGAACCAAGTCTCTCCAGCTTCTGTGAAGGTATGTCAGTTACATACTTCTTGTAATGGCGATGTGAGTGTGAGGAAAAGAGGCAAAGACACATACCCGGAGATACTCCTCAACGTCAGCGATCCTAATCGGCTGAGACGAATAAAAGACAAGGTAACGGGAGATATTGAGGTCAGTACTGAGCTTGTCTGCGGCCTTGGGGCTGTCCTGTTGGGCATAGGACGGCTGTACGGTGTTCAGTAAGCCTTGCATTCCATTCTGGGGCCCGTTGACAGATCCGTGGGCAACCAGGGGACCAGAAACAGAGACAGGAAGGAATGAGGAGGCCGTAGGTGACAGTTTCTGGTCCTGCTTGGAGATGGACGAGGTGGAAACAAAGGGGTCCTTGTCGGAGCCGCTGGCTGGGGCTACAGAGTAGCCGTCGGATGAGGTGTGCGAATGGAAACGGCGAGAATGTGCATCCTGGGAGGTGGCGGTGCTGAGGGTCAGAGTCCGGTTGAGAAGCTTGTTGGATGCCGCCGAGTTGTCATCCGGTGAGAACGCAGTCAATCGGGTATCCGGAGTTCCTTCATGCTTGTACGAGTCGGCACAGCCGCTCGACGAGTGAGGTGAGGAGGGGTTGAATCCCATGTCTCGCGCCTGCGCCATGGTGTGATGCAGGAATGGGAGTTATGGCGTCTTCGTAATTTTCAAGACTGTCGACGCGCTGGTGTTGTCTCGCCACAAGAGGACCGCAGCGAAAGAATGAACGACAGATCGATGGGACCTCACCTGTCGAGTTTCAAGGCCTCAAAAGAAGAAAACTTTCCAGGAAAACGAGAGAGCGAGAGTGGGAGTGAGGATAGACGCTGGTAAAAAGGGAAAGGCAATCCAAAACCCGCCTCGAGGGGAAAGACAAGAAGACTCTCCAAAAAAAAAAAAGTCTGCACCCAAGGAAGGGAAGTGATCGAGATTGACGATGATGATGGACTGCAGGAGCGGAAGGTGCGAAGGAGGGAGAAATTTTCAGGAGTTTTGCTGGGGGGAAGAAGTAGTGGCAGAAGAAGGAAGGCGGGAGGGGTCTGCACCGACTGCACCGACCGTTGGTCACCTTCACTCTTTCATCCCGTCGGCACCGACACACGTTCAATGGCGCCAATTTGACATTTTGTACCGACCCGCAAAGAAGGGCACAAAAGCTAATGATGAGGGTTTGTTTACGAATGAGATTTGGTAATCTCAAAGGCATTTATCCTCGGGAAGTTACCTGGTCTTGTAGGTTGGCTTGCAGCCCCACGACATCCCCAGTCCGTGGAGGTGTTTCTGAATTATCTTGCCGACAAAGAGTAGAAGTCCAGTGGTCAATTAAGCATCTCGACAATGTGGTTTCCATCACTGAAGGGTGAAGGGATGGCGTCCTTGTTCGTGACTGCGCAGCATGAGCCACCCTGCATGGGTGACTTCCTCGATATACATGGCGTGAGTCCGTCATGACCGAAGCCAGAACCACCATATCACCGGAAACCTGCGGTACCGGTACTGGAGGAAGTCGACCTGGAAGAATAAGTAGGAAAGAAATGTCAGCATCAGGAAGGTAGTGTTGAGTCTGTCACCATGTGCCTGCTCGCCTAGAGCGCGCCAACTCCACCAACGAAGTTAGATGGGAAAGTGCAAAGCGGCAAACATACAGCAGTATGTTGTAACGGGTTGAAGACAGTTATCTCGGTCATGTCGTCATGCACATACAGACGCGGTTTCCGCATCACCTATCATCAGAGCTCAGAAGAAGAGAAGACAAGCTGGGAATCGACGAGTGTCAGCCACAACGACAAGCGTACACTATTCATCTGTGGAAGCGATTGCGGCCATCATAGTCAATCCAAATCGCGTGGAGTCGGTCCATCACCCATCCATCGCAGAAGCACAGCTCCACGGCATGAACAAGAGAACGCACTCTTGCCAGTACTGTCTTGAGATTGTGATAAACGTCGAGGCTGCTCATATTAAACCATATTCACGACGTAAACGCTCAACTAGTTGGCAATCAACCTCTTGGACAGTCGTGAAGTCAGATGTCGTTAAAAAGAGGTGGCAGAGGAACATGGCCAGCTGTCATCAGCTGCCTGGCTCACTCGCCCATGGTTCATCAGGGGTATGGAGACCACTACTAGTAGTGTACTCTAGAATAACATCCAGAAGTCCCTCCCTTCTGAATCTGTCATGTTACAACTCTAGAATTCCTCTTGACGCTGAAAAATACTACGAAATAACAATTATAGTAAGAACTTCTGCTTGCCCCGCGAATTGTACATTAAGACACCTAGGAGATGAGGTGCAGGAACTGACACACAGCGCTGCTTCCCGTCGAGATGCCTGCCAGGGGTAAATGGCATCGGCGTTGAATCTCAACGCTTGGACCACCACTACCAACAGTGGGCTGCACCGTGGAGCTCCCCCCATTCCTCGTCCCTGGAGTGCGGCGTAGCGGGAAGTGGAAAGGTACCTCGACGGCTAGGCTACGAATAAGCCCAGGACCCTTTCTTCTTAAGTTTCCACGACAATTCGTGTGAACATCGTCAGTTTCGGAAACCCATGTAAGACTCGACTGGCGCATTTGGGTTCCCGGTCAAGATGCCCAGAAAAGTGCAAACGTGGGACGACTACGACTCCGCTGTCGACCAGGTACGAGCGCCGTCATCGTTGGCGCAACATACATTGCGAGCATACATCATTGCGCAACACCATCCATGGCTGGCGTGGCCCCCGTTGAACGTCTATGTCGGAGTTGACCCAGTCACTGACATGGACTTAGATTATTCTCACACCGTCGGACTCCGACTTTATCGATCAGCTCATTCCTGTCCTCAAAGATGCGACAGCAAGCGGCCGAACAGCAACGCTCGTCCAGAGCCTTTCCCAGTATGCAGAGGAGCGGGAGGGCGACATCGAACGGATCGGCTTGACGCAGCACGAAGAGTTTCTTGGTTCCGTCAGCCAACTACAAACGATACGCGAGGAGACTGTGGCCCTGACTGCCGAAATTCTCGACTTAAACCAGTCGATCCAAGCAAGTACCGAAAAGTTGGCGGAGCAGAAACAGGCGTTGGTCGATACACGCCGCGTCCGCCAGAACATCACCGACGTCTCCGATGCGCTCAGGGAATCGCTCAAGATCATGCATGCTGTCAACAACGCCCATGACCTGATTCGCAAAAAGAAGTACTATGGCGCCCTCAAATCGCTGGAGGATCTGCAGAACGAATACCTAGTACCCATCATCCAGAACAAGTATGCCACCCAGTACCGGCTGGCCGATTTGATACAGAAGTCTATTCCTGCTTCGCGGAAGACCATTTCGGAGGCTGTCATGACCGATTTGAACACTTGGCTGTATCGCATTCGTGAGACCTCACAGTTTCTTGGCGAGGTTGCTTTCTTTGGCACAAGGCAGCGGCTGGACCGTCAGCGAGAACGTGCCGAACAAAACCCATACCTGGGTCACTTCAAACTGAACTCTGCGATCGAGCTGGTTTTTGACGAGAGTGATGAGTTTGATGTCCTCGATAACGAAGAAGTCCAGGTCGACTTTACACCACTACATGAAGCGCTTCATATCCACGAGGCGCTGGGTCAAATCGACAAATTCCGTGCTGAGTATGCGGCCACTCGGCGTCAACAAAAGGAACTCCTCATGCCGAGTTCTGTGAATTTGTCATCTGACGAGGAAGAAAACTCACTTCGTGATCTTCTGGAGCAAATCACCGGGTTCGCCGTGATTGAAAAAGCAACGATACAGCGTGCTCCGCAACTGCGATCCACAGTCGAAGTTGACGAGTTGTGGGATTCCATGTGCCAGACTGCCATCCGCCTCATCTCAAGATCGCTCACAGACGTGGACAATGCTGAACTGCTTCTGAAAATCAAGGGGGATATTGCGCTATTCATCCAGACAATGGAGGTGAGTAGTCTCGTGCCTGTCAAAGTCTTCGAGACGCTAACATGTTTTGCAGAGCTGGAATTACTCCGTTTCCACGTTGAACAACTTCCAGTTAACCCTCTTCTACAAGTATGCCGAGCTGCTCAAGCGCAGATTCAGCGATGACTTTCAAGAGATCGTCTCAACCGACGATTACATGCCCATGCAAATCAACAACGCCGAGGAATACGAAAAGGTCCTCAAAGTCAGTTGGTATACCGAGGAGAAGGCTCCAGAAGAGCTCACGTATGTCGCCTATCACCTGCTTTGCAATTGAGCTTCTGTACTAACACGAGATCAGGTTCCCTTGTGTCCTTCCCTTTTCACAGATGTATCCCCTCTGCTGCATTGACATTAGGAATTTCCTGAATCAGTTCTACTTTTTCTCTAATGATCATTTCCAACATCCCAATATTGTTGATGAAACACTCAGAAAGGTAGCCATTTTCCTCCTTCATATTTCATTTCTATGGTGTCGAGATCTAACGCCATTGGCAGTCACTGGACGAGCTGTTGACCGAGAAGGTCTGCCGGACCCTCGTGGAACGCCTAAACTCCCAATATTTGGGTCAGATCGTTCAAATCTTGATCAACCTCGAACACTTCGAAGAAGCTTGCCACCAACTGGAGCAGGAACTAATTCGCGCACGATCGTCCACGTCCGCAGGCGGGCCTGTCTCTCTCAAATCAACCGAAGAGTTTAGGAGCAATAAGAAGACAGCCGAGAAGCGCATCTTCGAGCTTGTCAACTCCAAGATTGACGACCTTGTCGACACCTCCGACTACAACTGGTACGTTCGACCTACCGCTCCGCGCGACTTTCTGCCTACTGACCATCGCAACAGGATGACTCCGTCTAAGCCCACTGAACCTAGTAATTACATGCAGACTTTGACGAGGTATCTAGAGAACATAATGGGTTCCACCCTTCTTGGTCTGCCTCGAGAAATCAAGGAGCTCATCTACTTTGACGCCCTTAGCCACGCTGCCAACAAGATTCTGGTAAGCTACCACCTCATTCCCCTTCCGAACTTTGACCCCTTTCCCCCATGAAAGTTTTTGCAGTCCTCACTCGTCCTGAAACCGTGCTAACACAATGTCGCTCATCTAAACAGGCTCTACCACTATCCCCAGACGTCAAGAAAATCAACGCCAACGCTGTTGCTGCCATGGCCATGGACGTGCAGCACCTATCTGCCTTCGTCGCCAACCTCGAAAATGCCCCTATGCTTGAGCAGAACCTAGACGAACTTCAGCAGACAATTGCGCTCATGCAATCGGACAATCACGACGAGTTCTTCGACATTTCTACGAGGAACAAGAAGTACGGTCGTGTGGATGCCATGAACGGGCCGATATTATTGGAAAAGTGAGTTTGCCGACGCGCAGCATCTCCCCCGTCACCTCCACTCTGCCCGTCTGTCACCTGGGAGATGATTCATTAATAATGTACTAACCGTATGCTCCTCTTTCCCCATTATTGTAGGCTCACTTTGGGAATCGAGAGTACCACTACGAGCCGAGCCGCTGCGCCGCTCGCTAACTTCGGATCGCGCTTCGGTTTGCGCTGATGTCTCGGGCGAGAACTAATAGTATTGCTGTTTGAAAACTTGAATTAGTAACTGAATATACCCCATATATAGGATGATGTTTTCGTTGCCAACCGGTTTAACTACGTTTAACTGCTGCTTAACCCCCCTTCATTTGATAGCCATTGCAATTATGTGCTCTCAATAGTCTCTTCATGGAATAGTACGAGTTAACGAGACCACGCTCATTCTTAAAGAGAGAAAAATAAATGTATAGTTGCCCAAGCCTGGAGGTATAGTCGAGGCTAGTTGTATACCTATGAGAACATCACGTGTTTTCTGGCTCTCGATATACCTACCGCATACGATACTGGAGTTGTTAGGAGATGAGGCTTATTTGCTCCCAGTGAAGGTCCTGCCGCTTAGAAGCTGGGTCCTTACACAGTAGTGGAAATGGAGAAGGGACGAAGAGAGCCGAAGTGACTTGACTACAAGTCAAAGTAATGCGAAAGTGAAGTAGTGAGTCTGTAGGATAACGTCCACGCGTTCGTTTGTCTTCACCTTTCTGAAACGTGATGGCAGAAACTCAACTTCACTATTAGACCATCACTATATTGGTTATGCAGAATGCACTGGATGTAACGCAGATCCATGAACTAAAATACCATATAGAACCAGAGATGGCTCAAACGCGAGACGCTCAAACAGAAAAGGTGAAAGAGCAAAACATGATAGACATCCTTGTGACATAACCAACCGACCAGCCTTCCAAGCACCCTTCCTCCGTCCATGGTACGGACCTGAAACAAACGAAATAACCCGTATTTACGCCACGCCTTTGTATATTGTTAGATCGGCAGTCTTTGAATCTTATCAAATGAAGATGAAGAACCATGTAAATAAAGAAGCGACCAAGGTGGAAGCCATGTCAGTGTGACTTGATGCCGTAAGTTCATTACTCCTGCTCCCGCCTTTAAGTTCGTGACAGGTGGGATGTAGAAGACTCTCCAATCTTATCTCCTCCAGAATGCGCGCCCTAGGCGTTCTGTGGTCAAGTTAGCATGTTACCTGGCGAGCGTGATGAGTAGAGAAGCGCATAGATATATGTACCTGCTGAGGAGGCATTGTTGAGTAGTACATGCCATCAACGTCATACATGGGAGGTTGAGGCTGTCCATACGGCGCTGGGGCTCCAGGTTGTACCTGACCAGAGTACATGTTCTGCTGGCGGTAGTCGGCCTCAGGCGCAATCGCATGGCCACCTAGCGTGTAGTCAGGAGCGGCCATGGGATGCTGTCCGCCATGGTTAGGCGCAGCAACCCCCGGCATGCCCTGAGCTTGCTGGGCCGCGTTTTGGGCAGCCTGCGCGGCAGCAGCAGCTGACTGACCAGTCGCGCGCTTGGCGTGTGTGGAAGCTTCTTCTCTGGGTACAATGTCGATGAGAAAGTCGAACATGTCGGACTTGGATAAGGCCGAGGCGATGTCGCTGCGCTGCAGAGTGCGACGCTTGTTCTCCTCTGCATGAATCCACGCGCGCATCGTTAACTCGGTGATAAAGATATCGCATCCCTTGGCGAAGAGGATAGGTGCTTCGGCAGAGATCATCTTGACTTCCGGGTCCGCCTTCATGACTTTCTTGATTCGTGCCAGGGGCAGCTGATGCAGCTTGTAGTCGTGGGTATCATTCTCGAGATGGTTGATGGTTTGTTGCCAGTAAGCTGTCAGGATTTCCTTGTAATTGCCCTGGAGGCCCTGATGAACATTGGCCCATGTTCCCGTGTAAAGGTCTGAGGGAGCAAAGCCTTGTTGAGAGAGCTAGCGACATGAAAGGCGTTAGACTGTCAACTAAGATGTGATAGGACTGAGAAGCCCGCTTGCAAAGGGTGAGTACTAACCGCAGCACTGGCACCTATACAGCATATCATAGTGAGTAAACTGTTCCCTAACGGAAAGCGCTGAGACGGCGATTACTTACCATAATGGCCGCCTTGGCTCGTGTCGTAGACAGGCTGCTGGCGTTGTTGCTGGTTATGCCCAGCCGAAGACGGATTTTGGGGATCCATGGCGAATATCGATGTTTGGCGAGCAGCGGGGAAACGGGGACTAGTTGGTCGCAAATCGGTGGCCTGTACTGGATGACTTGGGTCAATATCAATATACCTCTGTCTGTAGCAACAAAACTTCAGCTTGAATGTCCTGCTGGCGTCGCGTAATGGTCGCGCTTTGCCGAAGAGCTCTCTGTGTTTCCCAGCCAGAAGGATCTAGCTTCTGCGTGTTGGGCTTAGAAAGAACTATCTATGATGTCGACAAGCCCCTTGGGGTCTTTGTTTACTTAGGACGGAGCCGACGAATGATGATCGCAAAACCGACTCTCACTCAGAAATCCTGCTTGATTGGGCAGAGCGATTGATTGGCGGGACTCCCTGTTTGGGGAGAGGGGAGCAAGTGGGTGGAGTTCAATGTCAATGGACGACTCGCTGCTCCGGGCTCGCCTCTCGTTGACTTCGGGACGAGCCACACGGGCAAGAGCTCCAGTTGGTGAGGAAGGTGAAATGATTGGTGAGATTGAGGGTGTAGGTCCGTCGTTTGGCGTGAAGCCAAAGGCTGGGAAATGCTATTCGCGGGAACTGGCGGATGAGGATGAGATGGACAGACTAGCAGATAAGCACGTACCTGTGAAGCAAATGGCTTTACTCAAACAGATGCTGGAGGATGTGAAGAGACGGACAATGGGAACAAGAAAGACGGTAAGATGATGATTTGTGAGTGAAAGCGGTCAGACTCAGTACAAGGAGAAACCAAAAGGTTGGGCATCAGTGAACCTTTTGAAGACTTTCAACAACAACCGTCTAAATGACTGCCGCAACATTCACTGCAGTCTGCAGCAGAAAGACGCCGAAAGACAGCGACTGGCAGCTGTGGCGCGCTACCTGACAAGCTCTGCTCGACGTCGCGGCCGCCCCTGCCCCGAGCCCAACCGTTGACAACTGGCACTCTCCAGCCTCATTTTTCCGCGCCCAGAGGTATGTATGACGCACGGCCCGGGGCTGTGGACTGCCAACTCATTGGAGGCCTGGCTCCAGTTGTGCAAGACCTTCACGTGACCATGGAGCTCAGCACAAGCAATGCCAAGTCTTGGCTGAGATGGGCGGGAACGGACGCCTGGACATTCCCCGCCGGCTCCACTCAAAAATTTATCTTTTTCTTGTCCCCAATTTGCTGTGAAAGCTTCGACTTTTCTTCCCTTCTCTTCCCCTCTCACCAATTGCTTGCAAATCTTGAGCAGCTTTTCCACAGTCTTCATTTCCCGAAACTGTGCATTTGGCCGACCAGCAAGATGGCGGCTTCTGTACTCGGCTTGTCCGATGCTGAGATCGACAAACTCCTTGCTGAAGCCGAGTCTCGCCTTGCGAACTCGGACAGCTCGAATGCTGTCGCGGCTCCCCAGCAAGACGCCGCTGTTGCACCCGCAGCGCAAATCCCCGTAGTGGTTGCGGCTCCCTCGGCCGCTCCTGCTGAGGTGGTGAAGCCAACCTTGGAGAACAAGTCCAAGAAGTTGTCGGTTCGGGTGCCCCAATCCAAGGATAAGAGCAAGGTACGTTCAGCAGTCCTCAGCACGCATCACATCCCTTCCATGATGAAAATCTATCCCATTTTTTCATGACGCAGGTCGGCGCCCCGTCATGGGGTTGCTGTCTGCACCATAATGATTACCTTTATGTTCATAGTTACTCTGACTGGACATCCTTTCTCTTCCATTCCTGCTATAAGACTTTGCAGATCAGTATGCTGACTAGAGAAACAGGGACCTAAGAATGACGCTGGCGCCGATTGGTTTAACATGCCCCGTACGAATCTGACTCCTGAGCTGAAGAGAGACTTGCAAATTTTGAGAATGCGTGAGGTCGTCGCCATGGGAAAGCAATACTTCAAGAAGGACACTCGCAAGGACTTTGTGCCCGAGTTCTCTCAAGTTGGCACTATCATTGCTGGTGCTACTGACGGTCGTGACAGCCGACTTACCCGCAAGGAGAGGAAGCGGACCATTGTCGAGGAGGTTCTTGGTGCTGAGGTTGTTGACAAGTACAAGAACAAGTATCACGGCATCCAGGAGAAGAAGCAGAGCGGAGGCAAGAACTTCTACAAGAAGCTCGTCAACGGAAGGAGAAAGCGCAAGTGATCCAAACAACACCCTATGGTCAAATTACCTTGCGGGACACCTACGACCGTACCACAACCAACATCATATGCACGCGATTGTTGCAGCAAGCAACGAGGCGACACCGATATCAAAACGCCGCTTCCGGCTCCTCGTCGGTTGACTTTGGTCGACATGACAGAGGATTGGCATCATGCAGGGCAATAGTGTGTGGGATTTATAGTGTTATTTCAGTCTTGAGCTTTAGTTCGACTGCACAACAGTATCCCTCGTCCGCGTGGCGATCAGAGAAGGCGCCTCTGCCATTTGTTGCGAGATTGCCAGGACTTTTATTTTTTATTTTTGATAGGAATGATGGAGAAATCTCCGTTAGATAGCCGCGACGTCACAGACCGGTGCCTCGAGAAGCCGAACATCGGACAATCCAATGTTTGATAACCACTTGATGTCTCCTATGCTACTAGTGACTTGTTATTTTGCTTCTGTTCGCTCTCTGTGATGGTGATGTTTTGGTAGCTCAAGAAATGGGCGTCACTAGCTCCTTATCGATAAGAACCCCGAATTGACCCCCGGTATGGAACCTGCGCTAAAAACTCGGTTGATCCGCGCAGCGCGCGACGGCAACTTGAAGACGTTCAATCTCCCAGACCACCCAGAGCGAAGATGATAATAAGGCCAGTAGTACGGTCCCTCCAGGGACGGGCGGTAAGAATTCTCCTCATGCGTTTGTAAGATGTTTGCGCTTGTGGGATAGTTGTCTAATCTCCTTGGGGACGGCAGCCTCTTGCGACCCTCCGGTCCGCCCAGAGCGTCTTCCAGCCGTTGCCCCAGCTCCGGCGCAATGCTTCCGTGTAAGTGACCAGAGTGCTGCTGAGATCCTTGGGTATGCGCGGGCAGGAACTAAGACTTGAGTAGGACCACAGGTCCCGATGCCGCCTCTAAGGCGAGGTTAGTAACCATTGCCGCAAATAATCCTCCTCGATAACGTCGCCGTGCCTCCGAAACCCGCCCACCCGCTCGTCGAAGACCCCGCCAATGTGCACGCACTCCCTCCCTCCATCTATCGTCACATAAGCGAACCAGCCCAGGCGGTGCAGAATGACTGACCGTTATATGCTGCTAGCACCACACCGATCGCCCGGATCACGACGACCACCGAGGCCCCCAAGGACCAGAAGAAAGCCAAGGCCGCCGCTGCGGAACCCGAGGAGCAGGAGGTGATCATGTCCCGTATGCCCCGCTCCCTCGAGGCCCTCTACCTCCAGCCGCTTCGTCGCGAAGCCGAGTATGGCGTTCCCTCGTGCGACCTCCAGCTCCGGTCCTATTCGATCCGCAACCTCGAGTTCTTCTGCGACTTCGCCCTTCGCGCCGCCTACTACCTCGGCCTGCCTGCCTTCGGCCCCGTTCCCCTGCCGCGTATGATCGAGCGCTGGACCGTGCCCAAGTCGCATTTCATTTTCAAGAAGTCGCAGGAAAACTTTGAGCGTGTCACACTCAGAAGACTGATCCAAATCAAGGACGGCCACCCGGAGACGGTGCAGCTGTGGTTGGCCTTCTTGCAGAAGCATGCCTACTATGGTATCGGTATGAAGGCCAACGTTTGGGAGTTCAGCAAGCTTGGTACGTGGATACGTGGATTTCCGTCCCATATTTGCTTCGGAAGACTGTTTTTGGGTTGCCTGTATGCTAACCAGCGTCTCCAAACCAAATAGGTGTCAGCAAGGCCATGGACGAGAGCAAGAGCGAGGTGGAGAAACTTCTGGAGACCAGGTGGGAACACCTCAGCCATGTCAGCGACATGAAGGGTGTCGGCAACTTCGAGGACTTCCTTGCCAAGGAGAGACTCCGGATTTCGGGTGGACGCTAAACGGATACACCAACTGCTGGTCCCGTCTCAAGCCCTTTAAGCCTGGGTGGTTGTTCTTGTTGTCTGTCTCTCTCTGGTCAGGTTTGTCCCTTTTGTCTTCAGCATATGGCCCGTCCTTTGTGTATAGATACTGTAGCATAAGAAATGTATAGTACAGATCAGGAGACGATCATGGCTCGACTGTGCTGTGCACGAGAAAGACTAGACGGAAATTGCCACTGGAGGAGATCGATGCGAGGAAGCACCATGGGAACGACGGCCAGATTCTAAGCAATTCAGACCACAGATACAGACATCCCATATAGCTTTTATCTACCGAAAATGTGTCCGAACCAGATCACCCAGTATCTATCTTACAAAAACCTCCCACTCTGCATGTCCTCAAGCACCCAACTCCACAGCCCTCCTGACCCTACTCATCGTCCTCTCCGCACTCTCATTAGCCCTCCTCGCCCCCTCCCGAATAACCTCATCCAAATGACCTCCCTCCTTCCCCCCATCCTCCTGCATCAGCTTCAAGTATTTCTCTCTAATCGGATTCAGCTCTCTCTGCACCACCTCGCTCACCCTCTCTTTCAACTTCCTCAACGGATTCTCCTCCCCTTCTCCTCCCAGCCCAGCATGGTTGCCCATAACTTCAGCATTAATCTGGGCCGCGATCTCCTGCGCGGAACGGTTTTGCGTATCAAAATGGCTGAGCAGCTGAAGCAGGTTGGAGACGCCGGGGCGTTGGATCGGGTCGAAGGTGATGCCCAGGGAAGGCGTGAGCGAGTCGGTCCGCGCTTTGAGGATCTTGGCGTGGATCTCGGAGGGGGTGTCGGTAAGGAGGATGCGGGAGGAGGGGTCGGGGTCGGATTTGGACATTTTTTTGGTGGGAAGTTGGAGAGACATTACGCGTTTTGTTGGAGCTGTGTGTAATATGGGGAGGTGGTTAGTTGATGAAGCAGTCACTCGAGACTCGAGGTATCTTAAGCGGAAGGGCCACGGGTTGAGAAGACATGACGATGTACTCACACAAAATCGTCTCGGGAGCTACCAACACCTTGCCCTTATAGGCGTGGTTGAAGTTGGTCACGCATTCCCTAGCAAATTCCAGATGCTGCCTCTGATCTTCGCCGACGGGAACATGGGTCGCCCTGTGAACGAGGATATCCGCCGCTTGAAGGATGGGGTAAGAGAACAAGCCGTGCTTGAGAGAGGATTTGGCCTTGTCATCTAGCACGTGGGCGTCGTCTGCTAATTGTAGTTTGCTCTGTAGTAGAACACACATACCATCAGCCGCTGGTCTCGTGTTCAAACCTTTCCCCCGCTCGTTCTCTCTCTCTCTCTCTCTCTCTCTCTCTCTCTCTCTCTTTCTCTCTCATCGAACAATAACCTCGAAGAAACTCACCTTCCACTGCGTCATCCTAGACAGATACCCCGTGCTAGCGGTACAACTCAAAATCCACTGCAACTCCGAGTGCCCTGGCACCATGCTCTGGTAAAAGATGGTGCACCTCTTGGGGTCCAAGCCGATGGCCAGCAGCGCCGCAAGCATTTCTCTCTTCCATTTCTTGAGGTTGCCGCGCTGCTGCGGCACGGTGATGGCGTGCAGGTCAACCACGGAGAAAATGAGATCCGTCGTCTCAGGATCCGCGCTATCCTGCATGCGCTTCCATTGCTGAAGGGCGCCGAGGTAGTTGCCCAAGTGCGGTATGCCTGTGGGCTGGATGCCGGAGAAGATTACTTGTCTTTGTGCCTTTTTGGTCGGTGTTGCGGTTGTTGTTGCGGTTGTCTCGGACGAGGGATTAGAAGAATAAGGTCGTTGTTGGAGATTTGATGCTCTAGTAGCGAGAGAAGCAGTAAGGCCGTGCCAGCACATAAGGCCGTAGGGCCTGGTGAGGGACTTCATGTTGTGCGAGAGGGTTTACCTCTAAAGACTAATCACAGTGTCCTGCCGTGCGGCTTAGTGTCACAAACAAAAACCTAAGAACTGTCCTGAAAGGGACAGCTTCCTTTGGTGAGCACATGGTGACTGGGTGTTTGAACTTACACTGAGACGTAGTGATGGAGATAGGACGAACTGTGGTTGAAGAGTGAGGGTTGTGTATGGCAGTATGACCGCCCTTGATGCACCTGGGGCTTGGCAGGGTTATAGATGGAGGTAACGCTAGGACCATGTCTAGACACCATTGAGCTCTTTGTCGAGCCCTTCCTCGCTCGCTTCATAACCCTTATACACAAGAAGCACATCATTGGTAAGTGTGTGCCTGATGATAAATTGAGTAGCATCTTGAGAGAATTATTTGCACCATCTGTTGTTGTCGACTAAAACAGTAACTAGGTCCCAATTTGGCTTACAACGTTGCCTACCATGTCCGAATGATGCTTTCAAGAGCCGTTGTCAAGATAACCTGCATAGGAAAGAGCAAATTCGACTTATTACAGAGAAAAGGTTACAAAAGTTCCTTCATAATCTCTATCCAGTTTTTAGGCTCGTAAGTACCATTGCACAAGCCTAGGAAGCATATGAAAAGTTTGAACCCCTGCAAGCCAGCCAGAACTCTCTAACTACCTGGTTGGTGGCCCTCGCCCCTCTCAGTCTGTATAAATTGTAGGTCAGCAGCTTGTATACGGAAGAACCAAGTAACTGACAGACCTACCCAATAATCTTCCTCAAAAAGGTTGACTTCTCGTCGTTGCCTACCTGCTGACCGGGGAAACTGGGGTCGAAGAGCGCCTGTTCGAGCCACTGCCTTGAACGCACTTGGCTCGTCACAAGCTTCTTGAGAGGGTCACTGAGCTTGTCTAGCTCGCTTCTTGCAGCGTGGCCCCCGATATTTTGGATGAGAGTCTGTGATATAAGCGGCCCGAGGTGCTCCATGGCAGCGTTGATGGTTCCCTGAAGATCGGGTGAATCAGACTTGAGGGTAATGAAGTTACTCTGATTTAACATGTTAGTCAGTAAACATTTTGGTTAATCATTCAAGGAGCCCGAAGAGACATACCCAAAATTCCGCCGACGCTGTCTTCGGCAGAGGTTCCTTCCCGTTTAGGACCTTGAGCGAGAACATGAAAAAGAACTCGAGCATCTGTGGCGGCTGAATCTGGAACACCACTTCCGGGTATCTTGTCATAATCTTATCCACGAAGCAAATGCCGTTCTGGGCTACTTCTGTGTCGCTTTCTGGTTCCGGAAGACTACTGAGCATGTTGATTATCCAAGGCAGTAGCTGAGCCAGTAAAGATGGAACCATATTCTTTGGTCCCCTGTACAGACTTCCGACAAACGAGCATGCTGTGCTCAACAAAGTGCCCAGCCTAGGCGTTTCGAATCTTTGTTGACTGAGGAAATTTGTCACGACTTCAGGAGGGAACACAAACGGGCCCGGCTCGGTCTCTGAAAACCCTGCTCGAAAGATCATGCATATTATCTCAACGATCTCTCCGCTGGTGTTGAAATTCTTCTGCATCTCGACCAAGACGTTGAGGATATCGGACTGGATAGCAGAGAGTTTCGGGTCCTGGTTGGCGAAGAATGGATCGGCGTCAATGTCAACCACATGCTCCTTGACATCCTGCATACCCTTAGCCATACTTTGCAGCGATCGGAGAGCACGGACGGCGAGTTGCTGAGAGACTTCATCGGCAGAAGGAACATCGCCTGGTTGCTCAACACCGCGCAAGAAGTTGGGGTCAGACAGGTTCAATATGCTGGGCTGCTCTTTGAGCTGGACAGCACGCTCGCAATCTGCCTTGATGATCGAGTAGAGGTTCTCAAAGACAGCCAGCTTCTGATTGGAATCCGGAATGGCCTGGATGATAGAAGCAATGGCAAGGATGATACGTTCCTCTGCAAGGGAGTCGAGAACCTGTCTGCTACGAATTGTTTGGTAGTGCATGATGAAGGCCGGTGCTTCGCTCGTGAGAATGCAGCGACACGACGAGCAGAGAGTCGAGATGGATTTCGCAGAAGGCCCACCAAGAACAGGGTCGCCAACGGCCGCGAATAGCAGGTTGAGCGCATGAGGAAGATACTCGGAATGGCGCTCAAAATACTCGCAGTACCGCTCAATGAGCAAAAGACCTGTCTGGCGCAGACGTAGCGGGACCGGACCTTGAGCCTGGCCGAGAAGATCAAAAAAAGGTGAAGCAAAGACCTTGCTTAACTCCACGTCATATTGGGGGTCTTCCGTGATACAGTCGGACAGGGATCCGAGACAGAATGCCGATGCCTCAACTTCGGCCCATGACTGAACCGAGAGGGCCTGGAGGAAAAGACCAGAGAAAAATGAAACCAGAGTGAGATTCTCGAGAGTGAATATAGATTGTAGCATATCCGCTATGTCTTTTCTCGCATCCGTAAAGCCGACACGCTCATTGGAATCCCATTCGGCGAAAGTCTCTGCAGGGGGCCATTGTGCCTTCCTCCAGCAGTTGGACACGACGCTCTTGAGGTGTTGTTCAGCATGCGAGCGCCAGACGTTTACTTTTGCTTCGTCTTCCGAGTAAATATTGTCGATCATGGTTTCGACAAACGTGGCCCAGAACTCCAGGGCAGGGACAAATATCGAATCCTCGCCCACCAGATAGCCATCAGCAGCGAGAAGACCGGCCAGCCTGGCCAGAAACCTCTGGGACCGCTCGTCTGTGCTACACATGAGATCCGACACCTTGGCATCACCATACGCAAGCATGAGAAGACCAAATGAAATGCCATCAAGCTGATGGTCGCCGTGAATGACCCTGTTGTAGTGTTCTGCCGCCCATTCGCTGTCGAACAAAGAGGCCAATGACGCATAATGTGCCTCTGTGAAGAATCCCGAATAATTGCTCAGTACGTCACTGAAGAGTTCGGCGGCCGGCTGGAATAAATCGTCGATGGCGAAGCAGTTGAGAGCCGGGCCAACAAGTTCCCGTAGATGCGTCACTAGAACATCGGTATTTGAGGACAGTCGCTGAGCATAGAGAATCCAGGCCTACATGATCGTCAGCGACCAATTCGTCCATATCGGCAACCCTGGGATAAACCTGTTTCTTTCACTCACCTGAAAACAGACAAGCGACTCCCCCTGAGTCTGGTAGGCGTCATCTGATGGGAGGAATCCGCGTGCTAGCAATGAGGCCAAGTCGAAGGCATTACGAACGAGACGCTCGTGTACGTGGATGTACTTGATCGAATTCATATCCGTCTTCCCGACTTCTTCAACAAGGGAGGTTGCGAACCAGACGGCGACCTTGAGTTTCGAAATTTCAAGATTGTTGGCAATGATAGGAGTCTCTAGAGCGTCGTCCAATGCCTCGATAGGGGTAGCCCGTCCGATATCGAGACTGTGAAGGAAGTGCCGAAGGCAGTTGGGCCATAGCTGAGGAAAGTGGATGAAGAATGTAGCGAGAGCAACGCACAACTTTTTGATCACAAAGGGAGCAACACCCTGAGCGCACGATGCTATTGTCCAGCCAAGGATGTTTTGGAGCAGCTCCTTTGCCTCATCGTCGTTGAGGTTGGCACTTTAGAGAGTCTGTCAGTCTGCTAAGGCCTAACAGGAAAGAGGATTGGCATGGCAAAGGTATCTACCTGTCTTTGTTGAGTTTTACAATAATTGTCAAGGCCGCATAGAATTTGATGTTGTCATTTGGGTTTCCAATCAAGCTCTGGGCAAGTTGCCAACCCTCGGGGGACTTTTGCAACCTCTGGAGAATCTCCTGGATGCGTGAGACGGTCTCAGGGGGGTTTGGCTGATAGAGAGCTATTATCAACTGTCAGCAGAAGTGAGTCGTGTTAGCCTCGTGGTCTCTGCGGGCGTCCTGGTTCATTAATCCGCCATCCTCTTATCACGATTCATCTCACCTGTTCCACTTCAGCCAAACTGGTGGGTAAGGGTAGTGGCTCCATTTTTAGTGAACTCTACCAGGTTCGTGAGGAGGAGTGCGAGTGCAGAAATATGCCCGACGGTCGTCCAACTTGGCGAAGGTGAAGGCGCGTGTTGGTGAGGAATGATGCCAAGGAAGAGAAGGTTAGTAGTGGATCGTGTCGGTGCAGAACCGTCAATTTGTTATCACTCTGATAGATGTTCAAGAACAGAGACGGGAGATGGACTCTTGCTGTTGAAGAGACCGCGCTTGTAGTGTTGTTCCTTTCTGTTTTTGCAATGACTTGACCACATCGAAAAGAGGGTTTACAAGACCGAAGTTTGTGCTTGTTGTTCCAGTTTTTTGGTGATGAGCAACGATGGAGCCTGGCCTGGCTGTGGTGGGCTATACTAGGGTCTCAACTCTCAAGTGTCCATCTCCTGAATATGTACACGCTAGGTATCGTAGGGCTTCAGCTACCTAGCAGTATGTACCTATGTACCTCTAGTGAGGTGTGGTAGCGACGGGACCCACCTGGCGGAGGCGGCCGCAGAGCCGGTGGAGGCGGGTGGAGGGTGGCTCAAAATGGAAAGTACCTACTACCTAGCCCCAGGGCACGCAGGCAATGATGGGCGTCGGTTGATTGTTGGGCGCAGAGGAGCTCCCGCGTGGGATGCGAGTTGAGCCGACCAAATCTCCTGATAGGTACCACTACAGTAGGCAAGGTAGGTACCTGCGATAACCCGTCCCGTCGTGTGACCAGAACGTTGCGACTTGACGTGCTGTGTAGAGGTACCCGTCCACCGACTACGCCCAAAGTAGAAGTCCCCAAACTTGACTCTTCCATTCGTCCAAGTCAAGGTGATAGCTTCTCGGTAGCTGCTATCCTATAAAACCACCGCCCCCCTCTGGTCCCGTCTGCGTGGCTGTCTCTGTGCCTTTGCGACGTTACGGGAACACTCCTCTCCTCTCCATGCGTAATTTTTGGTCCTTTCCCTCTTCGTGCCTGACAGCAGTTGCGTCTTCTGTCCCCCGACCAGCCAGCCGCTCCCAAGCCGCCAGGGTTCTACATAATCTGCCTAGGGCCTTGACTGCCTTCCCTCAGCCGTCACGTACGACCAGAGCATTCTCTCTCACATCAAGATTATTCCAACATCTTAGAGCCGCTTCGGACGAAGAAACTATGACTGTCAACACAACGGATCGCTTGGCCGCTCTACGGTCTCTCATGAAGGAGCGCAATGTTGACATCTATGGTACGCCCTGTGCCGTTCTCCGCCAAGACGATTCCACTGGCCGCTGACCCTTCTGGAATCTCGCAGTTGTCCCCTCAGAAGACAGCCATGCCTCCGAGTACATTGCCGAATGCGACGCCCGCCGTGCTTTCATCTCGGGTTTCACTGGCTCGGCTGGTACAGCGGTCGTCACGCTAGACAAGGCCGCCTTGGCCACGGATGGTCGTTATTTCAACCAGGCCTCCAAACAGTTGGATGAAAACTGGCACCTGCTTAAGACCGGGCTCCAAGATGTCCCCACCTGGCAAGAATGGACAGCAGACGAATCCGCTGGCGGAAAATCTGTTGGCATCGATCCCACTCTGATTTCCCCGGCGGTAGCCGACAAGCTCGATGGCGATATCAAGAAGCACGGCGGCGCAGGCTTGAAGGCCATCAACGAGAACCTGGTGGATCTTGTATGGGGAGATAGCCGACCACCTCGTCCCAGCGAGCCGGTCTTCTTGCTTGGTGCTAAGTACTCAGGAAAGGGCACCGCAGAGAAGCTCACAAACCTGCGCAAGGAGCTCGAGAAGAAGAAGGCCGCTGCTTTCGTCGTTTCCATGCTCGACGAAATCGCGTGGCTTTTCAACTTGCGCGGCAACGATATCACATACAACCCCGTCTTCTTCTCTTACGCCATCGTTACAAAGGACAGCGCAACCTTGTACGTCGATGAGTCAAAATTGAATGACGAGGTCAAGCAATATTTGGCTGAGAATGGCACTGGGATCAAGCCTTACAACGACCTCTTCAAGGACACCGAGATCCTTGCGAATGCTGCCAAGAGTACTAGCGAGCCGGACAAGCCCACCAAATACCTGGTTTCTAACAAAGCCTCATGGGCTCTCAAGTTGGCGTTGGGCGGCGAAAAGCACATGGACGAGGTCAGGAGTCCTATTGGGGACGCAAAGGCCATCAAGAACGAGACGGAACTTGAAGGCATGAGGAGATGTCACATCCGTGACGGCGCCGCCCTGATCAAGTACTTTGCCTGGCTTGAGGATCAGTTAATCAACAAGAAGGCCAAGCTGGATGAGGTGGAGGCCGCCGACCAACTGGAACAGTTCAGAAGCGAACAAGCCGACTTTGTTGGTCTTTCCTTTGATACCATTTCTTCCACCGGACCAAAGTGAGTTTCTCATATGAAATTCATTAACCTGAAGATGCTGACATGAACGTAGCGGCGCAATCATTCACTACAAGCCCGAAAGGGGCGCCTGCTCCGTGATTGACCCTAATGCCATCTATCTCTGCGACTCAGGCGCACAATTTTATGACGGAACAACGGATGTCACGAGAACGCTGCACTTCGGCCAACCAACCGATGCCGAGAGGAAGTCTTATACTCTGGTTCTTAAGGGCAACATTGCTTTAGACACTGCGGTATTTCCCAAGGGAACTAGTGGTTTTGCGTTGGACGCCTTGGCCCGCCAATTTCTCTGGGTTAGTAACGACTTGCTCCTTGTGGTAATATCCACGAATGGCTAACAATGATTCCAGAAATACGGGCTAGACTACCGCCACGGAACCGGCCACGGAGTTGGATCTTTCCTAAACGTCCATGAAGGGCCCATCGGCATTGGTACTCGGAAGGCGTACGTCGATGTTCCTCTGGCTCCTGGCAACGTGCTGTCCATCGAGCCCGGTTACTACGAGGATGGCAACTACGGAATCCGTATTGAGAACCTGGCCATTGTTCGTGAAGTAAAGACGGAGCACCAGTTTGGCGATAAGCCGTATCTGGGCTTCGAGCATGTCACCATGGTACCCTACTGCAGGAAGCTGATTGACGAGAGCTTGCTAACGCAGGAAGAGAAGGACTGGCTGAACAAGTCCAACGAGGAAATTAGGAAGAATATGGCAGGCTACTTTGATGGAGATCAGCTCACGACGGAGTGGCTGCTGCGGGAAACGAGCCCATTTTAGGTTGTTTTTGAAGCCGAGTTTCAAACCCGACAGTCCAGACGATTTAGCTCAGAGCTTGGAAATATGCTGGGCCTTGGAGTATTTTGGATCCGCCCATAAAAATGAGACTTAACAGAACATCCACATCAAGTCTGCACTGGATGTTTTTTCAACTGGACGAGTGTGCCGAAGGATCCCAGAAACTGCCTTGCGCCAGGGCTGACCGGGAATCTAGCGATTTTTTTTTAACATGACCGCTGCTGCTGTATGGCGCTTGGGCTGGTTTTTTTTGGCACCCATGGCGGCTCTCATGTCTTTCAGATGGCTATCTGTTGTGGCACACAAGCCGAGTGGTCAACACGAAGCTGGTCATTGGTCGTTCGATGTAGTGAAAGGAGCGAGGATAGTCATAGACGTTCAAAGTTGGAAAACCAGAACAGTCTCAAACATTGGATATCTGATAGTTCTTCCAAACGCCTAAAATGATCAATACATAGACAGCGTATTACCATCCATGTCTTGATGCCGATTCCGCAAACTTCTCACCCGATGATGTGATACGCCATGGATGCATCTTGATGTGTAGAGTTAATATGGTTTTCTCCTTCGTTGAACCTTGCTCGATCTAGAAAGACATGAAAGCAGAAAGAGCAAAGGTTATGGCAAAGGCAAGCTTAAAGGCCATTTTGTGTTGCAACGCCTTGAGAATCTTTGACGAGTTCACCTTGTCGCGAAGATGCAACATGCCTACCAAGTCGATGCCGTAACGAGACGCAACCTATTCCCATGCTTTTGTCAGTACATCACTTTTCTTCCATTTCTGTCACGACGTTGAAAAGCCCACCTGAACAATCACCATACCAACACCCGCCAAAAGCACGAGCGTCTTGGAAAAGACACTGATCAAGAGACCGGTGGCGAAACCTGCAAAGGCCGCACAAGTCGACATTAGCCTCCCGTGTACAACTAATCAATATCCAAGCTGGGTGGTAGTCATACCGCTCAAACTCCCACTAGAAAGCTGCTTGATCGTTTCCGGGTTCAACCACTCCTCCTTGTTGTCTTTCTGGGAATGGAGAGACCGCGACTGCTGCGAGCTGGACAAGGCGTCTAGCTTCAAAGGCTGTTGTCGCGCGGCCAGGGCGAAGGTGGTTGTGAGACCGAGAGTGACGGGCACAACGTTGCGCCGGAAGGCAGCGCGACAGGCTATGCGGGTGGCCATATTTGGTGTTAGAGGTGATGTAGTGACTTTTGGTGTTTCGTGACGGGGACTTTTGGTGGTGAGGTTCGCAATGCGACGTGAAGAAGGGGAGGATCGGAGTAATGTGAGGTTTTGTTGTGTCACCTTCATGGACTTTTTGGTGGACTAAAGGCGGAAGGCAATACGGTAGGATAAGTAAGCATAAGCTACCTCTCTAATGAGTATGACCAGGTGTCGATCCTGTTGATACCGTTCGTTCGTTGGTTGGAAGCTTGAAGCTCTCTCTGCTTGAAAAGCTCAACAGTTCACCACTTCAGCAGCCAGTTACCTCCACGCTACGCTAGCTACAGATCGTGACGTAATGAGGTTCTTGGCAGGGACACAAGGAACAGCTTGAACTTCTCAGTGTTGTTGACAACTCAGGGTCAGGGACGAGGAATTGAGGATGCCTCTACTGCATAGTAGAAGTAAAGGAACTACGTTAAGCCGTTGGTGCGAAGAAAAGGACAATCTACGAAAGAGCAATCGAGCATTGTTTCCTCCTACAACTTCACACAAGCAATTCGCCCGGACACAGGTGACAGACAACCTTGTCATTGAATGATCCAGTTGGGTCTGTACACTCACTACTGCGTACAGCCCGTCTGGAAGTCTGTTGCCGAGAGCGGAGAGGCTTGCCTGCCGACGGCTCACCCCGCATTCTACCATAAGGGTCCCCACTACGGTACAAAGGTATACTTCCAGACCACGCGCTTGAAGGACCCAGTCTTTTTTGATACCCCGGTGTTGATCAAGGAACGCGTCCCGTCTCTGGGACTGCACTTTCCTCCGATCTAGTGTACTTCCAACCGTACATCAATACGTCAACATCACTGCAGCGCCGACGGAATATCGCATTTACATTCACGATTCTCCAACTTTTTCGCGCGGAGGAGATTCCAAGAAATTGAACAGGACCCCCAACACCTGCATATGCACCACCAACTGCCCATGATATACGCCCACACGAATTTACCCTAATACAAGTATATAATTCCACCGACTTCCCACAACTCTCTGAGACCCGATATCGACAACCCCAGGCGAGAACCCTGCGACACATTCACGATGCCCAGACCAAGGAAATCACGGGTTGTGCCGTCGCAGCCTACAGCCAACAGCTCCTCCGCCACACCACCCGTCGTCACTAAACCGACTGCCACAGACCCCAGCAGCGATATCTACGATGTTAGCGATCGAGAGAAGGAACGCGCTAAGCAGCGCGCCGCCGCCGTGGCAGCAGCCCAACGACACATGAATTCCGACCAGGCCAAGGAGCTGGAGGACGCGAAACAGAGGCGAGACCAGGCCATGGACCGGCTGGCCAATATGACCTCAACAACCGGTACTGCCGACACCGACCGTAATCCCGATGCCGCGACCTCCTACTCCAGACGCGAGAGAGAGGAGTCCACCCGACCGAGCCCGCGAGCACCCCGGCGATTAACAGGCGACACTTCCGGCCTGGATCTGGATGATGATATGTTTGACCTCGACGACAGTCTCGAGGACCCTACGATTACCGCACAGAATGCCGGTGGCTACCGGTCCGCCAACACCTCTTCGTTCGATGTCGGTCTCTTCCAGCGCCACCGTCCACGTCAAAACAGTGTCTCAGGCAGAGACGACGGACCCGTCAGGCCAAGTAGCAGGGGGCCCACTACACCGAGCGTCATGTCTACACTCAATCTCGGTCTGTTCAAGCGACGAGCGCGCGAGCCCAGTATTTTGGGAACGGCACAGAAAGGACGACGACAGAGATCCCTGTCCGTGACTTCGCAGGTGTCACGCATCCCCATGACTGATGAGGAAGATCATATGGATGTGGATCGAGAAGCGGCTATTGAAGACGAAGATTCAGGTCCAGATGGCGAGTCGACGCCGCTCGACATGATGAAGAGACGGTCTGGTGCCAGCGCTTTCACAGGCGCAGCTTTGGGTGCCGATGTCACGATTCCGGCCTCCAGTGGAGCGATGCCTGTCGACGACGAAGAAATCATGGAAACCGGCTCTCCATCTCGGCGCTCGAAGAAACGCAAGTCACTTGAAAGCCACTCCGGTCGTAAGAAGCGCGGCAGATCAGTGGTTCATGAGCAACCTGTTCCTGAACCAGAAGAGGAAGAAAATGAGGTCATCCACCAGTCGATAGAGATGCGAGATGGAAGCGACAGCCCCATGTCATCGCCACTCTCAACACCCGCCCTTTCGCCTGTTCCAGACCATATACCATACAATCCTCCCAGGCAGTCCAGGCCCCCCATCGATCCTAACGACCCGGTCAACGCACCACCCGCAAGCGATTCCTCAGAAGCTGAGAGCCCAGTGGCCTGGCCGTCACTCAACAACTTGACGCACCGGTCCTACAACAGCCGGCGTGCAGCACCTGTTTACACAGAACGACTTCAGACTCCCGAACTGCTACCACGCCTAGGCGCCGGGCCAATGGGGGCCGTAGACGCGGACATGTCATCCGAACTTTCCTCACCACCCTCACTCACACACTCACCAAACTACAAACCCCCAAATACTGCAAAGGCCTCAGCAGTCGTCGCCGCAGCATTCAAAAAGGCCACCGGAGCTGCCAAGAAGCGTGAAGAGGAAAAACTAGCAACGGAGGCACTGACAAGCTTGCTGCCTGCTCGGCGTAATCGCGCAAAACCTGACAAAAAGAACAAGAAGGGGAGGAACAAGGAGAACCCTTACGACATCACTAGTGACGAGGGCTCCTCCTCCTCTTCTGAAGATGAAACTGCCGCAGACGGTGACGAACTATCATACATCGCCACCGCTGCCGCCAGGAAAAAGAAGGAAAAGGCGCTTAGTGCCGCAAAGCAGAAGCAGCAGAAAGAGAAGGATAAGCAGAAAATGACGCCGCCACTTGGTACAACTACCAATGGCAAAGCCGCTGCCAAATCCAAACCCGGCTCTTCGGAGCCAAAGCGAACGTACGGTAGAGCAGGCTCCGACAAGGAGAACGCCGATGGTGCTGATGCTTCGGGCGGTGGCAGGGATAAGGAGCAGGATGGTGAGGACGACGATGATGACCAGGAACCAGTTTCTGCAATGGACCTTGGTGAGGCTGAAGAGTTGCCGGAAACGACGCAAATGATGACGGAGAGACTGGGTGAAGAGCTGCAGAAGGCGGCGAAGAAGTTCAAGGAGGTGGATAAGTGGGAGTTGTCGTTTGAGGAGGTTACGCAGCCGAGTTCGCCTATTCCGGATGCTAGGTGATGTGGTTATGTTGCATTTACCGGGTTATGGAGTTGGATACTCATGCCAGGTGGTCTGTTTTTTAACTCGGGCACATGCCGCAATTTGGAATGGTATGTGGTATGGTGTATTGTTTTTCAAAGGTCGACGGGTATCTGGATTACCAGCGTTCTGCATATTCAATGGCTGAAAACAAGGCTGTCTTGTTCACCTCAGGTGTCGCCGAGAACTATCACCAAAGACATGAATAGACCGGCTTTGCTTCAAATGGTGATCAGGTCGGGAGAACATCCACGATTAATAGCGGTGTCGTTGGTGCAGCTCCGCATGATCCCGATTCTATGTATCCTTTGCCAAACCCCCCTTAACGCCTGTAATGCCGTTGATCCGTCAATCATAAAGATGTTAACCCATGTTATCTTGCACACAATGCTCCCAACGCGTAAGAATCTGCCCTCAAACCCTATCTCGGCGGCGGACGGACAAACTGAGTCTGTGGTGTCGATTGCGTTTGCCCTGGGAACCGTGTTGTTGTCGTCGTCTTTGTAGCCACACCCGGACCTAGGATAACGCTCTCAACTCCCTGCTTGATGAGCGGCAGCAGAGGCGCTACCTGGTTGGCATCACGAAGTGCGATGGTAACCTGATCCAGTTTGAGGCCTTGCATGAAGAGTTTCTGTTTCGCAAAGCCAACAAGTCGTCAGCTAACCTAATCCTTCGTAATCCTGTCTCCTTTCTCCCAAAAGAACTTACCGTCTTCACATTCTCAAACTTATCCTCCCTCTCCGTATACTCTCTAATTACCTCCTCCTTATCAAAATCCACATACACCCTCGTATCCCGCACCCGCACCAGCACGTTATCCAACCGCATGAACATCCGGCACAGCAGCAACATGCGGTGCTCCATCACCCGCAGCTTCACGCTGACGATACTGCACCCGTTGTCATCTAGCTCGCTTTCGTAAAGGACCACCTCGTCCGCGAAGAGGATCGGGTCTCGCCGCTTCAGGAGCTCAATGGGTATATCCGGTGTGTTCTCGTCCCCATGCAACTTTGTTTCTTTCCCTTCAGCCCCTCCGGTCGAGCCGGGCCTCTCCGTCCCACAATAGTCCGTTGTATAACTCCAGTCAAACGGCTTGACCACCTCGCTAATGCCCGCGCTCGTCTTCTCGCGGCTCGAGCTCCACTCGCCCGCGTACGCCACCTGCAGCATCTTTTCGCCCGTTTTGTCCACGCGCTCGAGCGCGTCCTCGGCATTGAATTCGATCGACCAGCCCGTTGGCCGGTGCGTGATCGAGACGAGGTTATCACCGAAGATCATCTCGGGAATTGGAATTCCTAGCCGCACCGACATGGCGTCGATGGGACCCGATTTGAGGATGGGCAGCTTACGCGTGGCAATAACGAAGGCGCCTTGAACGTGCGTTGTTGTGGCGGCTTCGAGGGCCGAAGGAGAGGGGTACGGCTCGTTGAGCGATGATATGTGGTTGATTTTGACGGACGTCATGGTGGGCGTCGTCGTCGTCGTCGGGTGAGGGATTCGGTCACTGTTGTGTACGGGCGAGGGCGTTTCAAGGTATTAGACGCCCAGTTGTTGCTGTGCTTGTGGAAATGTAAGAGGCCAGACCGTTATTTGAGGTCAAACGTCAAGCTGGGTACAATTCCCAGCAGTTGATGGTGCGATGAAGGCCGATATGTACCCCGGGCCTTTGTGTTTTCCATGTCCAGATAGTAAGATGAAAACTGTTGGAGGCTCAGAGCAGCTTGGAGATCTAGCGGGGTTTAGCGGGGCTCCCCCCCCCCCCCCCCCCCCATTCAGCCCCGATGTTAGCGCGCACCTGCAGGGGCGGCAGGGCTTGATTGCTTGGATGTCGGGTTAATCCCGTCGCTGCGACGACATCTGCCGTCAAATGTGCTTCTGCCAGATCTGAGAAAAACAAAGATATCAGACAAATGAGATCCTCACAGTCATATTCATTGCCGTATCAATTACCCCCGAGTCTCTTCAGGTTGTCAAGTCCAAGGGTGTGCCTCCTGTAATCCTCTGGACGCTGCTGAGCCCAAGCCCACCTTCCCACTGCATCATTGCTGGTCTCAGTTGTTTGATCAGGGAGCCCAGAAGGGAAAGTTCGGCGCAGCCAGACAAGGCAATGACTGTTGCTAGGCAACGGAACTGGGCCCCGGTAAATAAAGCCCCAATCCTGGCCCACCATCTGGGAAGTGTCGTTTCAACTCCAATCAGCATCAACTTCGCTGGCCTTGTGTAAAACCAACCTTGCTTGACAACCAACTTCAACCAATAAATACTGAAGTGGCCTGCGCTTTCAACACGACGCCCTAGGAATCGAGTGTATTGCTTTGCGCCCGCCCGCTAGTTTTCCTTCATCTATGCAACATCCCACCTAGTCTTCCTGACGACTGTTTCTCATTCGCAATCCTAGAAATCGTCGTGCCCAAGATGGCGGGCCAACCAATGGAGTCACGCTTCGGGCGCATGTCGATACATGACGAAAACAACGATCCAAGCGATGGCGCTCGACTTCAGCAAAAGGCGAGAGAGCTCAAGTCAAAGGTATGATTTTCACGACAATGTTTGCTTGATAGCCTCTCTGACTGATATGCGCGATCGTAGGCAGGTCCCAGTCAAGTCCAACACACGAGCGCCCCCGGCAGGCCGAATCTCTTCAAAGTAGCCCTTCAATCGCAAAGCGGCAATACCGTAGTAAGCACCTCCGTTCCTTGTTCCTTCGCAGATCACGCAAAGGAAGAATCCGCCCATCATCTCTAGCGAACCTCCCTCACCACGAAAACCACAGAGAACCGTTCCCGTTGCCACGAAATCTTCGACCATTGTTTCATCTGCCGCTCACAAGTCCACGACATACGCCGGCATTCGTAGAGTCGACGACGATGATCACGACGAACTCTCGCAGCCAATGGCCTCCGCTAGCGTTTCTTCGACAGGTACATCTACATCCGAGTCATCCTCTAGTGCCGGCTACGATCAGTCGATATCCCCCAAACAATTCCACCTTGGCATGTTTGAAATCGGTCGGCCGCTTGGCAAAGGCAAATTCGGCCGCGTATACCTCGCGCGGGAGCGCAGCTCTGGTTTCATCTGTGCCCTCAAGGTGCTCTACAAGTCGGAATTGCAACACGGCACCGGGGTCGAGAAGCAAGTGCGTCGCGAGATCGAAATTCAATCCAACCTACGACACCCCAATATCTTGAAGTTGTACGGACACTTCCATGACAGCAAGCGCATCTTTTTGATTCTCGAGTACGCCGGCAAGGGCGAGCTGTACAAGCACCTACGCAAAGAAAACCGTTTCCCCGAATGGAAAGCAGCGCAGTATGTTGCGCAAATGGCATCCGCCCTCAAGTACTTGCACCGCAAGCATGTCATTCACCGCGATATCAAACCGGAGAATATTCTAGTCGGCATTCACGGGGAGATCAAGATATCGGATTTCGGCTGGAGCGTGCACGCGCCCAACAACCGGAGGCAGACGCTCTGCGGAACCCTGGATTACCTGCCGCCAGAGATGATCCGGAGCGGATCCAAGGATAACTGGTACAATGAGAAAGTGGACTTGTGGAGCTTGGGCGTATTGACGTATGAGTTTTTGGTCGGCGAGGCGCCGTTTGAAGATACGCCGATCATGACACAGAAGAGGATTGCGAGGGCGGATATGACCATTCCCGAGTGGGTCAGCAAGGAGGCAAAGGATCTGATCAAGAAGGTAACAAGTCATTGTTCCCCTAAGGATGGTCTTTCAATGCTAACCCATTATCCAGTTGTTGGTACTCGACCCTGAGAAGCGTCTTCCTTTGGAGGAGGTGGAGAACCACCCTTGGATCTTGAAGCACTGCGTCAAGGGAGAAAGGGCTGCGAACCGGGAGAAAATGGCAAGTAAAATGGGCAACTAAGGGGTGTCTCTTGGGTTTGCTTTTACTTTGTCTGATATCCGTCGAACTTTCTTCGAGCACTGCGAAAGCGTGGAGCCCACTTGCATTGTTAGCTTGTTTTTCTTGTTTTGTATTTCTTTTCTTCTTCATGTTGTAATACGGGCGTTCTTGGGCGTTTGAGCGAGGGGAAGAGGGCTAGGATCAGAATCCCCATATTGTCAAGGGGAGGAGGCTTATGAGTTCATTATCTGTGCATATACGTTACCTACGTTCCGGCATTTAGCGAGCAATGGACTGGACATTGACTTTAGTTTATGTATTACATGTGTGACCAGTGTATATATCAACGCCACGAGATTAGAGCTGGAATCTCAAGTAGAAGTGGTATCATTGATTGTACATGTCAAGAAACGTTCATCACAAAAACAGCAGGAGTACATGGTATAAAACGCCCTCTCCATCCGCGTTACAGGCTCAAGATCACCTATAAATCTCCTCAAATGGCCTCTTGTCCGCAAAGCACGAGTCCCACACCTCGTTGACCACCTTTGTTGCATGTACATCGTCCTTGCACGTCGGCCGTGCCATAACCGACTGGATGGCCCGCATACGAACGCAGTTCTGAAATTGTTGGGTAAGCGTCCAATTGCCTCGGACAATAGACTCGCGTGTCCATCTGCACTCGCCACTAAGCATTGATGCTCGGATCTGCTCAGAACATCCCAAAGATTAGCAACTGTCCTTTCAGCTCGAAACGAAACAGACGGAACAGGAAAGGGAGAGGGAACTCACCTCAGTACAAGCAGCGTGCCTCAAACTCTTCTCCCCGAACCAATCCACCTTCCACCTCAGATGATCCCAAGCATGCACCATCTCATGCGCCAGCGTATCCTCCAAGTGCCCTCGATTGCGCATCTCATTGGCGCATAACAAGATGCCATGATCAGGACTAAACCCACCACCCTGTCTGGCAACCTCTATCCTATCCTCCTCTCCCTTGTCCTTGTTTCCGGGAATCACCACAATCCTGCTAGGACACCGGCGACACACGACATTGGTCTCATCCAAGACGCCGTTTAGGTTGGCCACCTTCTCACGCAGGAACCGGATCACCGGCGAGTTCTGAAACAGCCAGTCACGGTCGGCCTCGCACCGCGCGCAGTCGCGCGCCTCGTTGGCCTTGTACCGGTCTTCACGGTAGTGCTCGACGCCCTCGGGCGTGATTTGGCCGGTGAGAATCTTGAAGTAGTTCATCCACCATTGGATGGAGGGGTCGTAGCCGGTGCGGGAGGGGTCGTTCGTGAGGTAGCGAGGAAGGAGATCGTTGGCTTCCGAGGAGGAGGAGGGTTTCGTATCGTTCTCGGTGACGATGGATGTGGGGAGGGAGGAGGGAGGAATGCCCGAGGACGCCGGGCCGGCGCTAGTGGTGGGTGCTGGTGACATGGTGAGTATGGTGTGGTTGTCGGTTCGGACGTTGTGTTTGCTTCGAGGTTGAGCAGGAGGTTATCGTCGAAGGTGGGGGTTCCAATCGTTGATCTGCAATCGAATCGGATCGTGTTTGAGATGAGATGGGCACCTTGACGGGGAGGTCTGGGACCTAAAATTTACAGTGGAGACACCACGGAAAACAGCCCAGCTGCACCTGGCATGTCGTCACTACCCGGACGCGCAGTGAATAGACGGAGGTACCTAGGTAGGTACCTAGCTAAGGGAAGTTTCCCATCGGGACGGAACCGGGAGTTCGGGACTTGCTTTACGGGCACCCCACTACCGTAGGTCACCTAGCGCGCAAAAGCCGACATCTCACGCCCTGTCGGAGACAACAAAGGCGGTAAGCCCGGAGCGGTCTGTCCCTAAAAGGGCGCTGAAAATGCCCTGTGACAATGCCCTGAAACTGGTCTTGGGCGGTGACCGTGGAATGGCCCAGTTTTTTCCTGTCCTCACGTTCCCGTCTTTGTGCCCCGATGTCGGCCGTTGGCGCGGTCAACAACGACTTGGTCCACTTTGCCAAAGTTGCGGCACCCACTGTGACTCCAGTTTCCAGGAGCACCCAAGGGAATCATGTCCGTACCGAATGCACCTTGAAGGGATCAATTCCACATCGAGAGACGGTTGTTGATCGGCCAAGCTGGGGTTGAGTGAAATCACGCGCGTACAGGCCAGCTGCAGTCTGAATTCTTAAAAAAGATGGAGCCCGAGACGCAACATCACCATGTGTGTAAGTGCAGAACCACACTCTGTTGTCTCATCTCACTCATCCATCCTCAGGAGCGGTCTCAGTCTACTGTTCTGAGGCGCTCATTTGAAAGAGCTGTGTGTTAACGCTTTCTTTGACATTAAAGCTATGAAGAGCCCTCGTTCCCTTGGAGTGGTCATCAAACTCGGTGAGGGAAACCCCCCAATGTTTTCCTCGAAATATCATGAACTGCTCTAGGTTCATGTGAAACGACAACAATACACGCTGGATCTCATCAGCCACGGCTCACTGGGCTAACACTCACTCCCCCAGGAACCAGTTCCATTGTGGACGAAAAAACACATGAGCCCCTTCTATCCAATCTCACCCTAATAGTCGAGACAGCGGTCAAGCTACGTAAAGATGGGCATAAAGTCATTATTGTCTCATCCGGCGCCATCGGAGTTGGCCTCCAAAGAATGGACGTTGAGAGGAGACCAAAACACATCTCAAAGTTGCAGGCAAGTCCTCCTAGTTACACCACAAGAAGGATAATTTGACTTACACCATAACAGGCCTTGGCAGCTATCGGACAGTGTCGCCTAATGAGTCTGTGGGACAGCTTGTTCAACCATCTCAGACAGCCCATCGCCCAGATCTTGCTCACCAGAAGCGATATTTCCGATGTGAGTGGGGATCATACACCTTGATGATGAACGACTTTCTGCTGACTTTCCCTTCAGCGATCACGATATCTCAATGCGCAGAACACTATTCATGAGCTGCTCGATATGGGCGTGATCCCCATCGTCAACGAGAACGATACGCTGGCCGTATCTGAAATTAAGTTTGGTGACAATGATACTCTGTCAGCCATCACCGCCGCCATGGTCCACGCCGATCTCCTCTTCCTCATGACCGACGTCGACTGTCTCTATGACAAGAACCCCAGAACCAACCCCGACGCCCAGCCAATCGAGGTTGTGGAAGATATCGGTGCTCTTGTTGCCGATGGTAAGAAGCTCCATTCTATTCCTGTAGCACAGGGTCTCAAACAGCATTCTAACCATGTGCCTCCACTTTCCAGTCTCTCAAGCCGGCTCATCGCTCGGCACAGGCGGCATGTCCACCAAGATCGTAGCCGCCCGCCTTGCCACTTCCGCCGGCGTCACCACCGTGATCACTCGCTCTTCCAACCCTGGCAACATTCACAAGATCGTCAGGCATATCCAAGGCAGCCGTTCCCCGGCCTCCCTTACCACGCAGGTCAACCACCCGTCCACAGCGTCTCTCGCCTCGCTCAACAACAATTCCGACTCCGTCACTGGCACCTCCACCCCAGCCGTGGCCGTCAACCCAAGCTCCGAGCAGGTCCCAGCCGTCATCGACCGCAGCCAGATCCCGCTTCACACGCGCTTCCTGCCCTCGCCCTCGCCCGTCCGCGACCGCTACTTCTGGATCCTGCACGGCCTGCGTCCGCATGGAACTTTGTACATCGACCAGGGCGCGTACAAGGCTCTCCTCGGCAAAGCTGGGCTGCTTCCCGTCGGCGTGGTGGACGTCGAGGGTTTCTTTGCTCAGCAAGAGGCTGTGCGCCTGTGCGTCGTTGACAAGCGCCGGTCTACGCCCGGTCCGGATGGCAAGATGTGGGAGGGTGAAGCGGTCGAGGTGGGCCGGTGCCTGACCAACTACGCGAGCGCCGAGATTGCAAGGATTAAGGGACATCAGAGCGTGGAGATTGGGCAGCTGTTGGGGTATGCGGATAGCGAGTATGTGGCGCAGAGGGAGAGTGTGAGCTTTTACAATGCGGTGAGTAGGCCGGCTAGTCCTGTTGGGGGACATCGGGCTTGAAGGTATGGCATGGTAGAACAGGTGCGGTTATACGAAAAACATGGACGGGGCTTGTACCTTGAAATTACATGTTGCAAACGACGTAAACAGATACAACTTGAGTGTTGCATAAGTCGGGATCTGGACGAACCATGGCTTCCACAGGTATGAAAACGAGATCGAGAGGTTCCCATCACAATTCCTAAAAAAGGATATAGGCATGTCTTGGTCCTCCCCCATTGCTCGACGAGAAAAAAGATCAAATTATATCTGCCCAGATAAAAATGCTGGAGGTATCTGATTCTGACCAAAAGTGTATGTGTGTGTTGTAAACGCCAGGACGCCTTTATGGTACTCCCCTAAAGCAAAAAAAAAAGTTCATATGACCTTCTCTTTTCCAAGCCTTCGTTAATTCCTTCCATCTTTCTTACTCGGACCGACACTTTAACCAGCAAAGAGGGTGTCCTCATCACGGAGGTACTCGCCGCAGTCCGATTGACGGAAGCAAACGATACCCGTGGGATCAAGGCGGCGTGCCTCGGTTGTGCTACGAGCTGTGACACCGAAGCCAAGAGGAATATCAGCCATGCTGTAGACGACGACACCGGAGTGCTCGGGGCAGTCCTCGGACCAACGGCCGACGTGGGCCTTGACGACTGTTTTCAAATGCTCGTTAGTTTTCGTGAGGCTAGTAGGATAGAGAACCAGGAGTTGGAGAGGTATACCGTTCGAGCCGTAGAGGAAGGGCTGGGCACCGTTGTCCTTGACCCAGATCTTATGACGGGCGTGCTCGGAGAGGATAGGAACTATAAGGTTGGTGTTCAGGTTGTTAGCTTTCAAATACATTCCAACTGTCTCAGTAACCGCATAAGGATTCGGCATTGGACATGGAACGTACGGGCAGTGATGTGAAGTCTGAACTTTCCGGTCTTGGTCATCTTTCCAAGGCAGGTACCCAGGCTGAGGAGGGCATCGCGGCTGACACTGGTAGCGAGGTTGGCAACGGAGAGACGGACGTAGTAAACCTGTGTAGCATCATCTTTGTCAGTCTATCTGGCCCTTGTTCTGGTTGGTGGTGTGGCGGCTGTCGTCGCCGTCGCCCGGCTGTCGTTGTCCTCAGTGGCGCACAGCCAACAGGGAAGAGACGGTGTATCGAGCAAGGTCGAGAGGAAGCGAGGGAGGCGAGAGAGACAGGACGTACGCGAGAGTGGTTCAGACGGAAAACGTATCTGTCGCCATCATCGAGAGGAGCGATAAGACTCTTGAGATCGGTGCAGTAGTTTGCAAGCTTTAGGGTGCCAAAGCGATCAGTCAGCTGTTGTTCATCCTTGTTTAAATATGAGATTGTTGCGGCACTAAAACTGACCTTCTCGAAGACGGTCTTCTGCTCCGTTTCTGTAAGAGGGCGCATCTTGTCGGTGTGTTGTGAAGTGATGGAGTTGGTGATGCAATGCGAAGGAATCTCCAAGCGCTGACGGCCGCAACCGATGGAGCGTTTCTCTGCCAGAACTTTTTTTTATCGACAAGGAAACCCACTCTTCCGATAATGGGGGGACGCCAAGCCATTAATTCTCCGCTTTAGATGCAATGGCTGCAGTGGATACTCGAAGCTAAAATAGCCGAGTCCCACTTTTACCCGCTCCTACGTTTGCCGTGCGCGACCCCAGCGTGCCCTAGCGACACTGTCACAGGCCGGCAAGTGAGAACAACCTGAAGCGGACAGTATGCCACATCCATGAAGTTTATATTTCCAGAGGGAACTCCTGCATCGCGATGTTCATCCAAGTCCTGGAGCGAAGGAAGAAACAAACCTCAGTCGAGGCCAATGATTTCCAGCTGTATCCAGCGGCCCACTCTCTTTCAGGATTCGGTCCTCATCTACACTATTGTTTTCCTGCGCGGCGAGCCCGGCTGACTTCTCAATCGTCCTGGTAATCCAGATTGCTGGGCAGGGTTAACCGTGTAAGTTAGCTTTCCAGAGATTGTAATGCATATCGGAGTGGTATCGCAGCAAAGAAGCTACCTGTTGAACTGACAAAAGCGTAACCAGAAGCCACTTGACGTTGGAAGTGGCAGCTTGTGGTACTGGTCGTGAAATGGGCCGAGCCATGGCCTTGCACCCATCAAAGAGGGATTATTCGTCAACTTCTACTGACACAAAAAGAAGCCAAACTAGTATCACGCATCGAGTTGATCGATTGTCATTCAGACTCTTCAACCAATCTCACCATTCTTGTCCGAGGTTCTCACGTGGGGAGGTGTTCATGACTACATAGTGGCAAACGAGACGTGGGAGTATTAGGGTATAGAATGCTACCGAATGCACCGAATTCATCCATGTCGAAGGACTATGAAGTGTGACCAACCAAGCTGGCTCACGTTGCGCGCGCTGGTCAGAGGCATCTCATGATACCCAATCCACCACGATGCGCAAGGAGCTTCCCTTACGCGATAATCGCAGTGGATGTGATTCAATCCAAAGACCTTACTGCGCCTTCTTGGCCAGAGTTGTAGATGGGAAAAGGTATGGTAAGAAAGAGATGCTGGAGTGTGAGGATACCGACTGACATTGTGGTTCGTCCGACTGGGAGAGAACGTCCTTGTTGTTGATCTACGCAAACGAAGAGAAAAATGAATGGTGAAGGATTAGTAGAAGGAGAAGACGGAAGTGAAAAGAAGCATTGCAGTAACGTCCAACTGTTTGGGTCTCGCCAATCCTCTCTGGTTGGAGTCAGGTCGATGCAGGTACTGCGATGACGGAGAGACAGACCGAAAGCGCGGACCCCACTGAGAAGCTTCCATGTGCCCCGCCCTCTAGGTACCCACTTAATACCCCTCATGCCCGAACAGCAGCCAGTATATGGTGACAGGAAGACCGCTGAAGGTTCGAGTCGCTTCGTTTCCCTGCGGGCAGCCTGCTTGCTTGTCACTATGATGTCGTCGCTTCCCGTGCGCCCGCCCGCACACCTACCTCTCTACTTGCGACAGGCTGCGAGGACCATCGAGAAGCAGCTAGAGGTAGATACTCATCCCACTTCCTCTTGCACGGCCAGCTCGGGCATCAACTCGCGACTTCTCTCCCCACCAAGGCTCACGAATAAATTCCACTCCTTCTGACCTCTCCCCCGGTCAGCGATTCTTTGTTTGTTCCCCAGATCAAAACACGAAAGTCTACTAAGAGATACCCCAAACACAACTCTTTTATTTTCTTCTCCAAGATATACATCAAGAGTGAGCCTCACGTCACACTAGCTTCATCTCAACATTTCCGCGCTTTCTCTCTTTTGTACATCAACAATAACACACACACACACACACACACACACACACACACCCAATTCGAAACACAACACCACACAGATTCTATAGGGACCAACAGAGTCTCACACACTAATCCATCATGACGTCGAAAATGGAATTTACAGACCGGGCCAAGAAGGCTTTGGAGGATGCCATGGCCCTGGCAGAGCAATACGCCCACTCGCAACTCCTCCCCGTTCACCTGGCAGTCGCGCTTCTCGACCCTCTCCCAGATCCGAGCAAGGACCAGCAAAATGCACCAGCCGGGGCAACCAGCTCTCTCTTCCGCCAAGTCATTGAGAGAGCCCATGGCGATCCCCAGCTGTTCGACCGCGCCCTCAAGAAGGCCCTCGTCCGCCTCCCCAGCCAAGACCCTCCTCCCGACCATGTCTCGATGGCTCCTTCCTTCCATACAGTCCTGCGCAAGGCCAACGAGCTACAGAAGACGCAAAAAGACACATACATTGCCGTCGACCATCTTATCACAGCCCTGGCCGAGGAGCCCTCGATCATGAATGCGCTCAAAGAGGCCAACATTCCCAAGCCAAAGCTCGTTACCGATGCTATCCAGGCCATTCGCGGTACCAAGCGCGTCGACTCTCGCAATGCCGACACCGAAGAGGAGCACGAGAATCTCGCCAAGTTCACCATTGATATGACTGCCATGGCTAGGGAAGGCAAGATTGATCCCGTCATTGGTCGTGAGGAGGAAATTCGGAGAGTCATCCGTATTCTTTCTCGTCGTACCAAGAACAACCCTGTCCTTATCGGTGAGCCTGGTGTCGGTAAGACTACCGTCGTTGAGGGTCTCGCTCAGCGCATCGTCAACGCTGATGTACCCGACAATCTGGCCAACTGCAAGCTTCTGTCTCTTGATGTCGGTGCCCTGGTGGCCGGTAGCAAGTACAGGGGTGAATTTGAAGAGCGCATGAAGGGAGTTCTGAAGGAGATCGCCGAGTCTAAGGAGATGATCATCCTGTTCATCGATGAAATCCATTTGCTCATGGGCGCCGGCGCGTCCGGAGAAGGCGGCATGGATGCGGCCAACCTTTTGAAGCCAATGCTCGCCCGTGGTCAGCTTCACTGCATTGGCGCTACCACCCTGGCCGAGTACCGCAAGTACATCGAGAAGGATGCTGCCTTTGAACGTCGTTTCCAGCAGGTCATTGTCAAGGAGCCTTCCGTTTCTGAGACAATTTCCATTCTACGTGGTCTCAAGGAGAAGTACGAGGTGCACCATGGTGTCACTATTTCCGATGCTGCCATTGTGGCCGCTGCAAATCTTGCGGCCCGCTACCTCACTTCCCGCAGACTTCCTGATTCGGCTATCGATTTGATCGACGAGGCGGCTGCTGCAGTCAGAGTCGCTCGAGAATCGCAGCCCGAGATCATCGATTCCCTGGAGCGCAAGTTGCGTCAGCTCAAGATTGAGATCCACGCCTTGTCTCGCGAGAAGGATGAGGCTTCCAAGGCTCGTCTTGAGCAGGCAAAGAAGGATGCCGAGAACGTGGAGGAGGAGCTCAGGCCCCTCCGCGAGAAATACGAACAGGAGAAACAGAGAGCCAAGGCTCTCCAGGAAGCCAGGATGAAGCTTGAGAGCTTGAGACAAAAGGCCGAAGAGGCTAGCAGAATGGGAGATCACAGCCGTGCTGCTGATCTTCAGTATTACGCCATCCCCGAGCAGGAGGCAGTAATCAAGAGGCTTGAGAAAGAAAAGGCTGCGGCTGACGCTGCGCTCAACGCCGCTGCGGCCGAAACCGGTGGTGCCATGATCACCGACGTCGTTGGTCCCGATCAGATCAACGAGATTGTAGCACGGTGGACCGGTATTCCCGTCACACGCCTCAAGACCAGCGAGAAGGAGAAGCTTTTGCACATGGAGAAGCATCTCAGCAAGATTGTTGTCGGTCAGAAGGAGGCCGTTCAGTCTGTGTCCAACGCTATCAGACTGCAGCGGTCGGGTCTCTCCAACCCCAACCAGCCTCCCAGCTTCCTGTTCTGCGGTCCTTCTGGTACCGGTAAGACTCTGCTCACAAAGGCTCTTGCCGAGTTCCTGTTTGATGATCCTAAGGCCATGATCCGTTTCGACATGTCTGAGTATCAGGAGCGTCACTCTCTCAGCCGCATGATTGGTGCTCCTCCCGGCTACGTTGGTCACGACTCTGGTGGCCAGCTGACTGAGGCCCTTCGCCGCAAGCCGTTCTCCATCCTTCTCTTTGACGAGGTTGAAAAGGCAGCCAAGGAGGTCTTGACCGTTCTGCTACAGCTCATGGATGACGGTCGTATCACGGACGGTCAAGGCAGAGTCGTTGATGCCAGGAACTGCATCGTTGTCATGACGTCTAACTTGGGTGCTGAGTACCTTTCTCGTCCCAACGCCAAGGACGGTAAGATTGATCCAACCACTCGCGAGCTTGTCATGAACGCCCTGCGCAACTACTTCCTTCCCGAGTTCCTCAACCGTATCAGCTCAATTGTCATCTTCAACCGTCTCACTCGTCGCGAGATCCGCAAGATTGTCGAGCTACGCATTGCGGAAATCCAGAAGCGGCTCCAAGACAACGATCGCAATGTCAAAATCGAGGTGTCGGAAGAAGCCAAAGACAAGCTGGGTGCTCTTGGTTACTCGCCAGCTTATGGCGCTAGACCACTGCAACGTGTGCTTGAGAAGGAGGTTCTGAACCGCCTGGCCGTTTTGATCCTCCGTGGCAGCATCCGCGACGGTGAGGTTGCCAGGGTTGTCGTCCAAGACGGCAAGATTACGGTCCTTCCTAACCATCCCGAGGTCAACGATGAGGACGACGAAATGATGTTGGACGAGGAAGACGCGGTTGACGAGGTTGCGCCGGAATCTGAGATGGATGAGGATCTTTACGACGACTAGATGTCTAACAGGAAAGATGACTCAGCCATGCGCGACGACGTAGAGGTGGACTAGGAGGATTAGTGAAGAAGATAATCGTGGACGCCCCGAGTGTTAGGGAGACGAAAATTTGGTATCATGATTTGAGGAATTTGAAAAAGGGATAGCCTTCGGGGTTTAAAGCATGCACATTTTGCATTTGGAGTTTGGGGCCTGTATGTTTAGGTACGTTACATGATATGAAACGAAAGATGTTATGATTCTCATGAGGTAGACATGATGTATCTAAAAGAACGGCGGAGGCCGAGAATTGATTCTGAAGAATCAGTGGGAATCAAAATCATGTGTTTACATTGGCCCTGGTCCTTGACATACACTATATATGATACTCTCCTTCTGCGTAAAGTGCAAAGATCATATATAACTTAGCTACTACCGTAATAAAGCTGATTCCGTGTTGCCACGATGACTGAAGTGAACTGCTAAACGGTGAACAAATGTGATTATGCTGTGAGTCTAACGCACCGGTCGCAGACCGTTCCCCAATCTTGAGTTCAAGGGCGAACAAGTAGTCTCGGTTCCTTGCAACAGATGTCCCGTCTTGTGTGTAAGTTGATCACATGGGAGGAGGATCCGGCAAAGTGCCGACCGGCTTCCTGGTTGGACCCGACTGTTGTTGAGCTTGAGCACACGGCCAAAAGCAAAGCTACCCCGACCTCAACCACATGACTGGAAGGTAGGCTTATCTCGGATGAACCCCAAGGCTTGTTGACTAGGATCCAGGAAACCTGTCAAAACGCAGGAGCAGGATTGTTTACACGAGATATGTAAGTACCTTAGAGCTGGTCCCGCGTGGAGCTTTAGACGACAGGGATTCAGCCCGCTCTACACTAAGTAGCTCCGGCAGGCAAAAGCCCACCTCCCCACAACTCCCGCGCATTGGAGGGCCCGAATTGGTGGAAACCTAACGGACCCAAAAAATGTTGTGAGCCCCGAGTCCCGTCCCGACCTCCGCGATCCGAGTCGACTTGCTTGCTGCTCCAGGCGTGCGCGCGAGCAGCCCCGTCCCGTTCCGTTTCCAGATTCCCCCGTCTCCGCGCCTGCCTGCCGCCTACCTGTATACCTAACCCCAACACCTCGAAACGCGACCAGCAACACCCGGCTTCCTCGACCGACCGACCGACCGACCGACCGATTGCTCCAGCGCCTGCGCCAGTCCCGTCCAAGGCCGGAAGATTCCCCGTCGTCGTTAACGTGGGCGTGTGGTGCTACACTTTCCTTATACGTCCGTCCACACATACAACCATACACAATTCGCCATGAACTCTGTAACAACCTCGACAATAGGCCGCCTGGCCTTCGGCGTTTCGCGCCTCAGCGCCGTCACCAACGTTGCCGGCGCCGTGCGCCACGCCAGCACACACCCCACCACCGCAATCCCAAAACCGACCACAGCGGTTCTCAAGACAAGCCCATTGGCCGAGGAGACGGCTGTCGAGCTCAAGAGCCCATCCAGGCTGCAGCTCAAGTCAGAGCCAGGAAACAAGGGCAACCCCAAGGGCCATGGCGATCGCATCTGGGCGTTTCACCACATTGAGCAAGGCCAGGTGATCTACTCGACCAAGCCTGTTATCTCTGTACGCAACCACCCTCCTTTGTCAAGCCCTCTTTTCATCATCTTCTAGTTCCAATCAACTAACCATTTGCGCAAACCCTTCCTCTAGCACCAACACCTCATCCGCCAACAACCCTTCACCGGCAAGAACCTCGTCCCCCGCAAGATCCGCAAGGACTACTGGCGCCCACTCGCCATGATCGAGCTGGCGGGCAAGGACCAAGGTGCGGTCGGCCGATCCGTCTACCAGAAGCTGCGAGAGTTCAAGAAGCGGCACGAGCTGGACTGGGCCAACGAGGCCGAGGAAGGCCGCAAGCTGATGCACAAGTCCAAGCGTGAGCGCGGCCAGGAGCTCAACGACCAGAAACCCAACAGCGTGGCTGATATGGCGGCCGTGCTGGCGGGAGCCGGCAAGGGTAACCTCATGTGGCAGGTGTCTCGCGTTGGGTCTTCGTCAGAATTGGTGGGCGAGATCAAGAAGGCGAGCGGGGCGGTGGAAAAGGGAGCTGTTGTCGACGTCAAGAGGCAGCTGAGAAGGGCAACGGTGTACTGGACCAACGAGCAGGATAAGTTCCACGCGAGGGAGTGGAGCGATAACGTCAGCCATGAGGTTGGTATCCCTGGCGAGGCCGAGAAGAAGAGGATGCCTATTAGGATGAGCAGCGAGTAAGGGGTCATGATCAGTCATGGAAGGGGCTGGGTGGGGTGGAAGAAGGAGGAGTGCGGCCTTGTCGAGGTGCTCTCCGGTCGGAAGAAGGAGATGTGAAGGTTGAGCGCCGCAGACAGCGGGGTAGGTATGTGAGTGTGGACAACCAACCCGGAAATGGAAAGTTCTCTTAAGACAGTCCATGCCACCCTTCTAGGCCATAAACCATCATACTCTGGGTGTACAATTCTTCTGTATCGTCACATGTGTGGGGGGTATTTTTTTTTTTTTTTTTTTTTTTTTTAGGTAAAAACAGGTCGGTCGATTGCCCTCGCTGACCCGTGTTTGTATTCATAGTTCTCTGTAAAAAATGACTATTTCATGCAATGCCGCAGTCCTCCTGAGATATGTGTGGAGTAGACTTGAGCTCAGCGATGTGGCTAAACTGCCACAGAAATCTCTCCTGTATCGTCCCGTTGCTCTTTGCACAGTACACTACACCTTGAATTGATGAGATACCCTTCTATAATGCCGTTCCCCTCTATATTTTGATGCTCTCGATACAAAACCAAATGTTTGCAAGCTATCCCTCGAATATTCATTGCTTCTGCCGATATTGATGTTGGGGCCCTCAATGTTGATGATAGCAACTCAGATGCGTGACCTGCACAAGACCCAAAACCTGGGTCTTATCATACAACCGTTTCGTTCTCCTACTCCATCTTTTTCGGCTTCAAAGCGAACTTCTTGAGATACTCATAGTCGGCCACATTTTTGTCGACCGTCTCCCTGATTATCTTCTGTCCCTCCTCCCCGTATTTTTCCTTCCATTCCTTGTCCTCTTCCTCTCTAGTCGATGTCTTCTGTTCCGTTATATGAAGTTAGCTTCATCTCCATCAAAACGTCCGCACGGTATCCAGGGTGATTCGGAAACAAGATATAATAAACAAAAGACTTACAGCCTTATGCGACCGCGGTGTCAGCTCGGTACTCCCAATCGCATCATCATGAAACCCGTTCCACTTCTCAAACGCCTCTTTAGCTGTCCTCTGGCTCTCATCGTCATCCCACTTGAGCATCTTGGGGTCAAAGTCCACGCCGATGGCCTCACAGTAAGCTCTTAGCGTGCCCTCCGGGTCGTCGAGCAGGTCATCTGCGTCAACGACCGTGATCTTCACGGGACCTGGTATGTTTTCCAGCTGCCTGCTGAGTGCGGGGCCTTGCTCCAGTCGTTCGTCTCTATCGGGACCGCTCCATGCCGACACACTGTCTTCCTTCATCTGCCCAAACATCGTGCCCCTCGACTTACGCGTCTCCTCGGAATCGCACTTGCTTTCTTCGGCAATAATTCCTTTGGCATGCAAAAATTCGAAGAGCCTGCGGAGCTCGACGTAGCCTGCCTCGCTGGGCATGAACTGGTCGAATCCCGTCTTTTTATTCAGCGGTGGAATGGTGCAGCGGTAGTAGCTCGGGATGGCCTTTCGTGGGTGGCGAATCAGGAATGTCCAGTGGAAGAGCATAAGAAGGGAGGTGGGAATGATAGTTGGGTTGCTGTCCGCTACCGGGTTGGGGTGGCGATCGAGCGAGCGCGCCGGGCCCAAAGGACGGTCGCCGCTGGGAGGCACGATGTAGTAGGCCATGTCTTTGATAAAGACACGGGTCTTCTAAGAAGTTGAATCGGAGTTAGACTATATGAATAATGTCGCCGGCAGATAATGTCCCGTGAGGAGAGACAGAACGAGATATAGGGTTCGGTGCACACTTACGTCGTTCTCCAACATCTCCTTCAAGATTCTGCCCATGACATCGTCGTACCTGACTTCCGCATACCCGCTCTTCTCTCTTGCGGCCTCGTCATGGTCGTAGCGCGCGCTCATGCGTTCGGGGCCATAGTAGAAGGCATCACCAAAGGGTTCGTGCACACAACTCAGGGCGTCTGGGCGGGTCATAAACACCTATGTAATGTAGTCGACATTTGATTAGACTTTTGTCTATGGTCTTCTTCTCTTCTTCGAATTGACGGAACATACCCGTTCGAAGGCCGTGGAGCAAGCCCGAGGATGGGTTGCCACGAAGATGGGTCTGCGATCCGGACTGCTGCTCATCTTTAATGCTCTTGAGATGCGAGTAGTGACTGGATTGCACTTGGAACCAAGAGAGGACTTTGGTAAGGTTCCGTAAGCTTTTCGGCTGCTTGGAAGCGAGAAGATAGGGTCGAGTTGGTTTGGAATTACGAGGAAACAATGAGGAGACCGGGGAGGAAGAGCCCGGTACTTGTACCAACTGACGTTCCGGACCTGGATGTTCGGCACCGAATGATCAGACGCAACTACTTCCCAGAACGAAGAGACAACGTCGACATCGGAAGAGTACGCTGCAGGTCCCCTGGATGATCTTTTCCCAGCTTGGTTCGCTACATGGAAAGATTGGAGTATTCAAGGGCCTTTTGCGGGGTGTACACCTGCCATTTGAACAGGAAGCCAGAGGCAGGCGAGGCGAGATTTGTACGACTCTCAGCTGATTGGGCAAGAATAGGTGAGAAGTCTCCAGTTATCCGCGGACTTGGTTTCCATATTCGCACGACAAGACTTATTCTGACATTCCACAGCTGACTTGAGCCACTCGGGTGGGAAAGAGATTTAACATGCACTGGCGAAGGGTAGTGTAGTGTAGTGTAGACCTGCATCCTGAGAACAGAGGGGGACGACGTCATTGGGTCGCTAGCCTTGGAAGCTCTAAAAGAGTAGCTAAATGTGGGGAAGAAATACTTCTCCAACACGATCCCTGTTCTGTCCTACTCGGCTGCAGAGGGCTTCATTCGGCGTGGGGGTGTGTTGCCTTTTGTGTATGGTTGGGTGTTGGTCAGTGTTGACAAAGAAGCCAAAGTGTGCAGTACCACCTCTGGGGTGCAAGCTGAGTACTTTTCCAAAGAAAGTCCATGATTGATCTAATACTCCGACAAAAGAACAGTCACGAATGAAAGAAGGAAGAAGTGCCCCAGTAACATTGGGTCTACTTGCTGTGCAGAGTGGCGGTGGTGCTGAAGACCTGGAAAGGAACTGTCTTGCCATGAAGCGAAGGAAGAAGCGAAGATACCTAAAACTGAAGGCAGATAAGAGACGCAAAGAAACCGTGAAACAAGCCACTCGGCTTACATGCCACCGAGCTGTCCACCCAGGCATCATTCTGTGAAGCGCCAGATATCGATCAATCAAAAATAACGAGGTGTACAAGGGCTGCAGCCAGCCTCGAATTTGCTGGCGTGACTTACGTTTAATAGTTTGGATATTACATGTGTCTCCAGGTACACTTTGCCCATTCGCCTCATCCCACTCCCTCGACCGTTACTGATTCTTCTTGGCCTTGACAACCTCCGCAGCTTGCGAGGGTTGGTTTTGGTATCCAAACTTTGAAAGCACGCCGAACAACTTCCACATGATCCAGGCAAAGCCAAGGAGTACCGCTAGCCCGGTGCCGCCGCTTACCCACTCCGCCTTGTTTGTGTCCAGGACTGGCACCTTGATCATGTTGCTCAAACGGCTGCCGATTGTCGGGCGAGGCTCGACATGCCAGAATACCGTCCTAGGGCCGAAAAGGCCGTCGTAGCCAAGGTTGGCCTTCTCGAACGGATTGTTAGGGAACTTGGTACCTTCCTCAGCCGCGCAAGCCCAGAAAACAGCCGGGTATGGAACTTGAATATCGGTATAGCCGCCTTCAGCGGGAGATAGGTAGCGCAGATGCAAGGGGACTTGTGCTGTCCAAGACTTTGATTCTTCATGTTCGGGAGGGGAAAGTTCCAGAAGAAGCGAAGACCCCCAGCGCTTCTCAACATATTCAGGAGCTTCGAGGTCTACGGGCTGAGAAATGTAGCGTAGACGGGTGAGATTCTTCGAGGCCAGAAAGAGGTCATCCGATAGTTGGTGCCTATCGGCGAAGACGGTCTTGGGAAGGGTGAAGTAGGCGTGTGGTGAGCAGTAGGCATCTTCAATAGGTGGCTTGCTGGACTCAAGCCTGAGTTTAAGGGTAGGGTGAAGACCTGTTGGCTCTAGAAACTCGGCGGAGAAGCTAGACTCGGCATCACGATGTCGAGAGGCAAAGGCAAACATTGTCGCAGACGGCTTTTTATCCTGTCCGAGCACGGTGAGAAGACCGGAAATTCCCAGCTCATGAGGCTCGAGGTGTCCTGGCCGGTCCGAGTTCAAGACTCCAACCTCGGTCCGTGTCTGTGGACGGGATGTCGCGTGAACCTCTTGCTTCTGGTAGGGCCATGTTGCAGTGAGCTTGACGGCGTGAGAGATGGCATCATATGAGATGTCCAGAGAGCTGGCGTTTGTCAAGCGGTCGGCCCTGGCAGCGCAAGATTGGTCCTTGGAAGATGAACATAGCTTCTCTTTGGCGAGTGCAATGAATGGGGAAAGGTCTACCGATGGTTGGTAGAACTGGTAGGCAGCTGAGTGAGAGAAACGGTCCCTTGGCAGAGTCGTGAATGACTTCTATGTGAAGACGGTTAGCACAAACACCATGGTACAGGTGAGGAAGACAAAATCAACCCACCTCTGGGTTTTCGCACTGAACATTCCCGAAAATTTGATTGAGGGCAAGGCAGAGCGCTGGGGAAGTGGCATTGGCTTGCCCTGCCGGGGTGTAGAACAGATGGAAGCCAGGCGGCAGCCTAGCTAGCAAAGGGGTGATTGCCTCATATGGTTGAGAGCTGACATATCTGATGTGAAGCTCATGAGCTGTGCCCAAGAGCGCTTGTAGGTCTGTCGGTAGCTCATCGATTGCAATGGTGAGTCTGTCTTCACGGGCAGCCTGGATCTCTGGGCCGTTGAGGACACCGCCCTTGATCTTGAGCGTTGTTGGCTCGATTGAGTCGCCTTGCTTCTGGATGAAGGTGATGCGCTCTCTCATGACGGACCAACACTGCGTGAAAACAATTAGACTGATTGAGGCTTGATGACTAGAGGTAGATGAGATGGGAAATTGGATTATCAAGATGTGGATGTAACAAGTGCGTCTGGGTGGCGGTGTTGATATTGCGAGAGTACCTTAGTTGGTGGTGTTGTTGACGAGCTGAAGTGACGATAACGGGCCATCAACAGCTGTCAACAGCTCCAGTTCCACTGTCCACGTCTCGCTCCCCGCCGTCGCCCACTTGGAAGAACCTGGTCTATGCTTCTTCGTGAAGCGAACCCTTTTGGGAAGCATGCAGACGGGATACCGAGCTCTGATTGATCAGCTTGGTAGTGGGTCAGCGTGATAAAGCCCCGCTGCGTCAAGATCATGGGCTATACCCAAATGGGTGACCGTGGCTCGCAAAGGACAAATGAACGGGGACTGGTCCAGAGCAGACGACACCCATAAGGACGAATGGAAGGAATGAAAGCAATAAGAGGCATAGATAATACCGTTTGGTATTCACGGCGATACCTATCATGGCTTGGGTGGTCTGCTTCAGCTGCAGTCCACGTTATTTTGTCCTGGACGAGCATGGCCCCAGCCTCCATTCAAGTGGCTGCCAGTTCTGTCCTCCCTCAGACCTAAACACAGCCGCATCCAACATGAAATTCAAAAAGGGCCTTTCTTGGCCACATTCTATCGTGTTCACTTTGTGGCCTCCAAGCGGATACATTGAGTCCAATGTCACCTAAGAAAAGCAGCAGATTACGAGCACAGTCCAACCCTCTCAACCCCCAGATACAGAGAGATGGATTCTTCGACTCCAGCATTCATCCCTATCCACACCCGACAGCCGCATCATAGTGAACATGACTTTATGAGTTATTCGGATTCGGCCGTATGTCGACGCTCATTTCCTTGGTTGGACTGTTACAGGAGACCTCCCGTCGCTTCACACAAAAGAGATCTAACATATTCAGTACGGGTCAGCCAGTGAATCATGTAACCCGGCAACTCACGACGTTAGTCGTGTTAGCTACCATGTCAGGCATCTGGAAACCTTTGCTCAAGCCCTCGAAGATGTATGTCATAGCACTACGTATCGACATGCCCCCGACCTCAAACTGATTTTTGCCCGTTGTGGTAGTCGGCCAATCGGGCATTTCCCACCACCTCATCTTCACAGCAAAGGTACACTAAAGTCCAAGCTCTATTTCTACATTGGGCCTGTGACGACTTGTTCGTGTTGCCCGAGCTGGAGGATCTGGAAAAAAGTTTTCGAGAAGATTACCGTTACGACACCGATATCTTCGCCATCCCAACCGAGAACTCCCATCTCGAACTAATGCTCAAGATTGGCGACATGATTAAACAACATGAGGACAAGAAGACCCTCTTCATTGTCTACTACGGAGGCCATGCCCGGATTGACGATTCGCGCCAGAGTACGTGGTGTGCGTAGGTGCTCTCTATATCCAGCCCGCCATCTGAATGGGTTTTTGATGCTTACTCTTTTCCACCAGGACACGGAATCCGAACTCCCCATGGCTGCAGTGAGTCCTGTTGTGCCACCCACTACCATCTTTCGGGCGAGCTAATTCATCATGCAATAGGTGGTCCGCAATTCAGACACTCCTCGAAAGATCCCCCTCTGATGTCTTGATTCTTCTTGACTGCTGCGCAGGGGCAGCTAGTGCCACCTTCTCAAGTGGCCAAAGCATAACTGAAACCATTTCAGCATCAACTTGGGATGCTATTGCCCCTAACCCAGGCCGATACTCTTTCACCAATGCCTTGATTGAAGTCCTTCAGGAATGGCGACACAGAACCTTTTCGGCTGCAATGTTACATGCCGAGATTCTCGCACGTCTGAAACATCCCAGACCAGTTCTGATCAACGGCAAACACTTTGAATCCAGGTCAACGCCTGTGCATTTCATGATGACGTCCAACCACAAAGCACCGAGCATAGAGATTGGCCGACTTGTTCCGGATTCCAGACGCTCACTATCACCGTATCAGCAGCAGCATGTCGTTACCAGTCCACGACAAGACGACTGGCCGTTGTCACCACGATCAACATGTCCATATCTCCCTGGCATGTCTGCTCCGATGATTGGTGAGCCAAACGAAGACGAGCCTCATGTCATGATCTCATTAGCTCTTGAAGGTGACCAGGGATTGGACTTCAGTGCTTGGGAGCAGTGGTTAGCCGGCTTTCCAGCCATCGCCAAGTACGTTAAAGTCCAAGGAGTCTTCAAAAGCCATTCAACATTGCTACTACTCTCGTTGCCTATCATGATTTGGGATCTTCTTCCGGATGACCCAGCGTGTTCCTTTATAGCGTTCATCAGGTCCAACAATCTGTGCCGTGAACTGAGCACAACAAAATCGCCGCACGAAAACGAGGTGACTGCCAGGAACGAAGAAGATGAGCATCAGGCGATGGATGCTGATACGGAGTCATTGATGTCCGAGATGGCTACGAATTACCCTGGAGACACTCATCGAACTGATGTTCAAGCAGGTACGTACGGACAATCTGCAAATTTTGTAACACGCGAAACGCCACAACCCAGCCAGAAACCACCCTCTCGGCCAAAGGTGCTTAGTTATATGGGGGAACAGCTGACGCGGTCTGTCAGGTCACCATCGCCTGACCCTGCTCTGGCTAGTCCACCGGACTTGTCGACCGCATCCTTTAGTACTGTTTCGTTGACAATGGCCACCGATGATGTAGCAAGCACACCAGTTTGGCCACCGGAGCAAGTTAGCGAACCTACAGATCAGGCCCGAGACTTGACTCGAAAGGCGATTGCTCACTTGGAGGACTGTTTTCGGAAGGACCCGCAGCCGAGTGAAACAATCATCGACGTTCATGCTTTCACTCTCGATGTGCATCCAAATAAAATCAAAGTACGTTCTTATGCGCTCAAATGTTCTATGTTTTGCCTACTGATGAGGTTCAAAGGTCTGGTTTGACCAGCGCCGGCAGCATGAGCAAACAACCCTCAATCTCCAGGGTCTTCATTACCGCAGCTTAACAGACCAGACTCCTGCTACCACAGAAGGCAGTGCTCGCATGATCCTTCCAGGCCACCTCAACACAATTCTCACCATCTACCCCCACCGAGGCGCTGTCCTTTTACTCGATCTCCGCTCCTCCACCGACTTTGAAAAGTCACATATCTCCTCCGCCATAAACCTCCGCTGCCCCGTCTCCTTCATTCAGCATGCCTCTCTCGAGATGATCGAAGACACCTTCACCGACGTCTCATCTCGCCATTCCTTCAACAGCTGGTATCAGTCCCGCTGTGTAGTGCTGTATGACCGCCGCATAGAATTTGACTGGGAATGCCCCATTGCCAACGCACTGCTGACCAAATTCCGCGGAAATGGCTGGAAGGGCCAGTGTTTTATCTTGAAGGGCCACTATAGGGAGTTTGCTGATAGTTTTGACAAGTGGATCACCGGCAAAGGGAAGAATACTGCCGAATTCAGTTCGGGGAAGTTGCTTGAGAGCGAGACATTATATTACAACGATGCAACTGAGGAAGAAGAACAGAGACAGAGGAGAGATAGGGAGTATGAGCGGTGGCTTAAGGAGTTTGACGAAAGTGGCCAAGGGCTTGGAGGGAGGCGGATCACCGAGCTAGGCCCGGCCAAGAGAGAGGAGAGGGCCCGGGCCGTGGATCAGAGACAGATAGAGCTAGAGAGGGAACTGGAGGCGAGATTTCCGGCGCTGTGGAGGAAGGTAGTGGCCATTCGAGGCCAATGTGAAGGGCGTGCTGCTGGTGAGGGCGAGTCACTTTACAGCCGACATGGAGGGGGTCCACCAATTACTATTCAAAGCGACGAAATCGGTGGAGGGTCTGTTTCCCCTCCTCAATCACCGCCTCCTCCGCCATTCAGCCCAACCGCAGACATGTCGGTACAAGCTTCTAGCAGCGGCCAATTCCCAATGTACGACAAAGCACAACTGGTGGAGCCCTTGGTCAGTGGTCTGCAAAAAATGCGTGAAGCAAGTGGCTTGAGCTTGGGTCTGATGAGTCATGACCCAGCCTTCGCTATGAATTCTTCCAGTCATTCTCAGTTCGCTGGTGATAGGGGACTCGGCTCTACATCACACGCATACGCCCCAGAAAAAGCTGGCTCCTCTGACCAAGGAGGTTTGACGGATGACTACAATAACTACTCTGATGGGGTGGTCGATCCGGTTTCTGAAAGTTGGCGAGGATTTGGTGGCGGCATGGAAATGGCTAGTGGGGCGGTGTCGCCGATGCCGCCGGAGTGGCAGGATGACAGTGTGGTGAGTAGCTATGGAGGAGCTGGTGAGATGGCTACTGAGGGTGAGAGGAAAGATGCGAAAAAGATGAAGAAGAGGACTCAGTTGCTTTTGTGGGAAAGGTTAAGGGGCGGCGGATGATGGAGGCGAAAGAACGTCTTTCTTTCTGTTTGTGTGCTGAAAGAGATTTTTGTTGGGTGCCGTTTGTAGTCAAATGTGTTGGTTCAGTTCATGTCAGCCGTCTTCAAGTGTTGTTAGTATTCTATGCATTCATCCTACACATTCAGCTCAGTATAATTCCTTCCGCCTCTATGACAGGCTTGGTCTCAGCCTTTCGTCCACTGCTCTCAATGCATATCGCAATGTCCAAGAGGGCATGGAGTGGATTTTTTTTTCTTTTCTCAACATCCGGCCAGATCACCAGCGTTGCTAACGGTTCACAGCTACCTGTACTGAACGACTTCTAGGATTCTTCAGCATGTTCCTACTACCCATTACGAAGTTTCGATGAATGCTTTAACTGCCTATGTAACGCACAGCGGGTATTTTACCCGCGCTTGTCTTGGTCTATATCACGCCAAATTTCATTCGACCTATGGCCACTGTAAGTTTCCGCGGTAGGTCGGTCACAGTTCCCTTCTCTTAGATGCTTTTGCTACCATCGTCACAACCTCTACAAACATTGCGTTTGGAAAACAGATCGTGACAGGAATGTGTAGATATACCTCCCTACACCTATACCCACTTCTGGCTTGGGAGACACTACTAGTTACTCAACGTGGATGGGGATCATAGTTTCGAATCTCCAGATTTGTCTTCCAAGCAGACAATCAGTCACAATCAAGAAGGTGGTAAAGGTGTAGCCATGTAACTACAGCGAACAGCAGGACAACCAGGTCCGCTTTCCTGGTGTTATCTTTGTTTATTAACTCAACCATGACTTGTCAACTCACACTGCATGGGTGGTGTCGTCTTGGTAGACTGGTAGCTACATATAGTGTTACTGCCCGGCTATCTTCGGTGGATAATGTTCTACAATCATGGGAGGTGCAGTAGGTGGTGTACCTGTTCGTGCATGAGGTGTGAGCTCTGAAGGAGGTGCTGATCAAGACTGTTCTGGAAGAAAGAGAGAGGGAGAGTGTAGAGATGTGTTGTGATGTAGTCGTTCGCAGATGTACTTCTTTGTTCACATTCTTAATGGCCTTTGGTAGATGGGGTCAGGTGGAATGGAGTTAATGGTTGTGGACAAGGATCACCAGATATCAATAACCAGCCAGACAGCGTTTTGCAATCAACAGCCAAAGCCCACCCTGTTAGGACTGCGTGATTCGCACTCATTGCGTTGAAGATTTCTTGTTTCTTCAGGTCAGTGTGTCTAGGATGCGTGTGAATACATGGGAGCATGGTTGTTCGCAACTACAGGATCGACAGAGAGGAAAATGAAAGGGTCACTTGTAGATCCCCGTTCGATGTTGCTGAGTCAAGAAGACCTTTGGCCATCGTCGACTAGTCGGACTCTGCCACATGCACTCTGTATCATCATGAACCGGACAGGAAGACAATCAAGGATAATTCTACCCATCCTCGTTCAACTGCGTTTGCCTCACCCACTCGGTGTGTCAAAGAATTATGCGCCTATCCTCAGAATTGCTGCACGTACTTGGCAGCCAGCTAGGCAACAGCGACACCATGGCAACACGACAATGATGATCACGGGCCTACAGGTTGGTGATATGCCAAAGTGTGAATGTGACCTGCGGTACATCAGTCGCGGATCGCCTGTCCCCCACGAAAGACACTCACACATCACCACTCACTTGTTGTTTGCGCCAGCAGCATGCTCAGGCCGTCAACCGATGCAGCCAAAGAGATCCATCCATTCCAGTCTTGAACACAACAGGCAAAGTTTCGGTCAATACCGGTATGGTATGGAGCGTACATGATGCTTGACCGGTTGATGGAACAATGGAAACAAAGCTTCCTCGTTCCTCCCTCCTCCCCTTATCTCAAGGATCCCATGACATGCTCCTTCCCACTAGCCAAGATCATGCAAGCAGAAACCCCCTCCAAGGGAAGGAGCGAGATCCGGAGCGCTTGCACTGTTTGTGGTCTAGCGAAGGAAGAGGAAAGATCCGATCTGAGTCAACATGACCTGTCAACTTCTCGGGTAGCATCCTTCCTTATGCGAAATTGACAAGCCGTCCCTTTAGACATCTCTACACGAGACTGCGCTTGCTCAAACATCCACATGAGTGACAGACATGCGTTCCATGACAGGTTGACAGGGTAGGTTCTTGGACAGATACTGGCTGACCCTCCCACTTGACATGACAGGGTGAGGGGAGTCATGGACGACCTATCGACGAGGGTTGGGACAGCGTCCCCTATCACGGCGCTACCTTCCTCTGCTGATGAGATTGGAAATGGGAATCTGTGCAAAACATCGTTTTTCTTTTTCTTCCTTTCCCCCCCGCGAACGTTCTCTTTCCCTCACCTGGCCGTGGTGCAGCCGTACCAAAATACCATGTGCATGGCAGTTTCCCCCGAGCACCCGACAGCACAATTCCCATCTCCAGTCCCAGTCCATCGCAGTCCCCCTCTCGGTTCCACCCCACCCCGATCTCTTTCGGACTGCACCAAGATGGGAATCGGCAGCACGCCGTTCCGGTGCCGTACTCCATATCACTACCGTCCGCAGAGTCCATCATCGCCGTCATTCTACCGTCGTTATGATCCGATTTGTTCGGCAGAGCACCGCCACCACTACCAAGCATCACCAACTCCAGTCGTCAACCAGAAGCAACAGCCACGACGCCTCGTCTATCACTGAAGAAAAGAAAGAATGATACGTTACCATTGAACCATGAGCCTGGGGTTTAAGGGTAGCCTATCCAGTGAGTGGCCATTGTCCAAGTCCCTGTCAGGCCGCAGGGCGCATTCCAATTTTCCGGGCCAAGCAAGCAATGGATGCAGGAAAAAAAGCAGTCAAGTGCACAGGGGAAGGGACCCTGGCATGGCATGCCAAAGATTTTACCACACCTCACCACCAACGGACGACAATCATCACCATACAACCCATCCAGTGTCGATGCAGTTCGACTCCATTGCTCGGAAAGTAACGGGGACTGTTGTGCCTATGAACACCAGTTTTGCCATCTTCCGGTCATCCTTGTCATCACACAAGACGGACCCTAATCTATGCACCGAGCAGCTGGACGGCAAGGCTACAGAGAACCTCCTTCTCCCCCTCGGTTCAGGATTGCCGGCCGTGAACCTGGACAACGGACGACGGACGGACGCCATGTGGGATGAAATTTGAGCACTACCTTCGTAGTTGTGAGATATGACTGACGATACAGTGGCAGCGAGTAGGTAGACGCTTGCTTCTTGCCGCTTTGCTACTGCCACACAATTCACATCTTCGCTGATGTACACTCATGATTCATTCCTCCGTCGCGCGGTTGCGTGGTTAAGATTGGGGAATGACAAGGCTAGTGAGCCAACAGATGCACGTCAAGGTGAGACAAACACAAGTCCTTTGGTTGAGTGAGTTAGAAAAGTTGGAGACTCGGGTTGTTGAGCCTACATCTGCCCTGCCACTTGCCATGACATTTGCCCTGTCTTGAATACCCTGAAGTCGCCGATCCGGTTGAATGGATCCGTGATAAAAGACGAGGTTTGTAGTGTATCAAGACCAGGTATGTGTTACCCCGGATCGAAGAACGAACGGAAGGGTGTGGGTATATTTGGGTACTACTGACCTAATCCGCTTCTGTGTCGAGATGGGCCACCCCGAACAACACGTCAAGCACACTCGTTCTTAGCCAAGTATTGCCCCTATCGCTATTGTTCAGATATCCCATGTCAGAAGAATCAGCAAAGACAAGTCCGCGATAAGCCTCATCATATTAAAAACAAGCTAGTATAAATTACTGGTCCGGCTGTCGTCCTTGCTCATGGTCATCTCGCAAGGTCAATTGGAATCTCGAGAATATGTGCCAGGAAATCCGATCGATTCAAGAAATCCCATCTAGGCCGTCATCATCGAACCATTTTCTTCCCACCCCGGGCGGTTTGGGAAACGCCACGATAAGATCCAATCATGTTCGTTTCCGCACTGGCCAACCTCATCCCATGCCATTCATCGCCAACAATCTGCCAAAAGTAACCTCAGAGTAACCAAACTACCAAAGGGTTTCCCGTTTCAGGGGCTAAAGTTGGTTTTCTCCTGCACTTCTTCCTTTGCTTTTGACATGACAGGTACCCGGTTGCCGGGTTGTTGGCAAAACACCGGCATAACTGCAGTGACCATCGAACAACGCTACACTGACCTGACGGGAATTGTAGCATCCGGTTCAGAGCAAACTCTCCGCCACCATTCACATTTAGCTGCTTGCTTTACCATCCATCGTCATGTCGGTCGGGGTGTTTACTGCGACACTACTGCACATTTCATGATGCTCGGTATCATCGAAGCTAACCTTGAAGAAGGTAAACCCCCATCTACAATACCACCGCCTAACGCATCTTCAAGATGAGAAGGGAAAGGAACGAGGAAAAAGCAAAAGCCTATGGTTTCCGAGATGGGAGGCGTCAGGTCCAGACCGCGAACCAACAGACCATGCCCATGTGAATGCTGAATGCAGCTTGATGCTACCTCAACCCTTTAAATGGTTGTTGCACCTTCGCAGAAAAGGCTTGAGTAAGTGATATCCTCATACTCACGGCTACTGATTTGTAATGGTTGGCTGGTTGGTTGATATATTGAATTTAGACGTGGACAGTACCTCTAGACGTCTTGCTTTGTCTGGAAGAATCTTGGTGTCAATTCGAACCAGATTCCAAATTTCTCTGTTGCTTTTTTCCCCCTCTCTCTTTTTGCTCACTTCTCATGGCACATTGCCCACCGAGCGGGCGCGCGCTCTCTCTCCCTCGGTTTCCTTCTTTTCTTTTTTCCCTATTTCATTCAATCTTCCCCCTCCTACAATCCCTCCACCTGACTGCCCCCTCGATCCTCCCATTCCACTCACACCGTATCGACTGGCTCCCTTTCTCGTCATGAATGAGCACTGTGAGAGAAAGAAAGATCTTTGCTTTTTTCTTACCCTTCCCAGGGAAAAGCCTTGTGTTGACGAATGATTGATCACCGGACATTTTCCTTGAGCGTGCTTGCTGCTGGCTGCATGTGCCAGCCCGTCCATCCGCCCCCCCATTCAAACCCCAGTCGGTTATTTGTTTTCTTGGATCTCGCACATTTTAACTATGCCGTATTTGGCGAGGTGTTTCGGTTTTCACCGGCCGGTGCGCGTACACTACATACAGTGAAGCAGCAAAGCTCGGGTATTATTTTCTTTGTCGAGTTGACTTCCTTTTTCTGGAATTTTTTTTTTCTTCTTCCTAATTTGTCATGTCCTGATGCCTTGGTGAATGAATGGAAAGCTGATGTTGTTTCTGTTTGGCGTTGCTCTCCTCTCGGCTGTGCTTTCTGCCGGAATTAGAAGGCATGCGAGCATGTGAAGTGGAAGAATGGGAGGTATTCGTCGTCTGTATAGATAGTGATGGAGAAGACAGACACTTGAAGCGGAACGGAGCTGAGTCCGAAGACCTTTTCATTTGGCCTGTCTGAGAAAATCACACAAGCTTCTCCATCCAGCGCCACTTTCTCACTTATCTTCACTATGCCTTCTCGAGATCGTATTTTGAGATCGATCTGGTGCGCTAGCAAAAGTGTCAATAGACTGATGTAACACGGGGTTTGCCGTTTCTGGGAAACTTGAACGTATTTTACGTTACCGGCATGTGATGGAAGACACAGCAGTGAAACGTAAGATACGGTGCAGTCCGCAGTACGTATTTGAAAGTGCAAGGCAAGAAAACAAGACCGCAAGATGTATTGGAGAGAACAAGATATAGCAAAGCCCGGCAGAACCAGCATAGAGGACGAATGGAGGACTAGAGGCTGAAGGAAGGAGTAGGAAAAGAAAAGCATCGTTCACTGCATAGTAAGATTATTCCCAGCGGTCCCAAGGAGAAGGAAATCAACACTGAAGCCAGCAAGAGCTCGATACCAGGTACCTCCGGAAAATTCCAGCTGTCACAGCCCAGTGATCTCACGGCGGAAAAGGTTTCCGTTCTACAAAGACGAGGAAAAGCAAAATGCTTGAAAAATGAAAGACAGAAACAGACGAGCGCCCAAGCTAAACAGCAAACTACACTAACATCTACCCAGCTTGAAGAGGTAAAGAAGGAAAGGGGCGGATGGACGGTACTAGAGTGACCCAGTGTGGTGAGGTAGCTTTGCTGCGGTGTCAATGTCAAATGTCGATGCCGCCGCCGTAATTACAGTACATTGACGGATCATTGATGGCAGTAATGTACCTTGATGAGGAGCGAGCTGGAGCCGAATTTGGAGCGAGGCAGACCATGATAATGACAGCGGGAATCGACTACCGGCCTTCAACCATCAACCAAGCAGATAATGGGCGGCAAGACATGGATGTTGCTCCACGACGACCTGGGAAAAGGGAAACATTGAATTACGCGTATTCCACGTAAGCACAGGAACGGGTAGGACAGGCGATTTTTTTTTTTTTTTGATTTTTTTTTTTTTTTCTCGTTGCCCATTGTAAGCTGCCTTTCTTTTGCATCTGTCACTACCAGCCGGGGCGCGTGAGCGGCAGTGTCAAATTGTCAAGTGTCAAACGAGCGTTGTCACTGTCGCAGCATGTCTGTGCACATGAGGTGTTTCCAGGATCATACATACACATACTTACCTGTCACCTGTGTCTTGATAGTAATCGTCCTGACAACGACCTCGACCGAACCACAGCGGCGAACTAGAGCCCGATTCCTCGCTTCCTGTCTGTACCTATCAAGTGGGAGCGTGACTGATGGAATGCCATCACCATAACCGACCAGGCCGTCAATATCACGGTGAGATTAGGTTCTACAGAGGGCAAAGGTCCTGGAGAAAAAGGATCGGTGTGGATCAGACCAAGGAAAAGGTTGCGCCTCTCACCTCTTTACCGGAGAGGCCCAGAAGAGCAGGCGTCACTGCAGTCGTCAGCAGCAGCTGCATTGAATGGAACCACAGAAGCCATGCTATGGGCATGGGAAAACCCTTGATGTCTCTACTGGCGTGGCAAGAATGATGGAGCAATGTCTCGGATGCGCAAAAGTATCCGAGAAGGGAAGGACGAAAGGGGGAAGGGGAGAGCGTGGTAGAAACAACGAACTGGATGGCAGACTGTGTGAGTGAAAGCTTGAGTGGTCGATTCATCCAGGCCCTGTTCTATTTCCTCGACTTCGCACCCAGGACGACAGATAACGGCTAGTCACTAGTAGTAAACCCCATAATTTTTGCGCGATATACATATGTATTCGCTCGCGCAACTCTGATGAGAGCCTGGGCTGAATAACCGACAGGACGAAAACCCACGGCTAATGATGAGCATCAGGAAGCATGCCATTCGCCAAAAGGGTGATCCAGCATCCCGCATCTTCCCTAGATCAACTCCAGTTTACTCCACACTAATAAGAAACATGACAGCTGCATCAAGGCACAACCCTACTCACTCCGCTTCACACCTATAATGGGTGGATAGATGAGGACCCGCAAAGTGGAAGTGACAGGTACATACATGCGCAGTATACATACATGACCGTGACTGCCTTGCATGGAGGAGCTGTCCTTGCTCTTTCCCAGTTTCTATTGTTTCCATTGTTTCGATCGCCTGTGTCAGTGGTTGGAAAGAAACAAGGTGCCTGTTTGCTTTGCCCTTGTTGATGTCGACTTGGATGCTGCTCGTTATGATGTTGGTGTGGGCTGAAGAAGCCATCAGAGCTTGCATAGATGAGATTGACCAAGATCGTGCCAAGATGACTTATACAAGGACTCGCGGTACCTCGGGAGGCTGTCGTACCTCTAGGTAGAGGTTTGTAGTTTCCATCGCCGGTATCTGATTCACATATCATACTTGCGATACCAAAAATACCATTGTTACCATACCACCATACACCCTTTCCATTCAAGCATCTTTTGACAGCCGTGACTCGCAAGGGACTTCCCGGCACAGGGACGAGTGACGAGGAAACGAAAACTCTTGTGACCGGGGGAAGGCGCGGATGGGCAGAGTTTGACGACAACCGACAATTTTGGGTGGGCCATGATAGCAGTTAGTCCCACCGGCATTTCGTGAAGTGGGCGCTGCGGTCACTTCCTGGCACCAGGCCAAACAAGTCGAACTCACAAACCCCCAATCCTCCCAATTCCCGCGCTCGCTCGACCACACACGGTTACCCACCTCTTCGCTCCGCGCTTGTTGCCCAGGTTGCATGATGCGGATTGTGCACGACTCGTTCACCTGCCGAGCTCGCTTGCTTCCCGCTTCTTCTTAGTCGTTCACCACCAGGCCGAGTGACGGGAGGGTAGAGGTATGTATGGCATGAAGGCGTTACCTACATGAGTGAAGTTGCGGAGTGCTGAGCAATCGATTATCGAGACCCAGGCTTTAATCTGTCCTGGCCTGCGCAATTGCTCGTCATTTTAGACAGTTGCCGTCTGGGACTTTGGGGTTTTGTTGTATGGCTTTGATGGGTGGTCCGAGCTTCAGGCGTCGCGAGCACCTGGGGTAGGCGGAGACATGGTACTCTGATTCATACCTAGCTCGGCAACGTCGTTGGCTGGGTCCGTCGACATCGGCGACCTTTTCGCGTCGTTTACTGCGCAGGCGTTTCAGAATTGGCCGAACCACTGGACAGAGAGAACGGGCCGGGGTTCCAAGACTGAGGCGAAGGCCCGGGGCGGCACATGTTTCTCCTTCCGGGGGAGTCCAGGGATCCCTACTGTAAGTGCTGCTGCTGTCAGTGTCGAGCGCTTGAGCACGTCGAAAGCGCCAGGATCTTTTGCCCCATCCCTTTGTCCTGGTCTCATGTCGCTCCAGTCTGATGCTGGCTGACCCCGGTTCATCTAGCTAGGTTCATCAGATAACCTTCAAGTCCCTCGCCAAGGCCTTGTTCGAGACCTCGGCTGTCAAGTGGGAACCATGGCCCAAGCAGGAGGTGCTTTCGTCCTTCGGCCATTGGTTCCGTTCGTCTTCGGATCGCATCCATGGTTCATCGCAACGACCGGTTAGCTGTCGGCCGCGGAAAGAACCGAGCTCGAGGAGCACATCGCTGCGACAACCGACGACCCAAACAAGTACCACGGAAAAAAAAAAAAAAAAAAAAAAAATTGGGAGGGAACAATGAGAGCATGAACAGGAAACGATAGATTTATGTCGAACCAGTAAGTATGTCATGTCCCATCCCCACGCGCCCACATGAGTGTGGAGGAGTATTTCGGGCTAGGGCATCTGAAAACGGTTCACACTTCCGCACCTGAGCCCTGTTCATACCCACCTGTACAGGAGATACTGACAGGGAGGGTGACAGGGTAGCACACGCATTGGCTGCGTGAGGGTATCTTTGCAAGATCTTGGCGCCTGTCACTTGTCGAACATGACAGCCAGCAGACGCAATCAATCATCAATGGGGAAAACCTGTCATCTTGCCCCTGTCTCTTGTGCCGGGCTACCAATACCCATGCGGTTATGTTCGCACCCACTGAATGAACCATCAACCCGTTAGCTGTCTGTAGGTTTCGCCTATGCAAGTCAAAGATCAGCCAAGGTAAACCCTAATGGCCTCCCTGACACCTACCAATTTGAGTGATTTTTGCTTACATGTGTAGTATAGTCTCGTTCCCGCTAATATAACCTCTGTTGTAGGTACTGATCCGAATGTGACGGCATCCATCACTTAGGATAGCAACCCCCCATGTCGGATGACGAATCTATGGTACGATCAACAACCTCCTTCCCTGTGTCATTATCGGCCAGAGGCACTTCAAGGCCATATTAGGGCAATTAGCAGGCAGTAAGTGTTAACAGGGTCGCAACGTCCCGTTCGCTAGGCCATGCGATGCTAGGTAGATGTCCGCATGTCGGTAGTAGGACGTAAACTGGTACCAATACTAGTTCGTTCGTACGGAGCATTGAGTACTATACCTGCTCGTACTGGTGCGTATTACTGCCCTAAGAACCTGACTTGTGAACTTTCCCGTCCGCTGGGGTTACCGTTAAAAAAAATTTGGAAAGCGAGACCCGTTAACCCAGTTTCAAGAACGTTTTCGAGATATCATGTCGCTGATATACCTACTGGACTCTCAATCACTTCGGTTAGAGCAAAACGCCTGGATGTAAGGTTGGAAAAGATACACACACCGTGAAATATGCGGTTCGCCCAGTTGGGTTGCTGGCGGAAAAGGTAACCAAGTCAAAATTAAGCAACAAGGCAGCATGTCTGATGAACTTTCAACGTTACACCCTCAAGCTGTTTCAATGTTAGATTGGGCTTACACCTGGTTGGACTTTAGTCGTTGTTGAAGGTGTGCGGTCTGCTATTGCTTGCGTTCGCATCAGGTCGGTCTCCTTCACCACTATGACTACTCCTCCCACTGTCACAATGACGGCCAGATGCATTCTGTAGGTGGTATCCCCTGTTGACCGGAAATAATGCCTTTGTGTATTCTTGTTTACCATGATAATGGGCCAAGGTAAGCTTGCGGACTATAGTCACGGCGGTGGGACACGGCTATTGTTGATTCACGTTCCAGCACCCCTGGGCCAACTACCGTTCATCATCAACTATCATCCTTTGACATTCTCCTTGATATAAGGTTGAAGTATAAAGCTAAGCCCTTCTTGGTCTAGGAAAGCAGTTCGTCGTTCGGTACGGCATGACGTGAGTTACCATATTTTGGGAAACAATCAGCCGGCAACCGAACACGCACGCGTGCAACAATGGACATCAACCTGTTTTTACCATGTAGACGCTAGAGACCTTTGAGAACAACGAGGCAACCTGATACAAGGGAAAAGGAGGTGATGGCCAGGTTGTAGATGCGTATACACGTTGATTGCCGTGTCGTTCTTGTAAGGGATTGAACAATGATGACCCCCGCCCCCGCGGAGCCGAGTCAGAATGGTCAAGGCAATCTGCGTAAAGGCTGATATGGAGGACTGCATGCAAGCCGTTGGCGCCTCGCCGCAGGTATGTGAAAGAAGGCAGATGTGGCAGGTAGGCAAGCAGGCCCAGATCTCTGAGTGTTCAACAGCACCTTTCGTGTGACTGACACATCAATGACAGACTGTCGCGAAACGCTTTCCTGTTGGCGACGCACAAGATTTCCAAACGGGGGCCAGTCCAGCCAGCCTTGGACGACGACGAATACATATAAGCTTCCATGGTTCGTCGGGGGGGGGGGGGGGGGGGGGGGGGGGGGGGCAAAGCTTCTCGCCTGCGTGTCCGTGTAGCATCGTATAATCGGCAAACCGATGTCGAACATGCCAAGGCAGCGAGAGCTGTTTCGGAACGGCTAAAACTCAAGAACGGTTCCTCCGACATGGAATCATCCCAAGGTTCTCTACGGTTGGGACACACAGAAGGGTGAACAAAACGAATCCTTGTGCACACATGAGAGAGAAATCATCTGGCAGAGGTACGGGCTGGGCCTGTGGACGCCCGTGGACTCCCACCGTCTAAAATCTTGTATCGGCCAGAAAGGCGGTTACCGTTGCATTCGTGCCAGGACGAAGAGAGCGCCGCATGCCTCTCGTGTCACCTCTGCCCCAACTGATTGCTCCATGTATAGTACACGCGGCTAACCGAGTTGTAACCAGGGAAAGAAGACGGAACGTGTCGTGAAGACTGGGCCTCGCCAGATTCGCAACCAGGGGATCAGTCGTAGACCGTTTCAACGAGGCGATTGCTGCCCAGAAGTTACGTTCGTTTGTGGTGTATTTGCCCAACATGGATTCGTTCCACTAAACTCGACAACGTGTGTCTACCGCAAAGTTGATTTGGAACTCGGACAAGAAACACTGTGATACCGCGGCGTTGGGTCGCCTTGACATACGACACAGTATTTGCATGCGCGGTGCTCTCCGTCAAGGCTCCTGGAGGTTGGTTGGTCGGGTAGGGTATTCGGCCGCGAAACGGAGCGTTCAGGTTTCCATCCTCGGGATAGATGGATTGTTTTTACACAGCAAATGTTCCCTCACTGTTTGGTTGGCTGGAAGCTTCACGTCTACTTAATATCATGTCATGGTGGCCTTGACAGCAACACCCGATGCAGAAACCCCTGCAGCTTGGGGGTTTTCATATGGCGATCTTCGGAAGCGGGATCGACCCACCCATTGTCATTGCCCTTTCCTTTCCTCCAGCATGATTGATCTGTGTTCTGTTTCTGCCATAGGCATATCTCAACCAATATCATTCTCATTCTCGTTCTCGTTCTCTTTTTCCTTCCACTCCTCGCCCCCGTGCGAGGCGGCCATTTGTAGAACCTACTTTGCGTGGGGGGCAAGCTTGGCAGCATGCCTTATTCTCGGACGGAAGCAACGAAAGGACTTCCATTCAATCCCACCTTGCCTCCCAGCGTGGGGATGAAATGTTCCGAGAAAAGCTGGAAGCTCTCTTGATGGATCGGATCACGGATCATTATCTTTTCTCCCATTTGACCTCGCACATACCACTAGCGGCAACGCCAGCACACACGTGAAGGGAACGGAAGGAGGCAAGCAAAACCGTTGCTGAGCCTCCATGCAGAAACCAACCGTATCCCGATCCCGCGATCCCGCGATTCCACATACAGCAACATACATACCTGACGGGCCTTCGGTGGGCGTACCATTTCAAAACCTCTTTTCTTTTGTGTGTGCGTGCCTGACATATCTACCCCACCCCCCCTTCTGCCTGTCGCTGGATACGCCATCGTGGGTATCGACAGATGCTTTTGCGGGTTTCTGCCGTTAAAGGAACTCTGTGTTTTGTTTCCACGAAAATGTACATGGACTAATCCGGATGGGTTTGCTTGGGGGGTAAAAGCAGTCCCCCGATAGCTTGAGTGTGTGGCGTTGCTTTTTTATGATGTTTCTGTTGAAGCTATGATGTCGGTCACTCGAAGCCTACAACATAGGATCAGGGAGGGAAGTTCCGCAACGAGTTACTGAACCAAATTAGTTTGTCGTCAGGCGGTTCATTGTCCATCACGGTTTCGGTGACTGAGGCTTCCATAGCTGCTGTCTACCTCGTTCGAATTCTCAACCGTATCCATCGAAGCCATCATGCATACGGATTCATGTTGCCACTGCAGGAACCCAGCATGTCGCCGAGCTTTGGAAGATGTGTGTTCACCGCCAATTCAGTGCACTCATGGACCGGTGACGCTTGGAGGGCAGCTGGGGGCGCTTCAACTAGTGGTCGGCAAAAGCCTTGGGCAGTTTGGCTCGCATAC